GGATTCTGTTGTCTGTTTGGCGATGTTGTAACTTATTCCGGCTGCTGTTGTTCAATGGGAAGAAACGAAAAATTGGACGGCCAAACATTGGTGCCCGAGGTTCTCTCTATTTACTAGTAGTACCGCGGAGTACGTCTAAGTATAATACCTTATACCTTAAACCCCGCGCTTCTCTCCCTAGAATATAAAAGCCCATATAGTCTATACATAGTCAGTAGTAGTTTCACCACCATCCATCGGCAATGGCCATCTCATTTCCATTCCGAAATATACCCACCCACATGTGCCATCACCACACCGACAGGGCACAGACTTACTTCCCTTCCCGTCCATACACAGTGCCTGTCTCCACTCCCTCCCTCCTCTTAAGTACTAGTAGTTGATAATTAGTAGGATAAGTCTAACCTCCCTTCCCGTGCTAAAAAAAAAAATAGCAAAAACAAGGTTTCCCATCACTGCACATAAAAAAACTAAGTTACTCCTACGGAGTACTACTTATGAGTCTGTGACAAGACCTGCACCATAAACTTTAGATCACAGGGCAGGGCTTGGACGAATCGGGTGGGGAGAATGGACACTTGCTTGCCGCGGGAAGGGCACGAAGTACGAGCTAGATGTAGGGAAAATGTGACGAGAATTTAATAGACTAGTTAGTTTATGTGATGAGATGAAGTAAAGTAGTGTGATTTGATTGATTGATTGATGGGGTATGTACTGCGCCCCCGCCCTCCCTCCGTGGTTTAGATTTATCTGTGCGGGAAAGACACCAGGTAGTTAGATAGGTAGGCAGGTAGGTAGGTAGTCAGTTAGTGAGTAGGAATGTGATTAGCAGACAGAGTGTGAGGGAAAGAGTTGGTTGGAGCTGGTGGGGGGAGGGGAGAGGACAGAGTGTGAAACTGAGGGATGGGTTGGGTTGCGGTTTTGGCGCCGTGGCGGTAGTAGTATCTGACTGTTTAGGTGTGTCTCGTCTGGGCGGAGAAAAAGGCGTTGAAACACTGGTCGAGACGTAGTCTCAGAAGTTAGAGGGGGGGGAGGGGCTCATTCTAGGGTGTGGGTGATTGACGGCCACGTTAAGATGACAGGATGTAAGGAGGGGACGGGGTTGATCGACTGTGAGGCTGTTGCAAGTGACGGGTCTGTCTTGTCTCCTACTGTATGGAGTAAGTTGGTGAGTTGTTGTACGGGGTTGCTCATTTTGATTTCTTGCTTGGAAGAGAGTAAGTGGTAGTCAAGTAAGTGGTAGTCATAGTTAGTATGGGGTTAGTCTGGGTAGAAGGAGGGGGCCAGAAATGGTATGAGATGGGTCAAAACTAAGGTGAGATGAAGAGATGAGAGACGGGTTTGGGATTGATGGGAAAATTTGTGTGAATATATTATTGAATTTGGGACTGAAATTTGTATATGGTGTATAGTTTAATTTATAGTCAATCAAGGTCGATGTCTTTCATATAATTGATGATAGTCTAGATGGTGATGATGGAAATGTTTCTGGTGGAACTTGAAAGTGATGGAAACACTGGATCAGGCACGCGTACCGTACCGTAACCGAATAGTTCTGTTTTAACCAGTTGGACTGTCTCGCTGCCAGTTGCTTCAGGCCATTTCGCCTCCAACTGGATAAGATGGAATTTCCCTTAACTTTCGGCCTCTCCCACTGGTGGGTGTTTGTTGGTGGTCATAGTTAAGTTACTAGTAGGTGGTTTTTCCATTGTTGATTCAAGTGCTATATTTATCAATTTCAACTTCCCCCCTGGCCCTTCAAACTTCCCTAAAACTACAGCTTGTGGCTTATCTGCTATCGAGTGTCGTTCCTTGGGTCGGTGCCTTCTATCGATAACTTGCTCCACGTTTTCCGGGTCTTCTTGGAGCATCCCGAGATTTGGTAGGCTCTCTCGCTCTGTCCCTCTCTCTCTCTCTCTCTCTCACTCCCCCTCATCTGTGTTGCCTCTTCAAAGAAGTGAGAGGCCACGCATTCACTGCGCAAGAACACTTGTTCTCTATCTCTCTCTCTATTCATCTATTGTAGCTATTGTTGTCAAGTTCCTGTTTGTTACTCATCTCCCTCATCCTCTTTCTTCTTTCATCTCTGTCTCTTCCTCTTCATCCAGCCCCACCCCACTCTGGCCGATCCGCGCCCGGTTTATTTAACTTCCAACTACGTACGCTAGTCTCCTCATTGCTTCCTACTACTGCCTTCACTATTGCTCTGTGTCTCTCCATCCCCTCTCCACATCCCCTCGAACTGCTCCTGCTGTCTTTTCTCCCTCCTCCTGCGCTTACTCTCTTCTGTGTACCCCCCCCCCTTCTCCGATCTGCCCCTGGTGTGTTTCCACTACCTATTCGAGAAAGCTCAAAGAACCCTTTGAAACTGACTCGCGGTTGCATAGCGCAAGCTACGAGGGATTCACCATACAACGAAATTAAAAATAGAACGGAACTGTGAAACGCCAGACGGAGTGTGAAAATAGCTCCTCAACATTGGTAAGTTCATCTCCTTTTCAGCGATATCTTGCCTCTTGACCTGGGTATTACAAAAGGTTCTCTCCGCTCGTGCTGGATCGGTTCATTGACATCCCTCAGTTCCTTTTTAGGTCATCACTTACTGTACATCCACCGCACGTCCTTGCTGAGCGGCTCACCCAGTCTGCCTCACGACCAACCGCTACTGGTTCCCGATTCTACATTGAATCCCTCACATCCCGAACGTACGGGCGCCTCCGAAACTCCTGGCGGCTACTTGCGGGTCCTCCGTGGTTTCGATTGCAGACGCGCTGTACCCCGCTTCCGATCCTTGACAGCTCCCGAACGACTGTCACTCGTCTACTACTCTCGCCCTAGCATGCGCATTGGCGGTTATTAGCCTCCCAACATAACCAACTTCAATCGAAAGCCCTCCTGTAAGCGCTAGCCTGGTGTCTGTTGCTTGAACATGTGGTGGGTCGCGGTGTTACTCAATAGGCCATCTTGTTGCTGCATGTGACAGGCCTACCTTGTCGCTTCAGAGGGTGTCATGAGATGTGATGAGATAGTATAATGAGAACACGGCCCAACACTACTGATTGCAACATATACGCTCATTGACGTCGACTGACACTTGATAGTACACAGCCGCAAACATGGTGCAGCAAATGCCTCCTCAAGGGGGGTCGCGCAAGATCTCTTTCAACGTTTCCGACCAGTATGAGATCCAGGATGTTATTGGTGAGGGAGCTTACGGTGTCGTTTGGTGAGTTGCTCACATGTAAATGATGGCGGCGTACTAATGAACCGAAGCTCTGCTATTCACAAGCCCTCTGGCCAGAAGGTCGCCATCAAGAAGATCACTCCCTTCGACCACTCGATGTTCTGCTTGCGGACTCTGCGTGAAATGAAGCTGCTGCGCTACTTCAACCACGAGAACATCATCTCCATTCTGGATATCCAGAGGCCTCGGAATTATGAGAGCTTCAACGAGGTGTATCTGATTCAGGTAACGCTCATTGCAGATGATCAGAGAATATGAAACTGACGGATCTAGGAACTCATGGAGACAGATATGCACCGGGTCATTCGTACCCAGGACCTCTCCGATGACCACTGCCAATACTTCATCTACCAGACTTTGCGTGCGCTCAAGGCCATGCACTCCGCCAACGTCCTCCACCGTGATCTCAAGCCCTCCAACCTTCTCCTCAACGCAAACTGCGACCTGAAAGTCTGTGACTTTGGTCTGGCCCGGTCAGCCGCATCGACCGACGACAACTCTGGGTTCATGACGGAATACGTCGCGACGCGTTGGTACCGTGCCCCAGAGATTATGTTGACGTTCAAGGAATACACCAAGGCGATCGATGTCTGGAGTGTCGGCTGTATTCTGGCAGAAATGCTGAGTGGAAAGCCGCTGTTCCCCGGAAAGGACTACCACCACCAACTGACTCTGATCCTTGATGTCCTTGGCACACCAACCATGGAGGACTACTACGGCATCAAGTCTCGCCGGGCTCGGGAGTACATTCGCTCATTGCCCTTCAAGAAGAAGATCCCCTTCCGCGCAATGTTCCCCAAGAGTAACGAGCTGGCGCTGGACCTTTTGGAGAAGCTCCTAGCGTTCAACCCTGCGAAGCGTATCACTGTCGAGGAGGCGTTGCGTCATCCGTACCTGGAGCCCTACCATGACCCCGAGGACGAGCCCACGGCGCCCCCGATTCCCGAAGGCTTCTTTGATTTCGACAAGAACAAGGATGCACTCAGCAAGGAGCAATTGAAGCGTGAGTGATAGCACCTACATTGAGAGAGTCTGAATACTAACATGCGCAGTCCTGATCTACGAGGAGATTATGCGGTAAAGGCCTCACGAGTCGATGAATGCAATTGATATACCACCCGACATGGAACAAAGGCAGAGCCTGACATGATGGACGGAGTTGGCTTAAGCACATACCCATGATGCATAGAGAACAGGCCGCAGCAGCGCGTTCCCTGTACGCAGTAATATGTCGAATAGCCCATATGTGAGGGAGTCATGACTGCAGCATCTCGAGATTATTGTTGATGTTGATGTGGAAGCGGCGTGCAGTTTCAGCGATAGTCCAGCTTGAATATACATTACGTTAGCGATTGATATAGAGTGGTATAAAGTTTCTTAAGCTAAGGGTATATACACATCACATGTATCTTACACCACCAACACCAATCACCCCTCCCCAATACCCTAAGAAGATTTCATCATTTCATTCATAAACCTCTCAATCCCCTCCCCCACCCCCTCAGGACTGGGCCTCTCCGCACAAACATCCGCCTCAAACCCAAACTCCCTCCTCAAATAATCCCTCGTCGTCGGCCCAATCGTCGCAACAAAGAACCTCCTCCTCGTCTCCCCATCCACCTTTCCCCAATCACTACCACTACCATCCTCTCTACCTATATACCCCAACCCCCTCAACATCCCCTCACACCCCGTCGGCGAAAACACCACCGTCCACACCACCCTCCCTCTCCCTTCCTCCCCAGTGGTAGTAGTAGTAGTATTATTATTATTATTCCTCATAACCTCCCTCTCCCTCTCAATCACCCCCTTAAAACTCTCCTCAAACCCCTCCATCACCCCCGTCTCATACACAATTACCTCATCAACACCCACATACTCCCCCGGTGGGAGATCAGGATTCATAAGTGTCCGCGGGATAATATCCCGTCGTTGTTCGCCGACAAGGAAAAGTAACGGTGGCTTGTGCTTGTTGTATACATCATCTTCCCCAACATTGGGATTTGATGTCGTCGTGGTGGTAGTGGTAGTAGTAGTAGTATAAAGCGAATTATAGTGTTCGAGAATGTACTTCGCTAACGCCTCTCCATTCCCTGTATCTGCGCCGTGGATGCTCGCGTGCGGTAGGTATCTGTCAACGATGGTGGTGAGGGAGCGGGATGTTGCGGGTCCGACGGTGTAGATGGGAAGGTTTTGGGAGGAGGTTTTTAATGTGTTTAGAGCTGAGCTGTCTGTTCCTCATTTAAATTGTTTTTTTTGTTTAGTGTCTTTGTGTGGTGTGATGGTGGGGTAGGGGGTGAATTTACCATCGTCAAGTTCAGCAAGTACTCTCCCGAAGCCTTCGACTGCGCGCTGGCTGGTGAAGATCAATCCGCCGTATTTTCGATCATTTTTCTTCTGAGAAGGGAGTAATTGGCCGGATGTGAAGAGCTCGCGGATGGAGCGTAGTCTCTCGGTGTGGAAGTTGTGCGAGAGGACTGGGATGAAGGTGGGAGTGTAGTTGCTGGTGGGGTGGTGGAAGTAGTCGGAGTAGTTGTCGTGCGGGGTGGATTTGGTTTTGAGGAGGATTATCGGAGGTTTGTTGATATTTTTTGTGGAGGTCATTGTGATGAGTGTACCCTGTATGGGATTGTGGCTGTGGGTTTGGTTGTGGACGAGATGAGTGAGGGTGGTTGTTGTTGTGGTGAAGTGGGATGGACGGATGCGGAGATGCCGCGGCTATTCTTCTACTGAGTAATACAGCTACACTGTGACGGAACAAACGAAATTTGGGTCTAGTAGGTTATGTACACTAAAAAAACAGACTACTGGTCGTCCAGAACGTGCAGGTACTTCTTCTCCTCCTGTCTCTCGCGCTCCGTGGCCGGAGGGAGATCGTAGTACGAGGCGCTACGGTAACCCAGCTGCATCTTGTTAGTTTCTGAGAGGATTGATTTAGTTAAGGGTCGCTTACCAGGTAGTGGAAGGTCAGGGTGCTGAGGTCGACAGGCTCAATGTCGAGATCCTTGAACGTCTTGGCGTTGGGGTCGATCACCTGGTCGATGAACTCACGCTCCACCTCGTCGGCGGAGATGGTGGGCCACCAGAGGTACTTGTTCAGGTAGTAAGCCAGAGGCTTGAGGATGGCCTTGGGCACGTTGACGTGACGGCGGTGCTTGACGATTTCGCGGTCGACCAGCTCGGCAATCTCGGCGGTGGAGTAGTTCTTGGGGCCGTACAGCTCGAAGGTCTGACCGACGGTGCTGTCGTCGTGCAGCATGCGCTCCAGAGCAGTACCGACATCAATGGCCTATGCATGTTAGCTCAATCATAACAAAGTCAACCTCTTAACATACGTGAACGGGCCAGTAGCGCTCCTGCATGTGGTTCGATGTGAGGAGGTTGGTCACGCGAGCGAGCTTGTGGAGGAGGTTGTCCTCGAAACCGAACATGGGCGCAGGGCGGACAATGGTGGTCTCGGGGTAGATGTTGCGGACGATCTCCTCACCCCAGGCCTGCGAAAATTAGTATGAGAGTGACATTGCAGAATTGGTTCACGGACCTTGGTCGCAAAGTACTCGGAAGGAGAGTCCCGGCTGGCGTTGTAGGAAGAGACGTGGATGAAGCGGTCAACGTCGTACTTGGCAACAGCCTCAACGATGCGCTCTGTACCGTCGACGTGGACGTCAGTGTAGGAGAAGTTCCTGCCCAATTATTAGCAGCGCGTCGCTTGTCTCGTGCCCATGGACAACTGACTTGGTGGGATATTGACGACCGACAAGGTTGTAGACAACATCGGAATGGCGCACAGCCTCCTCGATGGACTGGGTGTTGCGCAAGTCGTATTCCTAGACCACGATTAGTGGGCCAAGCCAAACCACCCAACTGTTAACGGATTCATACAATGAAGTTGACACGGCCGAGGTCACCGGTGACCTTCAAGTGTCTCTTCGTCATCTCCTCACGGTAGGGGACGACAACGGTGCATCCCTGCGTAGCTGGAAGGCGTCAATTCCTGTGCTCCCTTCCGACCAATTGACCAACATACCGAGCTTGTTGACGATGTAACGACCGAGGAAACCAGTAGCACCGAAGACGGTCGCGGTGTGACCTAAAGAAGAGCAAATTTAGCCATCTGGCAGCGTGAGACCGGCGCGGGCAGAAGAGGGATATGTACCTCCCAAAGAGGACCTATAGCAAAGACTAGTCAGCATCGCGGAGCTCCATCACAACGGCAATGCACCTTACCGGCCACCCTGGACCTTCAGAATCGGCTTTCCAGTTCTAGTGATCGCGACATCCTGAAGATTCCGGCGCTGGATCTGGAATCGGATCTTGGGGGCGGGGACAAATGCCCTGGCGCCCATGGCGGAATTGACGGCCCGGGACGTCTGCATGGTCTCAATTCTGGATATGAAACGGACGAGACCACCGAACTGCGTCCGGATCGGTGTTTCAATGGACAATGGTGAGGAGAGGGGAGAGAGCGTAGCTCGACGTCAGGACTTGTACTGCAGCTGGTCGAAAGTCGTGGTCCCGAATATCCTGGAGTTGGCACGGGACTTGGCGCTAGTCCTTTTTCGGACAGCACCCTCGACCTTTCAATTGTCTGCCAACTCTTTCCTACTTGTCTAAAGGTCGATTGAGAGGTTATTTCAGTATCTAAATGGGTAATCATTTCATCCATCACTTCCTACCCACATAACCCATCAATATGGTGTGGTTATGACCGTCCATTCAATTTTACACCGGAGCGCGTCTGACTATTCAAAGCCTCTGATTGGTTGCTAGGCGCTCATCATCGTCATGTCGAGATCCAAATGAACCTACCACTAACAACTGAGAACTACATAGTCAATTGCTGGAGAAACTACACATCATGGATATCGCATTGCTACTGAAAGAACATGGCACTTGTCATATCGCATTTCTAAGCTGATCACCAAAGCATAAGCAACCTACTCCTTTGCTATTACGCACGCTGCCCACGAGCAATGAATATGGTCTTCAAATGCTCTTTTCCATCCTTGCAGAATACTACCTGCTCCTTCGAAATATCATATTTGAATCTCGTCACAAGCCCTGCTTCTTCGTATAGCTGCTTCATTTGATCCATGGTGAAGCCGTGGCTTTTTACCGTTTGCGCAGCATCGCCAAAGCCATGCTCAACATTGTGACAATGGCCATGGTGGTGATCGTCTGGCACAATGTCGACAATTACGCACACACCACCTTTCTTCAGACGCTCTACAAAGCGGGCCATGGCTAATTCTGGTCTCTCGAAGTGGTGAAGGGCCATGCTGACAACCACGAGATCAAAGTCAAAGTACTCGGGCCCTGAGAGCTCTGCCGGAGCAGACTCAGCCAGAAGGTCACCCTTGAGTGCGACCATCTTGTCTTCATAGCCCGCTTCTTTGGAATTGTTGTTGTACTCGCTAATCATATTATCCGAAACGTCGAGTCCAACGATCTTCGAGACAAAAGGTGCCAATGTCTATGAAATTAACTCAGGGTTCATGACAATGTTACTTCAATAGCAACGCGAACGAGACATACTAACTTACCAAAGAAACAGGCCCAGTCCCACATGCATACTCTAACATCTTGATCTCTTGACCCTTTCCAGCCTCCGTATCGACCCATGCATCACTAATCCAAGGACGGTGACTATCCACCAGTCTGCAAATGGATTCCAGGATACTTTTGAAGTCGCTGGTGTAGGACTTGGCCAGCTTGCTGCAAAGTATGAGACATTATATCAAGCAAAGCAAAGGGTATGTGCACATACTCAAAGTACTGACGGTTCCTCTCTGTGTGCTCTGCCATGTTTAGATAGAGATTCGGCTTAGCTATCACAGTATAGTATGAAATGATTAATTGATCAATTGCTGTTGGGAAAGTATCTTGGGATGACTACGAGAAAGGGGGAAGGCGGGTGTAGAGAGCCGTATTTATAGCTTGCTTGACCATGGCTGAGCAGACTGACTAGAAGCTTACAGTAGGCAAATTCGGAGACATATCGGATACTTCTTGTAGACCCTCCAATGTCGCCGCTATATTGATCCCTAAAGCGGTTTAGGCGCCTTCAGCTAACACGCTCACAGAAGGGCCAGCAATTTCTGACCAATGAATGAATATATGAATGGATACGCTAGTTCTCACCCTAAATGAAGCCGGGGAAGTTGCGATAACTATACTGCAGTAGACGGAAGATGATGTAGGATGTCATGTGCCTCACCGCCCGAGCTCGACGGCGCTGCATCACGACCAGCTCCGCTTCCACTTCAGATCAGCTTCCCTGCCTCCATCTCCCCCCATTACGCCCATTCTCCTTCTCCCTCCTTCCGGTCTTTCATCCATCCCATCCTAGACCTCATATCGTATTTCCTAATCCTCCTCCAACATGGAGAACCAACGGATCTCCGATTTCCTCGCCGACCAGCTGCAGCAAGCTCCCGAGCAATGCCAGGCCTATTTCCTGAGCTTCGAAGATTACTGGGAACGCAAACTATGGCATCAGCTTACGGATTCCTTGATTGAATTCTTCCGTCTACCAGAGAGCGCCGCTCAGCGACTACCGATATTCAAGAGTTTCGTCCTCAGCTTCGCCGACAGAATCAATCAGCTCAAGTTCGTCTCGCTGGGGTTGATGGCGTCAACAGAATGCTCAAGTACGTATCCCAGCTAATCGCTATATGGATCTTCGCAAACCAAAGGCATCGCTAACATTGTTGCTATCAGATGACCAAGAACGCCTCACCTTCCTCACATCGCTGGCAGACAAAGTCAACAAGCCCGAGTCACAAGATGCTTACATCTACGCCCTCGCGGACGTCGCCAACGTCAAGCAACGGCTACAAGACCTGAACGGTGCGCAGAAGGACCTGGAGACATGCCAGAAAGTGCTGGACACGTTTGACTCCGTTGAGACCGTCGTGCACGCATCCTTCTATAAAGTCAACGCGGACTACTACCACGTATGTCCCCCCCGGCACCCGCCACCTAGACCTCACTAATCCTTCTCTCCCATCCACCAGGCCAAACAAGAATTCGCATCCTTCTACAAGAACGCCCTCCTCTACCTCGCCTGCATCAACCTCGAGGATCTCAGCGAAGCCGAGCGCATTTCCCGCGCATACAACCTTAGCGTGGCCGCGCTCGTCTCCGACACCATCTACAACTTCGGTGAACTCCTCCTGCACCCGATCCTGGACTCCCTCACCGAGACGCCGCACAGCTGGCTGCGCGAGCTCCTGTTCGCCTTCAACCGCGGCGACCTGACCGCCTACGACGTCCTCGCCGGAAACATCTCCAAGAACCAGCTGCTCGAGCAACACCGCATTTTCCTGTACCAGAAGATCTCCCTGTCCGCGCTGACGGAGATGGTCTTCCGTCGGCCCCCGCACGACCGCAACCTGACTTTCTCGTCCATCTCCGCCGAAACGAAGGTCAAGCCCCAGGAGATCGAGCATCTGATCATGAAGGCGCTTTCGCTAGGTCTGCTCAAGGGTGCCATTGATCAGGTGGCTCAGGTCGCCCAGATCAACTGGGTGCAGCCGAAGGTTTTGGATATGAAGCAGATCGAGGGCATGCGGAACCGTCTGAAGGATTGGGATGCTGGTGTCAACCAGCTGGGTCACTGGATCGAGGGCGTTGGAAAGGATGTGTGGGCTGCATAGGTCCCATTTTCTATCTCTTTTATATCGTCTTCTGTTCCTTATGATTAGTCCTGTCTGATGGGTAAAAGACTTACCATGCATGTATGTACGAACAAGTACTAGAACCTCATTATAATTGAGATCTACGAAGCCCTCTCTAGCTCTCTTTACATTCACATCCACGATAACACCTGATATGATTCGATTTTCAACCTATACATACATAAACGCATGCCTATTATAATACAGAAACGGAAAAAGAAACAACGAACTATTGATCTATCCATCCTTGCCTCCACCTACGTAAGACTTCTTCTACCTATTAGTCATATTATGATGCCCCTGATCCGACCCCTAAAACATAAATCAACTTATTCTCATCCAATCAGGACGAGAACAGAGAGAATCCCGCCAATGCACACCCGGCCACCCAAGCAGGCCACCAAACACACCAAACAACGACCTGCGTCCATACGCCCCAGACATCCCACCCGAAAGCGGCTTGCGTCAAGACCATCTCGACATCAGCGCCGAAGTACCAGCACGCTGTGAGCAGAACGACAGGCGGGGAGAGCACATTCAATAGCGCTAGGGCCAGCGTACTGAGGATGTATCTGAGGGGACGAGAGGTGGTTTGCGGATTGATGCGGTGGATGAAGCTTAGCGGGGCGCAGAGGAGACCGACCATGAAGGAGAGGGAGAAGTTGAGGGTTGCGAGGGTGGAGAGGAAGAGGCCGAGAATGAGGAGGGAGAAGGATTTGATGAGGTGGTATTGTTGTGGGTGGGGGTTAGGGTGTGGGATAGGGTGGCGGAAAGGAGGAGGGGGAGGATGAAGTTGGCGAGGATGCTGGTGTAGGTTGCTGTTAGGTAGTACTGCGTTTTGTGTTAGTGAGGAGTTTGGGTTGTCATAGGGGAGGGGTGAAGGGATACGGACCTGGTGGGGGATGTTGTTGAAGATGTAGAGGGGAATTAGACCCAGGAGATGGAGGCTGACGACGAGAGTGAGCGGGAGGGCCAGCTGACGTTCTATGATGTTGTTACTGGCGTCTGCTTTCGCGGGTGGTGCTTGTTTGTCGTCGTGCTTCTTTGTGGCTATGGTTGTGACTTGTTCTTTCGTGGGCTTTGAGGCTTGCTGCGAGCCAGGGTAGTAGCCTGTCCGGAGCCAGAGAGCGATTGCCATAATTGTGAAATTACCGGCAATCAACATCGCGCTGGGGAGATATGTGCCGATGCTGACGAACCGGTTGGTCTGCATGAGAAGATAGAAGAAGAAACTCTGGTGCAGATGCTCGAGGAGGTTGTTCAAGCTGCGGCAGAGACTCTCGACTGTGCGACCCAGCGCCATCTCATCCTGCCAGCCTTCGCCCTTCGTTTGGAGAGTGATGGCATCGATATGATACGGCATGAAACTGCTGTGAGGACCCGTGGCGTAGCCAAAGCCCTGCTTGACCATCCCTCTCATAATGGTCTGCAACCGCATCTCGTAACTATCATCGTGATCCCACATCTCCTGCAAATTGGTCCCGATGCCCATCTGCCCACCGGTAATGGATATAGCCGTGTTGAACAGATCTAAGTTAGGCAACTGGCCATTAACGCCGTCGTAGAGAATATGCAGGGACTCGAAGCGATGGTCAAACGGGTATTCGATCACCAAGCCTCCCTGCAAAGCACCGCTCTTCAAGGGAAGGGGCTGCACAAACGCCGGCTGCATATCATGGTATGCGTCAATCCACGCCTGAGTGCCTGCCTTACTGTCCGGCGGAAACAAGAAAATAATATCCTTGGACCACAGCGACCACCCTATTCTCCATCCAATTAGCAAACCATACCACATCCCATAATGATGGAAGCCACCCACGTTTGAAGTATCTCGCCAGGGTAAGAGCAAGCGTAACACCATTCAAATTCAGCTCGTTCTCCACCGTCTTCCAAGCAGCCACGAGCACCATAGCTTCGGTGGCATCTCCTCGCGGCGCCTGAATGATCGCGTAGACATTCTGTCCCTGATGTGTGATCCCCGACGACGTGTATTCGTAGTTCTGCGTGGCAACTTTCAATCCGGTAGCTCTCAGAATTGATTGGATTTTGTCCGACACACTAAGCAGCATTAAATGTCCCGTCAGCAACGCGATCCCATACATTCACATCGTAATTGATGCGGAGCTTCAGCACATACCCAGGAGTAAAGGCATCATTCCACACTTCCTGTCCCTCAGCAGTCTGCCCTTCCAGTACCCCCTCTAGCTCTTTCTTGTACCCGCGGAAGATGTGTTGTTCACTACCGGAGAAGTAGGCGTGAACTTGACCCGGCAGGAGCGCGTTCTCGGAGATGTAGGTCTGTCGGGAGTAATCGTTGAGGGGGAGTAAGAGAAGCCAAACAACGCCGGCGACGATGCAGATGAAGGAGAGGATGTGCGGTAAGTGCACGAAGAGGAAGTGAGGGTTACTCCGCACTTTGCGGATCGCAGCTGTTATGAATACCTGTCAGCGTGATCTGGTCTCGTTTGAGGTGTCCTTCGCGACAATCCGGGGTAAGGTGGAGGGTGAGTAGCATGGAGCTGCAGGGGAGGCAAGGCAAAAAGGGGGCAACGAGTGTCGTGGATAGAGCGTTAGAGTAGAAATCAATTATTATCTTACATTTCAAGGCCATGAGATCTGAAGCATTAGGGAACCAAATCCCATGGTGATGGTGGTGCTTGATCGGAGCAAGATGTCTACCGCCGCTACGGAGCACTAATCGATCTGCCCGCAAATTTACGTCAACCGCTATAGACCACCTGCACAACTTCCCCTAGATTCAGTATTATTTCCCCGCAATATTGCGAGTCACTATTGAATGCCGTATAATGCTAATTAAATATGCACAAGAATGTATCCACTTAGGTATAGTGTTAGTTCTTAGTCCTCACGGACCAAGGCGTTGCGATGAGCCGAGGAAGCTCATCGGAGTTCCCCTTTCTCCGCCGGTGGTAGTCGTGGGAAGAACACCATACCGGCCATACGTCTTCTGATCCACTGACACGTAGTGTGGCAGTCTGCCGAGCAAATTAAGCTTGCCCTCGATCCATCTCAAAACCTTCTCCGGGGGAACGAAAATTTTGAGGACCCCAAGGCCGACTGTCGAGCGGATTAGCTGTGAATCGAGGTCTACAGAAGAACAATTACTTACGCAAGTATCCGACCAGGATGGCGCATAGATGGCCAAGGAAGCTGGTGTTTGGCACAAGAATTGAGACAAGGGCGCATGCGAATAGGGGCGACGTCCACGTGGGAATTTTGGTCGACCCGAGACTGAAGCCGCATTAGTCGGGAACTGAGACAGAGACTAGTGCTCGAACATACCTAAAGTAGGGGTTTGATTTGAATGTCCGAATGGCCTCGGAGCCAAGGAGAAGGAAGACCCAGATACTGAACACCCATTAGATACCATCTGACAACCCAGAGATGCTACAGAGCACTCACCTTGAACCCACGACCGCAGTATTCCTATGCAAAACAAACTTCTCAATCAGAATATAAATGCCTGCAGGGAGCGTAGAAAGAGCTAAACGAGAAGCAAATATCCATTAGCACATTCGTCCAACCATCCTAGATCACGCCAAGGAGCAAACTTACGCCCAATGAACAGCGCAACAGCGGTCAATGTGCCATGCTCGGCCTCAAAGCGCTCCAACAAGGGCGTGAGCGCCAGTATATTCAAGAAGGCATGGAAGAATCCCAAGTGGATGAAAGGGTAGGTGTTAAGACGGTACACTGTCCTAAGAGTCAGAACCTGGCTGTACTTGCAAGCAAGGCCACGTGTGCCCGAAGAGACATACTAGTGCCGAATCCAACCTCCTCTGGTATCACGGAGCCCCATTGTACCACACTCCAGATTGTCTGAAGCTCCAGCAGCCAAAATACAACAATCGCTAGAAGCACGAGCCGGGTGAAAAGCGGTAGGCGGAGGACGTAAGATCGTACCCTGGACGGGTTGAAGGGTAGCGGCGGAAGGGCAGCGGGAGTGGCCATGGTCGAGTGCGAATGGCCGTAGCAAGGCGATATGTCAAGGCAAGTTTATTACAACGATAGATGAAGGTCGATAGTATCGCAGGCGGGATATATCAATGAAGGCGCCGTGGAAGTCGAGGTGCGATGTACAACACGGGACTGGCGGAGTCTAGGGAGCGATGGAATGGCCACGAGGGCTTGAGAATGTCTCGTAGGGTCGAGAAGAAGGAGCGGAACCGAGTAGGACAATGCGGAAGATGGTATTTCTGGTGACTTTGATGAGAGACTTATAGATTTTAATTCATTGGCAATGACTCGTTTTGAAGCCACGGGATGCAATGCACGCAAACTCCGGTATACGCGACGGGAATATTGAGCCAAGATGAAACAAGCCAACGGATGGAACTCAAACAGCGCAGATAAATAGCGGGAAACAACAAGTTAGAAGATAAGGCCAGACAGCCCCAGGGAAGAGAGTAGAGGCACTACTTTAGTGCTTTCCGGGGGTGGCTGGATCTGGTTGCTCTTAAATTGAAGGCTGATCTGGTCTCGCCTTTTCTCTTCCCAGCGCGGATCCTCCGGGGTCACGTGGAAGATAACGCCTATCGTTCCTTTATGCTTTACAGAGTAACCAACTTCGTCGCTTGCTTCTCTCTACAGTGTTTTCTTTGGCTTTCATAATTATCGAAAATATTATGCCTCATACCGGTTCATTATCTAACTAATGGTAACATGTACAGAAGATGCCGCTAATTCTACCTCAAACATTTACAGGTACTGCTTGAACCAGTTGACGGCCTGGCAGAAAGCCTGCTCCTTGGACCACTTGAAGTGGGGGACGCTCAAGTCAGCGCGGACAGCGAAGCCGTGGGAGACACCGCTGTACAGGTTGATCTGCCAGGGCTTGCCAGTCTTGATGAGGGTTTCCTCAGACTCGTGACGGAGCTGGGTGGTGAAGATGTTGTCGATTTCTGTTCAAACCAAGTCAGCATGCGCGGCCTCGGCACGCGTTGCGATGAAGGATTCCACTTACGAGCAGCAGCAATGGACAGAGGGCCCTGGATGGCACCAAGCTCCTCGTGGGTGACGAAAGAGGGGTGGGCGTTGAAACCAACGTCGACCTGGCCGTCCTTCATGAAGCGGCAGACGTACTGGAAACACGCCTCGTTAGCAAACAATCACATAACACCTTTCGGCGAGTCGATTAAACTTACCTTGGCACCGAAGCAGTAACCGACAGCGCCGATGCGCTTAACGCCCAAGTCTCCCTTGATGTACTTGATGGTCGACTCGACGATGGGGTCGACGTTGGCGGGCTGGTGGTTGGGGAACCAGGCACCGATGTCGAACTTGCCGGACTCCATGGCGACGGGGTCGACGGCGTCGCCGCTGAAGAGGTCGGGGAGGACACACAGGTATCCATTGTTGGCGAACTCATCGGCGAGGAGCTTGGCATTGTTGAAGAGACCGAAGATGTCGCTCAGGAAGAGGACGGCCTTCTCGGGGGTCTTGTTGTCCTTGGGGTAGACAATGTAGGTGTCAACTGTTCGGGAAGATGGTGTTAGAAGAGGGCCATGGTTCTAGAAAGGTCCAGTCGGATAACATACTGTTGTTGATCTTCTTGACTTCACCGACAGGGGTGCCTTCGTGCTTGAAGCCCTGGGCACAGCAAGCTCCGGGAGGGTTAGAGGCCATGGTGACGGATGGTTAGGGTTGGTGTATTGAAGGGATGTATAGACAAAAGGTATATGGGATAGTACTAGTGACAGGGATGTCAAGGGTGGGAATGGCGACTAGATATATCCACAGGGCTTTGCCTCAAATGAGCAGCATCCACTGTGAACCGTCTTCTTTCCCCAAAAATGCCCCTCCCCACTTGCTGCCCCTCACCCCATTACTAATGCCTGGATGACACGGTAGGATGTCCGACACCGCCCAGTCAATTCGCTAGACATAATATTCCATTGCGCATGAGCCTACTATGTTACAGCCATTCAAGCAAAGGATGTCAAGTCGGCTACCAATAATATCCATCGTGGAGGTTATCAGAATTCGCCGGGTGGCGGTTCGTGTACCTTGAAAACGCCCCCCGAGAGTCTGCCGACCGGCAATTCTCGCCGACGTCGGGCGTCACGCTTTTTGGTTAAGCTTCGTCAGGCGGCTCGGATTTTAGCGAGTTTTAACCCCGGGATCTACCTCCACCGTCTGTCCAAGTGTGAAGAAGGGATCTGCACCTAGAGGATTCAGGGGAATTAACTTGGGGCATTATAGCTTAGTCTTCAGACGAAGTTCTGGGTACGATAGAGGTAAGAGTAAATATAGATAGTCCATATACAATGGTATATTGTGGTTTCATTATGTAGGCAGAACTAAGAAAGTCATAATTCACCTCCTCATCATCCTTCCATCACAGGGATATCATTCATTAACACGGGGGCACATCAGAGATAAATAGGGTCATAGACAAGGCCGTGGTATATATGGTCGTATTATGATCGTCACCCGAATGTCCGAGCCGTGACACCAGGCCGAAGAAAATCAAATGTTGTAAGGGGTATAATGCTGTCAAAAGCGGATGATGTTTTTTTTTTTGGGGGGGGGGGGGGGGGGGAATTCCGTTTTGCGTATCTGCCCGGTGTCATCACCAAACTCGTCTTGAGTCAGATGGAGTCCGGCAGAACGGAAGACATGAGTAAAATCAGGCGGAGGCCGGGAACTGGAAAGGCGGCAGCGCAGGGCGCGACTCCCGTTTCACCGCCCAGGCCTTCAGGGCAATGGAGAGGATTTCGCACGACATGATGAAGGCGGTCAGTCCCATAGTGACTGTGAACACAAACATCGCGTCAAGGTCATAGTACTCCAGGGTTTGGATCACGCTCCGGGTCTATTTTAGAGTTAGCCAACATGTCCTGCGTACGGATTGCGGTTCCTTTGCTGAACTTACACTAAGCATGAAGACCAAACCACCCGAGATCAAGCAGAAAGCAGCGACGATCTCGGTTGGCGGGCGAGATGGAAGGTAGGAGGTCGGGGGCTTGAGGTACATGATGACATAGGTCATACCACGAGCCAGTGCAAAGCCGACCAGGAGGTTACCCCACTGCTTGTGCACCATGGTCGATACCATACTATCCTGGTGGTGCGAACCCATCATCATACCCAACAGAAGGATGACCAACGCAGGCATGGGGTTCAGTGACACTCCCTGTGTGTCAGGAAGCTGCCATGCGGTATCTGTCGACGTGTGCGCACTCATATGAGAGGGATATTGGAGAACTGTGCTGTTCAACCAGCCTTTGACGCGCTTCGACTCGAAAAGCATACCACAGAGACCGCCGCCGAAGAACATGATGGAGATGGACACATGCTCAAGGTCAGTGGCAGTCCATGCGCCACCCCAGCCGGTGAGATGCTCCAAGAAAACGTTGGTGACGCCGTAGAGGAAGATCACGAACGATTCAGTGAATTCACCCGTGGGGATCTTGGCCTTCCATTTACCGACAATGGGACTGGACGGCTTCACGTTCCAGGCCCAGCCCAGGTCGGCCCAGCAGCCAAGCATACGTCCCAGAGTCAGAAGACCATACCAGAAAAAGATACCTCCTTTGATAAAGTGCGCAAGACCATTGAAGACCTCTCTGCCTTTCTGCAAACGCGCGTTAGCGAAGATCAACGAAGTGGCCCATACTAGAAACTTACCATAAGGCCACCATAAGTCACACCACCGGTCGCGATAGCCACGAAGCCAAACGGCAAGATGATTCTGTCGATAACAGCATAGATGGTCGAGATAATGCGAAGCGCCCGAGTAGAGACCATACGAGGTACACGACTAGCAAGAAATTGGTCGGCGAAGGGGATGCGGAACCAACCGCGCGGTTGGGACGAGTGTTCGGGGAGCGGATCCTCGGGCTTTTCGAAACCGTCATACTCATCCGAAGGCGACGCACAAGAAGGCGACCCAGGGCGACTGTGGAGGGAAGAGGAGTTTCTCTCCGTGCCCTGTCCACTGTCGCGCGACCAGCGGTACGAATGGCGGATACCACCAGAGTACATCTGGGGGCTCTCCATCTCATCGGTAGAAACGGGAAGGAACGCTGCCCGTTCATAAGAAGTCGACTCCGACTCGCCTCTGCCAGCATAGGCAAAGATCAATGACATGATGACCTGCGCGCTCATGACCCAGGTTGCGATCCACCCAATCTTGTGATGAGCGTTGTTCTCATACAAATCGGGGGTCTGGCTGTTGTAGATGATTCCAATAAGCAATCCCACCGCGTTGCATACCAAGAAAAGGAATTGCGACGGCAATGCGAAACGTGACCGTGCGACGCTTAACATAACCGCTGTTATTGCAAGTGTTAGTTTTTGGTGCCTTTGTGGAGGATAGGTTAGAATGAGCTATACCTGTTGGCAGTATGAAGCACCAGGCGAGGATCATCAGACCGATGTGAACGGCAATTGCGGTGCCGTGTTTCCCATAGGCGAAGTAGCTCATGGGGGAATCGTCATTTGCCTCTGTAGACGATTCCTGGGCGGACTCGCTGTGACTCATGTCCATACCCATGTCCATATCCATCGCTTCATCATCTCCGTGGGGAAGCGCATTCGCAACGGAGGCTAGAAGGAAAGCTGCCGCAAATGCGGCACGAGAAGCTCGCTGCCACATGAGGGGAAGCTTCTATATTATTACGGACGGGAAATCCAGAAGAGAAAAGGGAAAGTATATCTCTTCGACGCGCGACAAACTGGAGTCAAGTGCGAGCAGGAGAGACGACTAAGAGATTAAGCCAACTCCCAGCTCCACTTGTCGCAAGCAAGATGGCAGAAGAAATCTGTACGGAGGAAGCTGGGATGCGGATGGGCGCGGCTACCACCTGGCGGAGGGCAGTACGTGGGAATACGTCGGGGGGACAGATAGGTCGGTAGGGCTGAAGTATGGAAGCAACGGACGATTGTGGAAGGGAAGGGAGGGCAGGAAGTATAAGTATAAGAATGGGCGAAGAATCCAAGGAAACCCAGCCCGACTAACGGTGGACCATGCAGGTAAGTAGAGAGACGAGACGGAAGGCTGAAGACCGGGATTGCCAGAGAGGGTCGCGCGAGACTTTTTATTTAATCATTACTCATGACTTAATTTTTTCCTTTTCCATTCGCGCCTTGTGGTCGCAGCTCTCCTTCCCTCGGAGCTGGCGGGGATAGGATGCAACAAGACCGAGAGGCCGTGGAAACAAGCGATCCTGCTGGAGCTCCCCAAAGCTCCGTGTGCCGAAAGTGGAGTTACTCACTGGCACCCTCGCGCTAGCAGGGAAATGGAAAAAGGGAGAAAGGGTAAAAAAAAAAAGTAATAAGGCCTCCCAGGAGTGACGCTGTTCTCCTCCCCAGTCTGGTTTTTGATGTGACTGCTGCTCTTGTTTGCTTGACCTCTATCTCCTCTTTTTGATTTGATTTCTCTTTTTGCACAGAATCAGGGTGATAAGTATTACCAAGATACTTTCGGATTCTATGTTGAGGCTATGCCCATGATATAGCTCGATCCTTCAAAGCTTTCATCGTCATCATGAGGTGTCTTACTGAGAACGCTGGTACCACCACTCATGCCTCCCGAAGTCATCCAGCGATGGAGCCGATCATTCTTTTGGACTAATCACCGCCTCCAATGCCTGGAACTTTATTTCCTCTTCCATTCAAAAAATGTTATTTTTCTTTTCTCTTCTATCATCCACTTACACTTTTCTCGGGATCTTTTCGCCTGTCAGCCAATCTTTCCCTTCCATCTTACTTCCTTTCCAACATCATCCCTACTACTCAATCCGTATACTTCTCTTACTACTTGTAGCAAAGCCTTCTGGGATCACGAGCTCTCAGCCTCTGACTCATGATGCATCTTGCTGGGGTATGAACCTTCTTCAGAATCAAAGCTTATTGTGTGGGAAATGGATCTACTTGATAATGGGAACAAGAGAAGTGCATGTTGTCTCTTCAAATCATATGAACCAATTTCCAATAAAGCCGAAGAGGGGCACGAAAAAAACAGCCTAGGGAAAGGGTATCTCCAAAGGAAAAAAAGGAAAGTAAAAAGAAAATTACTCCTCTTGGCAGAGTTGGGTTCTCGGAAGCCCGGAGCGACCGGGAGAGATACTCGACTTCCAGGTCACGGTGCGCTGACGCGCCATAAGAAATGACCTCATCCCAAGGTACCGGACTTTTAGCGTATGGCCTAGAGCGCACCAGTGGATGCCCCCTTCCGCTTCGGGATCCTGTTCGCCTGTTTTCGGGCCCCGCGGATTTATTACTAATGCCGCGGGACAGCACAACTTTCTCGTGATGCCAGAATCACAAAGAAGGCTCATCAAGCCCAGGTCCGCACTATTGGTGAAAAAGCTCAGCAAGGCTGCAAATCTATAGAACTATGCCGGTCCACCTTCATCTGCGTGTCTGGCAGTGGCCTGTACGCCGTTTGGCTTCGATCGCGTCTCCACGCCGTCCTCTGTAATCAGTACTAGTATGCCAGGACGCTCATGCCATGTATCTATCCATCCTTTTCTGCCCGTCTGACAGCCCCCCCAGGAAGGCGCAGCAGTCATTCGATCGCGGGGGATGTAAACAGAAGTCCAGAATGCAGGGATCCTGATACTCCCAATTTCTTAGGTCCCGCCTTCCCGCGACTTGTAAGATGGTGCGCAATAAGCCTACGAAGCGTTTAGTACGTGACACACACTGAGAGATAGATCTTTCCGTCTCAGCGGCTATTCGAGCTCGTATAGAGCGAACCGCCAGGGGCTGTTGTTTAGGATAGATTGTGTCGATTCCGGAGTATCTAAATTGATTGGATTTTTGCGACATCACCATAAGACAGTCATGCATCAGTTTCATCTTCCCTTACATCGGCGGTAGAAAAAAGGTGGTGGGGACTGTTGAAAGGGAGGATGCCATAGTGTGTTATGTTGGTTCAGAGTGCGGAGCGATCTATCACCAGCCCTGACTACCATGTACCAACTACATATGCAACGGACCGCGAACGAGGAAGCAGCACGGCACACTCTGACATGATGCTGGCTTATTGCAAGCTGTGAATTGGAGGGGACTTGGGACGGAGAGCTGCTAAAGCAGGAAGTATCCTCCGCGACCAAAGGGCGAGCTGAAGTCAAGACCTACTGTACTAACTAACATAACCCCTCTTTCTGCAGAGGTCGATCGGTGCCATCTACGGCAAGCTGTCTGTCGCCCTACGGACTACTACTTTGGACAATTCCGCTCCAGTTAGTGTTGGAATCAGCTACATGAGCACAGAGGAGCTGCAGTGGATGTAGGAGACAGTGCCGTGCCTAAAGATGGATGGATAGCTGTCCAGCCCTGTTGAACAGTGGCCCATCTGGAATGTACCCAACTGGCTCATGACTTTTATCTCCAGGTTCTGGTGGGCTGATCGTCGACTCAGGCGCATGCCAGTGTAGCGTGACGTTGCGATGCAGGCGGCTGCACTAAAGGTCGGTGCTACAAGCGAGGAGAGCGGTGCATGCCCTGGAGTCCATGGACAGGTACAGACCGCGGATGTGCTGGCGCCGACCGGCCTTTTAGTAGGGTTGGCGACGATCGCATCTATACAACACAAACAGGATAGAACTGACAAGCGACCATGAACTAACTGCCAGAGAGATGTTCATTAGCACGATGATTGTGCAACAGTGGTGTAACCAACACAGCCGCCACATATGAGTCTTAGAGTACTCAATACAATAGTACTCGATCTTAATCCTTATATCGAGCTACCTTGTGTCTCTACGTTTGTTAAGTAGACAGACCACCAACAAGCGTCGATCTCTGCCGGCTTTAGTGGCATCCTTTAGTGGCATTCCTCTTCCCTCGGAAGCAAACCCCACCCGGCGGGCCTCGCACGTTGGGCTGTTTGCTAGTGATTGCTAGCCCTGTCCGTGCCCGTGTTATGATTCTGCCAGTATCTATCGCCCTTTTGCTCCCCTTCTGACAACCCAACGATGATCGCGGCTTGGCATCACCGGGCGAGAATCACAATCCGCATCCGCGCTCTTCCGTGCTGTATGAACTGCCCGGGCGGCATAAACACCGTCCATGCGCTTCTCGTCACCTTTTCTTACATCCACGCACCTCCCGTCTACAGGCACACCTGTCCTTCCCGGAGATCTCTCGCATTACACCATTCAATCATTGTCGAGCCTCTTTCTCTAGTTAAGTTAAGTTTTATAAGTATATTATCCACTTTTTTTTTTTTTTTTTTTTTTTTCCTCTCTTTGACCGTTTTCAGGCCTGGCTGGCCCTTTCCCACCGCACCCGTACTTATGCATCGTATGACCAGCACTGACTCATCGCTCATGACGCGACGCTCGTCGTGAGGAAAGAAAGATCGGATACATGTTGCGGTCTTGTCGTTGACGTCATGGCATGGTTCCTCCAGATTGCTTGATAGAAGTAAAATCCACAACATGGTTACAATTGTCTATGAGGATGAGAATGAAAGTGGATGTTACTATTGTCCTTTAGTGAATGTCACTGTCCTGGTGTGTCTATCTACCAACAGGATCAGACTGCGCAGCAATCATTGCCATATTGGACTGCTGGACATCCGTGCTGTCAAGCCGACACACAAACCAAATGGGACCCGCCATAAAAATTAGGCCTGATAAGATCGACCCGATCCCATGACCTCGCTTTCGGCCCATCCGGCTCAATCGGCTTACTTTACACTCTTCAGGTTTCCATGTCTTTGTCTGGCGGCATTTGCACGAAGGCTGCCGCATTTCAATCTCCGTCATCGATGGGAGGCCTAGACTACAACTGTCATGTTGACATGTCGCCATTCAGGGTTTACCAGTCTTACATATGGCGTTCAGCTTACAGGTCATCGCGTGTGTAGTCCTTAGGTAGTACTAGTTAGTGGTTGAACGGACCATTTCCGATGCATCGCCCAATCAATTTTTTGATCAGGCTCATAAACTCGGAGACTTTTCCTTCCATGTGGATTCCACCGCAACTTTGGTCGATGTAGTTCGATTGGCGAAAAAGAATTTCTGATATTGGGCAAGGGTACGCAAAACAGCCGGCGGATGCCGCCCGCAGAGCTCATTTTTTTCTAAGCGGAGACAAACCATGGCTCAGCACTTGACTATACTAGGCAGGCCATAATCTCCGTGCCGCTAATTCCGGCTTTACTCCGATGATGGTGCCGCTTTAACCGGTTGACTTGGTTGGTGAGACTGTTCAGGTACTCCCTTTATTGTTCTTGTTTCTCTGTGATTCGCTCGTGGACTGTCACGCTAGCTGGTAGGGACTCATTAAGCGACCTCAAGGATAACTATAACGGCCAGCTCTTCTCTGGCAGGTTCGATGGCTATCAACTAGATGGTCCGATCCATTTTCGTCGACTAATCTGGCAGAGCTTAGGGGTTCTAGCTTCCAGGGTGGCACTTAAGCACTTACTTCGGTTCAGAAACGCCCTCTTCTTATACATTTCCATATGCTAGGGAACTACTACCCCAGATTCTTTGCTCGTCATGGACCATATCGAACATCATTGGCTTTTGAATTATGACAATTTCCATAGCTACTTCAGCTTACATGGTCTGAAGTGTCATCTCGCTTCATGTCCATCTCACAAGGTATAGTACCTAATACTAAACTACACCTTAGCCAGAGTATTTTCATCGAGCCTTCTTCACCCAGTCATCTCGTTCAGTTTAACTTGCCGAAGACTGTGCAAGGCGCAGTATACGTAAGGTCAAGTGATTGCCAACTACCCCCCTTACATCAAGATGTCAGTCATATACTGTTCTACCTAACCCACCGCAAGCATAGTACTCAAAGTAGGTAAGTCTGACCATCAGTCACCGCAACATGCCGCAAAAACAGGGAGGACGACTGCGGGGAGACATAAGCCCACCCTACCAGTCTGAAACGGGACATGGATATGTACTGCAGTAGTCACAAGTTTATGATCCCTATCACAAGACAGCCTTTCGCTACATTTTACATTACTTGTCTGATTAACTAGCTCACGCGACATAAGAGATCAACTAAACCAATGTCTACTAAATACTAACAATAATGAAACCCCCGAAAATCGGCGCCCGGAATGGCCATCCAGGCACAAGTACCTTGCTACTTTGTACACAGATGATCATCACTGATCCAAGCGAGACGGACCAATCGCTTATACACACAGCACCAATAACACCTACTAGACAGATGCTAGATGCTTCTGCTGTACCGCACCTGCTGCGATCATCACTACTTAGCCCTATCAGGTCCAATCGAGCGGGTAATCCCGAACGCAAGTGACTACGGAGTACACAGTAGTCTATCACGTCGGAGCTCGGATGTTCGGGTTTTGAGGAAGCTAGCTTGTGCTTGCTTTTCTTTCTGTAGTTACTGCTATGTTGATCGTTGGTCAATAGAACCTCCTTTGCACTGTCCCTGAATATCTGACCTAACTCCCTCCCTCTGAAGTGGTGATCATAATGATTTGGTTGTACAAAGTACTACGGCTAGGGTTCAGCTCATAAGTAAAGTACCCAAGTGAAATACTACGTATCCCGTAGCTACTATACAAAGTCTACATTGGATAGGATAACTTTTCCATAGAGCCATTGAAAGGCTACCTTACAACCAGAGATTAACTAATCCTGACCCCAATGCCCGTCCAACAAACATTTCAATTAGTTAATGCACAACTGATGCATGTGCTAGCTAGCTACTTACCTAGCCAGCCTTACACCGATGGCTCTAAGCCTTATGAAAACCCCTATAATACTCACTTACTTTTTCTTACCCCTTTTCTTTACCTAAGTCTCTCTTTTTCTTTTTTCTTTCCTCACCCTTTCTAATTTGTCTGTCTATATGCCTGCCTTTTATCCTTTAATGCATGTAGCCATGCCTTTTCCCTGAGAGGGAGGGGGTATCTTATGGAGTACTAATCTATGTACCTATCTGAACATGAGTGGGCAAGAGTATTACCTAACACGTATAGATGCAACAAATAGTTATACCAAATACTAAGTGACTATTGACTAACTATGCTTAATACTAGATTATTTACGCACCTGTACCCCTGTAGTCTGTAGTCTGCCTCTTTACAACCCGTCTGTTGAACGAATAGTCCATGTAGCATCTTGATGTAGTAGCATGCTTATATATGGCCCCCAGAGTCTGGACTAGAGATAATTGTGCATTGTTGAGCTCATTGAGCGCAGTTCAAGTTGTCTTGGTATGATTGAAGGGAAGGGTAAGTATAAGAACGTCGGTGGGGATGCTGAGTAGCCTGATCTTCTATATATAGTTTCTAGAAAAAAGGCCTTGGCAGTATATATATCTGCGAGTAAGCTGGGATGTATTAGAAATATGCATTCCAGTGGAAAGATGTGTCTCGTTGTGGTTGGCCATTCTGCTTCGGGCTCCCAAGTACGCGATTGATTATAGCGAGGTTAGTGATGGCGTGGTAGGGTAAAATGGAATGCAGGCAGACATCTTCATTAAAAAATAATCATACATGAGCTGAAAAAAATACCTACGCAGCAAGAAGTCAATAAAAAAAATTTACCATTATACGCAACAACCTGAAGAACAACTTCTCCATGAAATAGGTCTAAGACCATCGATATACATCCACCCGGAACAACCTCCCCTCCGAACCCGACATCTGGAGTAGTAAAGTTGAAAATAGCCCCGAACCCATATCACATGACCAGCAACCAATCCATCCCCCCATCCCAACAAGGCTTAGCGCCCCCATCAAGCGAGATGGTCCGAGCCCGCATCACGGAAACCGGAAAGACACACAAACGGAATTTCGACCCTAACCTTTTCGTTGAATCCCCGTCCCCCTTCAACGCCCAGCGACGACAAACCGCCTGCCAAACACCGTCTCATCCCCAGGTTTCTCTCGCCTCAGATTCAAGATGACTCACGAGTCCGTTTGGTACAGCCGGCCCCGCAAGTAAGTTGAAATCCGTGCCGATGAAATTTGATATCTATATTTGTGTGTGGTTGCTAATTGATCTGTGATGAATAGGTTCGGCAAGGGTTCCCGTTCTTGGTGCGTATTCTGCGATTTTTTTTTCTCCCGAAGAGATGATGTGTGGGATTGGGAGAGAGTTTCGGAGAGGAGAGAAGAGAAGAAATGAATCGAATGGAGGACATATACGAAAATGTGAAAGGAAGTTATGTGCTGATTCGTGTGTGTTGGAATAATACAGCCGTGTCTGCTCCCACCGCGCCGGTCTGATCCGCAAGTACGGGGTATGGATATCCACTGAAATCTACGCGATGCGAAAATATCGGGGGTGCTGGAATAAATGGCTAACTGGTTTTGCGTACAGATGAACATCTGCCGTCAGTGCTTCCGTGAGAAGTCCTCTGACATCGGTTTCCACAAGGTTGGTTTCACCATCACCCACATGCATATTCCAGCATCAGTACCACAATCACATTATATCCGAAATGGCATTGGCATGGCGAGGAGGATATCGAAAGAGAAAAGAGATGGGATTTGCGACAATAATCAAAGAATGAAATTATCGGAAATGAATTGAGAAGAAATGCCACTACGACATCGACAGCCAAAAACCACAATCACGCCACACAACCCAAACCCAGAGAAACCTAACTAACACACCATTTCACCCCAAACAGTACCGTTAAATCGAATCTTCTCCCCCCATCATCATCATCGATCCCATTTTTCCGTTATTCACGACGATGATTCGTTAAAAAACGTGCTCGTGGCGCTTTCGATTCTCTATTTCACATACACCACCCAATATCAAATTTACCAACGATCCCCCACAATTTCATGTCGGGGATTAGCGGAGGAAGAAGAAATACAGGGGGGATAACGGTAGCCTCTTATGTTCTTTTACCAGTGTGCGTGTGTGTGTGTGTGTGTGTCTGTGAAATCGAAAACGCAAATGAAATCCGAAACCCGGGCTTGATTTTCAATGGAATGAAATAAAATGGTGTTTTCCTTATCTGTTCATGGTGGAATTTCCTTTAAATCTTTCTAGATGTGATTGAGGAAGAGATGGAATTTGAGGGTTAGAGACGATCAGAGGGGTGGGCTTTAGGTTGTTGGCTGGTGTGGACGGTATTTCCTATTGAATTGAGGAACTCTTGATAATCGCCGATTCTTTCCCACTTGTCCTGTGAGAGGTAGGGGGTGTTGCTGGAGACCGTATCATTCGTATGGGCTGGTTATGCATGTCTTTTGGGATCGTGCGGCTCTGCTCTGGTTGATACCTTCCGGCTTATTGAAGGATGTAGTCAGTTGGGTTTGGGTCCAGTCATAGGACTGTCCTCTGGTGGATAGTTCCTGTAGGACCTGCGTAGTGTAGATGACTCTGAGTATTTCATGAGTCACATAGAAGCATCCTATGTCTATCTAGTGTCTAGTATCTTAGTGTCCAGGTCAGCGCCAGTTTTGATATACTTTAAATCAAGATCGAGTATTTGAAACACCCCCATACAGTCTTGTATTCGCCATTCATATCTAGCGAGGCACTCAGCCATGTATACCCACTCCTGCAACCTTAACCTTCTACTATACCTGGTAGTCTTGACGCATATGCACGCCGCAGACATACCCGCTAAATCTAAGCGAATGAGCGTATAAAGCAAGCAAAGAAAAGAAACGCAACACAACAAGACAAGCATCAGTCTTGCATCCATGATCGAAGATGCCAACCACAACTCTCCCACACGAGCATACATGCAACCAACTAATCAAACAATAATAATACAACTCCTAGCCGTGGACTCCGAGTCGCTGAAGAGAAACCGAATGCGAGAAGATGAGGCAGCCGCCAGAGTACAATGTGATGTGATGATGTGGTGTGATGGTACACGATAAGTAGCTAGCTTCTATTGCGGCGCAGAAGCCAGTGATCGAAGATTGTAAAATAGGAGATACGCGTCGGCGTTGAGGACTTCTGCCTCGGTGACGGCGGTGACTTTGTCGTCGTTGAAGAGTACCCACTGAGAAGTTCGGGTTAGGAATGGTTGTTTAGGAGTAATCTAACTGAGGGAGATCAAGAACTCACATCATCGCCTTGGCGGCAGTAGACGTAGTAATGCCCCGCATCGAGTTTGCCTTGATGGACTACGGCAGATGAGAGGTCATATACGAATCTGGACCTGTCAACTTTGGCCTGGGGGCAGGTTGTATAAGGGAGCATGTTGATCGATAGTGGAAAGTCGATTTTGCCTTCTAGCTTCTCCGAGACGGAAAAGGTGTGTTCAAAGCGCTGTATTGGGTAAGTCTGTGTCTGGTCCTAGAAAATTTGCGCAGGAACATACCTTTAGCTGCATGCACAGAATGGCGGGTAGTTTCCGAATGCGCAGTTGTTTGGTGGCCTTCTGTGGTGTTCCGCCGCAGTGACTGCAGTTGTACACGCCTGCCATTAGTTTCTCCGGAGACGTGTAGCTCTCCAGACATCCGCTCAGGGTAGGCGTCGACGAAACTCCTGTGCCACCCATGGCGCGTTTCTTCGCCTGCACTTGAACATCGAGACTGAGATCCACCATAGGATCATCCGTTCGTGTGACGTTGCCACACTTGTCGCAAGTCACGCTGCTTCGGAGCTTGCCGTAGAAGGTCTTGTGGAAGAAGCAAGGACAACCCTTTTCATGGCCTTCCCGGTGGTTCTCCGTACTAAGGTGAAGCTTGTCGACGAGAAATTGGTAATATTCGTGTGCGTCTTGTTGTTGATATCCCGCCAAAGTCTGAATTATGGCAATTAGCACCGCTTGTCAGAAATATAAAATGTCCGCGGTAACATACAGAACTTGCACGCCATGATGCTAGAAGAAGATTGAGAGCCGCGAATCCTTCCGGTTTGTCACTGCTATTGAAATCCGCGAAGGCCTCCGCAACTGCACATCCTACGCAGTCAGAAGCAGTGCAGTCGTGGGGCTGATGACCGTTCCCAAGGAAATAAGTGTTGAGTATTGGGTCGTGCAGAAGGGTCTGGAGGATGACATTGAGATAGCAGGTTTGCCCCAGGTTGAACAAGCCCCTGACACCTTGCTTAGCGCAAGGACGCTTGCTGGCATTGCTCCGAATATAAAGTTCGTCCGCAGAGCTATCGCTGAAGCGACGTTTCTTGGCGACTTTTTGGTGTGTTAGTGCTATAACATGCGCGAGAGTAGGTCAGACGCTAACCTTGAAGAGCACTTTCTGTTGTTGAGCACCGAAGTCGTTCGAGGCCGTGGTCATAGACGAAATCTCCACAAGCCTGGCAATATACTGTGCGGGCTCGCGAGTCCATGTCTTGAACACTGTTAGTAAACATCGATAAGGAAAAGGCAAGAATCACCTACAGAACTGATGGCTAGTCTTCTCGGTATGGGCTTTCCGGCCGCCCATGGGCATCGCTTCACCGCACGTCAAGCAAGTGTACTTTGGTTTCAAAAAGTCCTTGGATTTGAGACGGCCGTTCTGCTTTGACGAATCTATCGATCGCTGAAGATGGCCTAATGAATTATGCGCTTTGATAAAAGCGTTCTTGAACTGCTCTGCAGTGCTCACGTCCTGCCCCATTTGCGTGGCCAGATGCTCTGTTATCAGGTCAGTAAAGGGGGCCAAAAAGGTTCGGAAAACAGCTCTGCGCAATGAGTTTCACATACCGCAGCCATATTCGGCCTCAGAAAGTAATGATATCGAGAGTACGCTAGCCATTGTGTGGGGGGTACTTATGAATGAACGTGGTGAAACAAGTGTCACAGCTCGCACGTGAAGCCTATCCTGGCTCAGCCTAGAGTGAGGCTCCCAGTCGAGATGGGTGAAAGAGTGTTAAGAGTAGTACAGTTAGTCTCTCCCAATGTAGAGAGAGCGAGACGATAAAGATATTCAGCAGGTCAACTGCAGATCAAGTAGGAATCCATGGATCGGACGGACTACCCTGGAGGACTCTGCAGGCCATGAAATCATATCAGTTCTGTATGCTAGGGGACGGTCAGGTCCTCCAATGGGGATGAAGAGAAAGAAATGCACCTTCACAAGACGTGCCAATAGCAAAGCCACCGAAGCAGTGGAATGTCGAGAGCGGGCAGCAGTCACTCGAGTGTTTCTCCGCAGCCACCGGGTGTTCCGCAGTTCAAATCGGGATCGGACTTGGTCACAGCGGGATCCCCCCCTTCGAGTCACTCGGTCCCTCGCTGTCTTCTTGTTCAGGACCGTGCAAGGACAGTCCCAATGAAATAGACGGACAGAGACCGAAATGATACAATACACAGGTAGGTCAATTATATATACGGATGGAGATCGTCCCGTGAAGACAGGCACGGTGGGCGCTGGATGCAAGACAGATCTTTTTTTCGCCAGGGTCGACCGCGGCTCCGGGGCGATAAGAAACCGGGACTGCATTTGATCCGAGATTGTTGCTTTGGCGTCTTTGGCTTCCTTATTGGGTGTGCTTTTCGAGGTATTTTTTTTTTTTCTTTTTTTTGCATTCATTATGTCTCTCGACAAATCACCCAACATGATATACACTGGCAAACTATGGCCGTGCGCCTACAGATATCAAGATGGGGCATCTGATACTTGATGATGTCTTTCCCCATTGACCCCGGGGTGGGTCATTCTGGGGACGGGCGATGGTCCTACAACGCTTATTCGAGCCGCAAAGACACCCACTTTCAAACATTTAGAATATTTTGTATTGATCATTATTCGTATTGCTATCATACAGGACCCAGATCTTCTCCGAACTGTGAAAAAGTCTTGGGGCACTAGACTGGAGATTTCCAGCCTACCCTAACTCTACACCCTGGGCTAGCAAGAACTTCCCTCAGAAAGATCCGAGCCGCTGAGATCAGACAGGCCGCTCGGCAGGCTTCGTGTTACGGAACGCTATCGTCGCCGTAGGTTCTTTCAGGAACGGGGTACCTCAAGGTTTGGGGGCGCGTTGCGACTGCAGGGATTCTCTACGGATTGCCAATAGCAGACCGTTCCCTTCGCGCAAGTCTTTGTGCCTCTCCATGCTCAACCGTCTGCGCCCTGTTGAAAATTTCTACCATCCGGGTTCCTGCCTTCACCGCAATCCTCGTCCGCGGGGCAATGCGCTTGGACGGGCGCCGCGATTGGCGCCCCGTGTCGCATAACGACTGCTTGTCGAACCACGCGTGGATCCTCTGGTGGTGCCACGCGACGGGGCCGGGATTCTGGCCGAAGGCTTGGAGGGAACGGTGCTCGAAGGATGTTCAATGAAGGAAGTGTCCGTAGTCCTAAGTGCGTCATGTTGTTAGTATGAGGAAAGCAATCAACAACTAGCCCGGGGAGTAATCAAGACTCACATGAATGTCATCTCCGCTTCAGTGGTCGCTTTCAGCTGTTCGGCTTCGGCTTCTACCCGTGCTATTAGTATTGGATCTTCCTTTTACATAGCTGTGTCCATACCATTCTGTGCCTCTGCTTGCTTGGCTCTCCGGAAAGACTCTGGAATGGGCGCCTGTATCCGATCGTCAGCTTAGGAGGGAAGACAGCCACTATTCTCAGTCGCAATTACCTCTGGGAAGTCCACACAGAACGCGTTCATGTTCAATCCATATAGGAAACTGGCAAAACTCTCACTGAACCGAGTCAAACTTTCGTGCATCAGCTGAAGGTGCATGAAGTTGGCCTCGAGGTCGGCCATGGAGTCTGCAAGCTCTGCAAACTGGGGTTCCAAGGCATTGATGGCAGGCTGGGTGTAGCCTGCCATACCAATACTGCTGCCATAGCCATGAGCTTCGCGGATCGACGACCGGGAACTGGGTCTTAAGGGAGTCGTGGGTCGCGACGAGGGCCGTGGGCGAGACGATGAGCGGGCAAAAGCATCCATGACGATTCTGAGACTGTGCACCCAAATTGAAGGCTGCAACCAAGCCGGCAGAGAGACACTGATAAGATAATATAAGAATAAGCACAGTATAGAAGAAAAGCTGTCACAAACATGCGACTTGACGCAGTTGTGTTTCAAGTTGTGTATGAAGGAGTTGCGAAAGATTGGGTTTGTTGATGTTGATCCCCGCTTTAGGCAAGGCGGAATCACTGGACCCTCCTTTTCCCTGCCTCAGGTGTCTGCAGATTTGCTGCCTGGGGGCGCCACCGTGACCCAAAATGGTCCAATCAGCCTATAACCAGGACTACTTAGTTCTTCCGTCTAGTCCGGAGGGGACCCCTGGTGTGATTATCGTCATTGGATTGCGGACTGGCAAAAATAAGAGACTTGGCAATCCAACCTGTTCGCTTGCTTCATCTTCCTCCCCATTATTGCCGCATCCAACCGCTGTGAGTTCCCCTTAGTCTCCTGCAGCTGAACCCTGAATCTGTGAAGGTTCCAAGCGAACTGCACCGTCCGCTTAGGTTCTCTTCGCCTCCTTCCCTTTCGCCTTCCTTCCCCGCATTATTTCCGGCTGGAAATTTAGGCTCGGATCTTCGTCTCTCATTTTTCTCACGAGGACACCAGGAAAAGACTGCCGGCTTCTCTGCTCTTGGGATTTGACTCGTCCTTCTCCCTCCAATCGCCTTCTGGCCCTCACGAATAAGCACATGCATGCTTGTTCCCTCCTGCGCCGCCGTCTATCTCCATCCTCGGCCAATTCCATCAAGTTCGCGTCGGGCAGACTCCTGCATTCAGGACGTGCCCAGATCTTCCCACCGCGGTGCTCTAATCAAAGTCTTCTGATTTGGTCTCGATCCTTCAGACGACCCTTCTCCACTTCGCCGTTGTCTCAACCTTACAAACCGAGGGAAGCTGCGTCGTTCTGGTCAGTCACATTCACCCTACTTCTTATCGGAGCAGGAGCCTGGCTACAGGATAAATACCGCAAGTCGGGAGGTGATACTTCTACGATTTCTGACTCACTCGAACCTTTGCAAGAATCGCAAGTACCTTTTCTCGGCGTCATCGAAACCCTAAAGACAATGCCTATGGATCTACCACCCGGGACCGTGGGGAATCTCACAACAGAGCAGGAAGCCAAGCTGCAAGAGCTTTGGGTTCTGCTGCTAAAGGTCTGTGGAGTCAATTTGGATGCTATTGAACAGATTCAGCAGCAGAACGGCGACTCTGCTGCTGCAAGCCAACCCCAAGATAAAAAGAAACAGTCCAAGCGGAGTAGGTTCGGTCTTTTCGGGCGGAGCAACACGGATGAGGAGGAAGATAGCGCTAGTGACAAGGGGACCAACGGGATCGCTTCGAGTCTCGCTTCTATCAGCATCGCCGATGGAGAGGACAAGTATGGCCAATCGAAGGAGTTCCAGCAGGCGCTTGTGGATATGAAGCCTGAGGAGATCCGGGTGACTCTTTGGAATATGGTCAAGCATGACAATCCCGATTCTCTGCTCTTGCGCTTCCTGCGCGCGCGAAAGTGGGACGTCAAGAAGGCTCTGGTCATGTTGATCTCCACGCTTCGCTGGAGACTACTGGACGTGAAGTTGGATGAGGACATCATGCAGAATGGCGAGCAAAGTGCTCTGAAGAAATCCCAGAGTTCAGATCCCGCTGAGAAGAAGGCCGGTGAAGACTTCCTGTTGCAGATGCGCATGGGCAAGAGTTTCCTCCATGGTGTGGACAAGCTTGGCCGGCCGATCTGCGTCGTCAGAGTGCGCTTGCACAAGGCCGCCGACCAGGAGACAGAAGCTTTGGACCGGTTCACTGTGTACACCATTGAGACCGCTCGGATGATGCTTGCACCTCCAGTCGAAACAGCTGTGAGTATACAATCTCAGGGTAAGAGTGGCATGCACTGACAGGTAATAGTGTGTTGTCTTCGATATGACCGATTTCTCCCTAGCAAACATGGTAGGCACCCTGTCAACTGCCAACAGATTTCATCTCTGACATGTTTTAGGACTATCACCCGGTGAAGTATATGATCAAGTGCTTCGAAGCCAACTACCCGGAGTGTCTGGGAGTTGTTCTGATTCACAAGGCTCCTTGGATCTTCTCAGGTTAGTTCTTCAGATTCGATATCCAAGGGAACTTTCCTAATTTCGATTGCAGGTATCTGGAATATCATTAAGGGCTGGCTCGACCCTGTGGTCGCCTCTAAGATCCAGTTCACCAAGAGTGTCCAGGACTTGGAGAAGTTCATTCCCAAAGATCGTATTATGAAAGAGCTTGAAGGTGACGAAAACTGGGCCTACAAGTATGTCGAGCCTCAACCCGACGAGAACAAGCTTCAGGAGGACACAGCCAAGCGGGACGAAATGGTGGCCGAGAGACAGCAGCTGGCGCAGGAGCTTCAAGGCGCCACCATCGAGTGGATTTCTTCGACGATGAAGAAGGATGAGAGCGCTGTCAAGGCGGCGGTAGACAAGAGAAAGGACCTGATCGAGCGCTTAAGGGTCCAATACTGGCAGCTTGACCCATACGTTCGGGCCACCTCCTTGTATGATAGACTAGATGTCATCCAAGGTGAGGGTAAGATCGAGTTCTATCCCACGAAGAGCAAGGTCGAGGGAAACGCACTCAACGACGAGAAGGCCGAGTAATACGCTCCGGGCCTTGGTACGAGGATAGACTATTAGAGTGTGTTGATAGAGGACTACTTGTCATAATAATGCTCACATCGTGAGAGCATGTACATACAGCTTCTACCTGTCGGTCATGGAGCATGTATACTTGGATTGCGGTTTTTGTTTATGGTTTCAAATGGAGCAATGGATTTTTCTTGATAGATGCATTCCCACAGAATTTGGCTATCATCGTCTGTATCATAGCTTACAGTGTGTACCCTACGAATATTCAGATTGTGAAAGTAGAACTGATACTAATAGCACATGGTATGTAAATAGACGCAGCCGTAGCACTTGCTATATCCGTACTACATACACATTTACATCTTAGCCTTGACCTCCTCGAACAGAGCCTTCAGCTTATCCATATCGGTTTCCTGAGCGGGCCAGCCGACACCGAGACCTTCCTTCTCGTTAGGCTTGGGGATCTGTTCCAGCATCATGTTAGCAAGTGAAAGTAACCAATGGCATCATGAACCGTGACGGAGTCACATATGCTCTTTCTCGAGGTTTGTGATGGACATACCATGTGGAAGTGAACCTGAAAAAACCAAACATTAGCATTGGCCCCCCCTCCAACATCCATAAAAGAATATCAACTTACATGATCAACAACCTGGTGCGCTATGCGACCGTTGTTCTGGAGGATATTGAAGTCCTCGGCGCCAGTGGCCTTGGCGATCTTCTTTGCGACGGGCTGTTTGATTTTGTTGAACATTCCTTGTTAGTATCTGTTCGTTCCTGTGGCTAGCTAGCTAGGTAGCTGCGGGGAAGACTGAAAGAGGAGGAGGGAGGGGGGTTAAGTGCTCGCAGGGTCCTCGATCAGGCGGGACCTTATAAAAGCATGTGGATCGAGCGCTGAGCTATTTCAGATGTGTGCATGTCGGTGCTATCTACGTACCAGGACTTCCTGAAGATCTTCGTCGGGGATGTCGGTGAGCTTGGCACCGTGGTATTTGGGGATCACGAGCTGTGGTTTGGGGGTGGGATGTTAGCTTGGTTTGGTTTCTTGGTATTATCTTCCTGGGGGAGAGGTATGTGGAGTATATGGGGTTTATTGAGGGTCTGGAATTGAAGAGTTGGGGTGGGATTTGTTGATATAGTGTTAGTTTTGAGGGACTGTCGACTGTCTGTCTCGAGGTTGGGAGCAGAATGCGACATGTCCATGTCGTGCGGGGGTATATTTAAAGTGGTGGTATGTATGCATTTCATAGAAGAGGGACGGCAACACTTACAGCGTGTCCACGGCTAAGAGGCTGAATATCGAGGAAGGCAAAGACCTTGTCGCTCTCGAAGAGCTTGAAAGAAGGGATATCACCTATTGTTTACGTCGGGTTAGCCGGATCGGATCACTGTTACCAGCAGGGGCGCGGTTGGAGCAAAGAATATAGTATTTGTGGGTGTGCAGAGGTAGGAGACACCGTACCCTTGATGATCTTGCAGAAGATGCAGGCAGCGGAAGACATCTTGTGTGACGAGGTTGAGTATATACGTTGATGGCAATCAATGTATTTATGTCTGAGGGGAATTGAAGGTCGCAATGGCTGAATGCGGGGTTAGCAATCGCAAGGCGGAAGAAGACGAAAAGATAAAGTTGAGGGAAAAAGGTTCGCGCCGGCGAGGTCTCGAACTTGCGGCGGGTGGCTGACGGAGGGTACTATAAGAAGCAGTTTAAGGTAGAATCTGCGAGGAGTGGGACAAACTAGCTCAGAACCCATTTCTTGCCTTTTACCAGAGATGGCCGTGGTTTGCCCAAAAGACTCCTCTCATCAATCTTTGGAATCACCCATCGACACAGCTGTCGATTTTATTGTTTTTCTTTTTCTTGATCGTTATTGTATGATCTAAGTAGAATATGTTCGTCTTTTCTTGCAACTTTCTAGCCCCTTTATAGTAGTTCTCAAGAAATTGGTGCGTCCGCTTTGCCTTTTGAGGGTGCGTGTGCGTAACTGGCTATACTGAGCGACCAAGTCCCTAAAGCTAGGGGAAAACGAACACATGGTTGCCGGCTCCCAGAAACAGTTGTCTTCATACATTAAGCCACTACTGATGACTATCGGTGTCTCTTCAGTCAATTGAAACACTAATCCTGTATACTGTACTTAAGCACTGATCGAGTCTTCCGCAAGCGGAAGCTCTCCTTCCCCTTGTGTCTTTAGCAGTACATGTCGCTTATTTGAATCGTTGGGTGGATGCAATTGTCCTCTTTAGCCACCAGGTGCTCATAATTTGGAGAACTTATACCGTGCAATGAACATGGCACTAAAGCCTACAAGAAGAACAAACCTCGCCCTGAGTCAATCCGTCACTTCAACAAGGTTCCAGTCCGTATGGCTGGTCCGTCTTGCATTGGTCAACCCACTACTACAACTGCTCCACGCCCTGTCAATTGGTACTCAGACAGGCTAACCGTGCCCTGGGGCCCTCCCTACCCCTCATCATCGATAGAATCGCCCATTGCCGAGCTGCTCTTGTACCTTCCTATATAAGCGGCCAAGGCCGTTGGAGTATGAGGAAACGCTCCATTGTCACCCAAATCCGCGGATATCTGATTCGGTGGAAATCCCGAGACCCCAGCTCAACCCCACCCAGCTATCTTATCATACTGTCGATTGGGCCGTCTTATCTGGAAGGGTCTCCAACAATAAGACCATTGAACTAGATATAGCCCCTTGGGCGCTCACTCGGCTCAAAATGGCCTTCATCTGTTACCGAAGATCATCTGCTGCCAGGTTTACTGGGATCCTATCCAAGCAGACAATATCAGCCTTTGCGAAACCCGCAATCACGCCTCCACGTCGAGCATTCTCAGTTACCACGACTCATACCATGCTGTCTACGGAGCTAACCGAGGCTGAAGTCTCGGCTCTCAGGGCCAATAAAGAACGTTTGGCAAAGGACCTCCATCATAGCTGTCAGTGGGGATATGGCATCCGCTGGGGAGAGTAAGTGTTACTGTAACACCCTTTGGAATCACTACAGGCGGTCTTTTGGGTTCATGCGAAGGAGCTGCTTGACATACCCAATGGCCTGCGTTTTGCCATGGATCGAGAGTTGGTCTAACAGCAATCCAGTGGGCACACAGACACTGGCATGCAGCGACTCGCGCTGTCGCAGGAGGACAAGCAAGTACGGGACTGGTTCATTGAGACAACAAAGGCATTGAAATGCGAGGTCACGGTGGATGAAATGGGTAACATCTTCGCTGTTCGCCCTGGACGACGGACTGACGTCCCACCCACTTTTATTGGCAGCCATCTGGATACGCAGCCGACAGGTGGCCGGTATGATGGAATTTTGGGTGTGCTCTCCGGTATTGAAACGCTGAAGGTAATTGACGAAATGGGATTGGAGACGGAAGGTGGAATTGGAGTTGTCAACTGGACAAAGTACGGCCCAGATTGCTTTTACTATGCTTCAATTCGCATGGCTAACACTATCATAGCGAAGAGGGTGCCCGATTCCCCATTAGCATGGTGTCTTCTGGCGTTTGGGCAGAATGCATCCCTCTCGAACGAGCACATGGGCTTAAAGAAGTCCCAACAGTCGCATCTCTCCCAACCGCATCTTCTGCCCCCGAGTCTATGAAGTCTGCGTTGGAGAAGATCAACTATCTCGGAAGTGTCCCGTGCTCATACAAGCAAACACCCATGGCGGCTCACTTCGAGCTACACATCGAGCAAGGACCCCATCTAATTTCCGCAGGCCAGCACGTTGGTGTCGTTACCGCCGTTCAGGCATACCGTTGGTTCCACCTCACGATCTTCGGCAGAGATACCCACACGGGTACTACCGCGTTCGAACACCGTGCAGATGCCCTATATGCCTTTGCTCGTATGATGGTACGTGCTCGTGAGGTTGCCTCCTCCCACGGCTGTCTGGCTAGCGTTGGAATTGTAGAGGCAAAGCCCGGCAGTGTGAACACAGTTCCCGGCACTGTCAGCTTCACTCTCGACATTCGCGGCCCAGAAAGCGAACTGGTCCAGGTTGTAGAAGACCAATTGAGAAAGGAGTTCGATTCGATCGCCGCAGAAGAGGGTAAGGGTATTGGCAAGCCTTGCCGCGTAGAGTGGACCCTTGACTTCGATTCGCCCGCTGTCAAGTTCCACCCTGACTGCATCGAGTGCGTGCAGCAATCCGCGGAGGCGGTCGTTTCGGACGTTAATGCTGCGGAGCCCAAGTCCCTCATGCGGACAATCATGAGCGGGGCGGGTCACGATAGTGTCTTTACCTCCAAGAGAGTGCCGACCAGCATGATCTTCGTTCCCTGCAAAGATGGGCTGAGCCATCACCCGGAGGAGTTCTGCTCCGCAGATGACTGCGCAACAGGTGCTTCAGTCATCTTGCAAGCAGTGATCCGTTATGACCGAAAGAGGTTCTCGAAATGAGCTGTGTTGACAGCGGGTGCCTATAGTTGCGCCTCTGCATACATCCCAACATTGCCTTTTGGTATATCAACCGCATGTATATAGCAGCAGATTTAGCCGCCATTTATCTTACGAAATAGAAAATAAAATGAAGTCATGAAATCATGCCATTAATCCTAACTATATCATAAGTGTGAAACAGTAGCTTGGCATAACTTCTTTTTTAGGACGTGCACGGTACAGCTTCCCGACTTCTTTCAAAGTCGTTCAAGCCACACCGGCAACAATCCCATTAAGCCCTTGGAAGACCGGCAGGCGACACCCCTTAGGAGGAGGGAGCACCACGGCCACGGCCGAATCCACCACGGAAGCTGGGAGCGAACTCGCCGGGGGCACCGCCCTCCTTGTTCTCCTGCTCGCGGCGGCGGTAGCCACCCTCACGAGGAGCACGGGGACGACGCTCACGCTCCTCACCGCCCATCATGCCACGAGGGGGAGCGTGGGAACGCTGCTGCTTGATGTGGGTGGCGGGGACAACCTCAGCGGGGAGGTGGAGCCACTCACGGAGGTAGTCAAGACCCTATATCAAACCAGTCAGACCAACTGTCTTTAATGGTATCCTGCGCCAGCTATAATCATGGAAGAAAACGTACCTCGGGGGTGAGGGTGTAGTAGTAGTACTGCCACGAGAACTGGGTCTTGACGAAGCCACGGGAGGTCAGGGACTGGCAGGCCTTGATCACGTAGAGGTTCTTGGTGTCAATGTCGCCATGCTTGGGAAGGTTGAAGTCCTTCTTGGCCACGAGCACACCCTCTATTATTTACCGTCAGCATGACTGATTCATCATTCATCCATCATCCATCGATCGACCGTCGCGCAACATTTCGGGGAAACAAAGGTCGGTCGATATAGGTGTTCACATACCGCGGAAGAGGTACTCGTGGATCTTCTTGCGGTCTTCCTTGGGGATAAGCCTGAATCAGGGTTAGCTACATCATTTTATATGATATCAATGGCCGATATTAGGTGCATCACTTACATTGTCGCGAGTTCCTAGCGCTCTTCGGGGAATCGCCTTGACAACGCGCGAAGAGGGTGGTTTAAATGTAGTTGATGTGAGTGGAGCGGCTGCGGTCGAGAAAAAAGTGCGGTAATTCCCCATCGGGAAGCGGTTTCAGGGTTGAGGCCCTAATCGCTCCGCTAGGCGGATAAGCTGCGTCACGTGCAAGATGCGTTTTGGCCTGAGGCCACTAAGAGGTAGTTCTCTGTTAGTCATCAACGGCCTTATCGGGAACTCCTCCGCATCCTGAATGAAGTCGTCAACTGCGCCTCACCTCTGCAAGCGATCATCTCCACCTTCAACAAGCAGCAATAGTCTTGGCGCTTCGAGTCCTCGATATATACGCACTGCTTAAGTGACGGTCTCTGCGAAATCACCAACCATCATGGCGTCCCAAAACGTCAACGTCCTATTGTCGACCTTTCCCGGTCTCTCACTTCCATCAACACTCTCCTTCGCGCTACCATCATCATCCAGCGTCGCTGACCTGACGGACAAAATCGCCTCATACCTGCCTCCTTCTCTGCCACTCAATCGCCTGGTCTTGACAACAACCAGCAACAAGCAACTACTCCCCTCATCCGAATCCATCGCATCCTACCTCATTAGCACCAATGACAATCTCGCCACAACCTCCATCCTCCCCCTCCGCCTCAGCGCCCCCCTATGCGGTGGTAAGGGAGGTTTCGGATCCCAGCTCCGTGCCGCCGGTGGGCGCATGTCCAGCAAGCGCAAGCGTAATCAAGGCGACGACAACGGATCCAGTCGCAACCTCGATGGCCGTCGTCTACGCACGGTCAACGAAGCCAAAGCATTGGCTGAGTACCTCGCCCTCAAGCCGGAGATGGACAAGAAGGAGAAGGAGGAGCGCCGGCGCCGGTGGCAGGCTGTTGTTGAGGCGGCGGAGAAGCGTCAGGAGGAGCTGAAGAACGGAGGTGGCAAGCAGAAGATTGATGGTCAATGGATGGAGGACAAGGACGAGATGAATGAGAAGGCGAGAGAGGCGGTTCTTATGGCTATGAAGGATGGTATGTGGACGGATAACTTGCGCGATACGATTCTGGGCGGATCAAGCACAAGTGCTAGCCCGAGTGAGGGAAGTGGTCAGGAGACGCCCTCTAGCTCTGAGGAGGAAAGTGATGATGAGCAGGAGATGGAGGATGCGCCTGGACCGTCGTCGGCTGAACCGGTTCGCAACGCGGCACCTCGGCGGTATATTGGTTTTGATGAGGATGACGAGTTTATGAGTGACTCGGAGGAAGAGGAGGAGGCCGAAGATCCTAAGGGAAAGGGAAAAGCCAAGGCTTGATTGAATGCCATTGAATGCCTCTTTTCATGCGATTACGGCGTATGGTCTACGGTTCTGGTTGTTTTTCATGTTGTTGGCTCGTTATTGATATCAGGGTTTGCGAAGCACGGTTATTTCATCTTAAGCTCCACAGCCAGCGTACATATTCTATCGAAAATAATATTTTTCACGCTAACCAACTCTCCTTAACATTATCTTGTAAACCAACAGCACCCAATACCTCATATTAGCTATAGTAGAACCAGCTAGTCAGTTCGCCACAGCAACTTTTTTCCGGGCGCCGGCGCGGACCACCAACGCTATCGCCGCTATCACTATCAGTGCCAACTAGAACTAGACTTTCATCGCAATTCTCCTCCGAGCTCTCCAATATCCCCAAACCTCACCAAGCATGTCGCCATACCTCGGGCGCATGATCCCACGAGGGCGCCTACCATACCACCGAGCCCCTTTACAAATATCCCGCCTCCGCAAGCCGTGCCTGCGAACGACAACCGCGATTTTCTCTTCCCGCCCGGAGGTACTAGCCCGCTCCCAGCTACGCAGCTTTTCCACGAGTATTCCTCTCCGCGCAAGCCCGGCTCCTGAACCAACAATTGAAGAAGCTGTCGTCCCCGTGTGTTGTCCCGGATGCGGTGCGTATGCGCAGACTGTCGAGCCGAGGGAGCCTGGGTATTATGGGAAGACTAGAAAACAGACGCGGAAGTTGCTGTCTGAGACGAAGCAGGTTGTTGAGGGTGAGGAGAATGGGGAACAAGGGTCGGGGCTGAAGGCCAAGGGGGAGAAGGCGGCGGATCGGATTCAGAAGTATCTGGAGCTTACGGATGTTGGGGGGAGTGTGCCGAGGCCGAAGTGTGAGTGATTACCTTCTCTATTTGTCTTGTGATGGTGGGTTTGGTTCATATGCTAACTGATTGATTCCTGTTGTGCAGTTGGTGCTTCTTTGGTGAAAGCGGCAGATACTGCTGGCAAGTATCTGGAGAAGTCGAAAGCCCCGGTACAAATCTGCGATCGATGCCATGATCTGCTGCATCATAACAAGGCCGTTCCTGCTATTTCGCCGACTATGGATTCCCTTCGGGCGTATCTGGATGAGTCGCCTCATAAACATAATCGGATTTATCATGTTGTTGATGCGGCGGATTTCCCTATGTCTGTTGTGAAGGAGATCTACGATACGCTGGGGATTATGGATCCGCGGTCGAAGAATCGTCGCTCTGCGACTTATAAGTATAAAAGCGGGAAGAAGCTGCCGACTATTAGTTTCGTTATTAATCGGTCGGATTTGTTGGCCGCTACAAAGGAACAGGTTGATTCGAAGATGGAATATGTACGGTCTGTGCTTCGTGATACGTTTGGTCTCTCGCATGAGGAATTCCGCTTGGGGAATGTGCATATGATTAGTGCTCAGCGGGGGTGGTGGACGAAGAAAGTCAAGGAGGAGATTAGGGAGCATGGGGGTGGGATTTGGGTGATTGGGAAGGCCAACGTTGGTAAAAGCAGTTTTATTGAGGCCTGCTTTCCCAAGGATTCAAGGAATCTTGAGAAAATTGCGGAATTGATTGAACTTCGTGAGGAGGAGTCCAAAATCGCTACCCACTATGACCCTTCTGCTATTGATTCAGAGGGTCTTCTACCTCCTGCGCCTCGTGAAGATCTCTACCCCATTCTTCCTGTGGTCTCATCTTTACCCGGCACGACGGTATCACCTATTCGTATCCCGTTTGGCCGTGGAAGGGGCGAGATGATTGACCTGCCGGGGCTTGACCGTGGCGAGCTGTCCGACCATGTCCGTGATGAGTTCAAGCGCGATTTGATCATGACCAAGAGGAAGAAGCCCGAACGCCTCTCAATCAAACCTGGCCAATCACTACTTCTCGGAGGAGGTCTTGTCAGGATTACGCCGATGAACCCTGAGGATGTCGTGATGGCAGCTTGCTTCGTCCCGCTTGAATCGCATCTCACCAGAACCGAAAAGGCTATTGAAATGCAAACGGAGCAGCGCCCTTATCCCAAGACCAACATAGCCAGAGAAGGTACCGGTCAGGTCATCTCGTCTGCAGGTGTTTTTGACCTGAAATGGGACGTGACTCGTTCGCACCTCCCCAGGTCTATCGCCAAGGCGGTTGAAGATGGGCATATGAAGATGCCGTCTCTACCATACAAAGTTATGTCGACCGATATTCTGATCGAAGGATGCGGCTGGGTTGAGCTTACAGTTCAAGTTCGAGCCAAGTCCGCGAAGGAGACCGAGTCTGAGGATGAGACGTCAAAGTCGTTCCCTCAAGTGGAAGTGTTCACTCCGCACGGCCGCCATGTTGGGTCTCGTGCTCCGATTGAATGTTGGAAGTTCATAGAAGCGAAGAAGGTCGCTGACAACCGCGCGAAGGGACCTCGGGGACGCCAGAACATTGGACTGGAGAAGCGAGCCCGGCACAGCTGAGACGGTCTTCCAGCATGGATGACCTTGTATAGTATATGATTTGCATAGCGATTGGTGTTTCACGGTGTATACTAGAAAGGGATAAACAATGCTGTATTATGATGATTGGGGGTGTGTGGTGGTGGTTGAAGTATAAATAGATCATTGATTGTTGGTGAGCAGATTATTAGTTTATCATCCACTGCCTTCGTTCACGTGGGCTTCTTCCCTCTTCAGTCTTCCTCCTTTCTTCTCACTCCCAACTTAACGTGCATGTCTCACGCCTGTTTAAGTTCATTTCCAGGAACTAGGTTATTATCTAATCCTACTAGTAGTTCCGCTTGTGGTTGTACTACAACCCCTCTTCACTACCTTTAGGAACTATATAGTAAGCATCCGCTCCTCGAACAAGACGCCATCGCTTCGAGTGTATACCAACGCTCTATAGGTAACAAAGTTGGCCCATAAAGTACCTTTTCGACAATGCTCTCGTCTCGAGGCAGCAATAATGCGCAATTGCACAAGATTCCGTGGCGCTATGCTCTACCGCACGAGTACAGCAAAGAGACGAATCCGGAGGGGATGATCTCATTTGCATTGGCAGAGCATGTAAGTCATCTGAGAAATGAGGCAACAACTCCAAAGTACTTATAAGCAGATAGGCACCAATGCGCGCAGAAATAGCCAACTACATCAACACCAAGGTCAATATCCAGCCCTCTTTATTTTCCTCTGGAACTCAGCAATCCCAACCAATATCTTCTACATGCTTAGGTCGAGTTCAACGTAGCATCAGTCGCCTATAGCTCTGGTAACAATGCCATCCATCGTCTACAGAAAGCGGTCGCAATGCATCTGAACAAACTACTCGTTCCCATTGCTCCGATCGACCCGGAAGAAGTCATTGTTGCCAGCGGCGCAACTGCAATAGGGAGTATGCTTGGATTCACCCTAGCCGAGCCAGACGACGGCATCTTAATCAGCAGGCCAGCTTATGGACGATTTGAGCTTGATTACGGTGTCGAAGCGGGTGTGCAGATGGTATATGCAGACACCACTGTGGAGGAGGCTTTTGCTCCTTCTGTTGTCGAGAAGTATGAATTGGCCCTGAGAGATGCTCGGGCGAGAGGTGTGCAGATCCGGGCATTGATGCTAGTGAATCCGCATAATCCTACCGGTATGGATTAACCACTTCGTTGCTTATCAATAACGTAGCGTTGACACTACGTCTAGGCCTTTGCTATTCTGTTCAAACCCTGACGGAGATTCTCAAGTTTTGCAATAAGCACCAGCTTCATCTGATCAGCGACGAAATTTATGCTTCATGCGTTTTCGATTCCGGAGACCCAGATGCCGTTCCATTCACCTCTATATTATCCCTCAGTACCCCGAAGCTGATCAACCCTGACCTGGTGCACTTGTTGTACGGATTCAGCAAGGTAGGCCGTACCTCGTTATCTTCTCTGCTCGTTAGAATGTGTCTAACGTATATGATCTCAGGACTTCGCGTCCGGCGGCCTCCACCTAGGCTTCCTTATCACAAAGAACAAACTCCTACGCCATTCCTGCAATGCAATCCTGTCAGTTTGCCACTATCTGCCAGACTCACAACTCAAAGTCAACTAACCCAGCTCACAGACGCCTCCACAGCGCCTCCACAGCAGCCGTAACAATCGGAACCACCATCCTCGAAGATCAAGACTTCGTTCGCGACTTCACAGCCAAGAGCCAACAAAGTCTTGCTTCAACATACCAAATCGCAACATCAACTCTTTCTCAAGAGGGTATTAGCTACATAAAGGGAGGGTAAGTCAAGATGTGTCCGGAAATCATTCCAAATCTATGTTCCATATAGCAACTTATATTGTTTCCTCCAGAAACGCCGGTTTCTTTATATATATCGACCTATCACCCTATCTCCCCAAAGATACCAGTGACAGCACATCTCCGCCTGAATTCACTCTCGCTCAGAAGTTTGTCAATGCAGGTGTATTCCTGCATCCGTGCGAAGAGCATGGGAACATCCCAGGGTGGTTCAGGCTTGTCTATGCGCAGGAGGAGGATGTGTTGAGGGAGGGGCTGAGAAGGTATGTAGCCATGTCTTCTGTTTCCCAGTCTACTGCTCTTGACTTTGAGATATCTTAACGGGGTTAGGCGGGGTTAGGCGTGATGCTAAAGATATATGCTACAGGATGATCGGGGTGCTAAAGAGTTTGGCATGAACGATCTAGTCTTTTTGGCTTCATTGCCTGGTGAAACCGCAGTTCGTCCTGTAAAATTGCAATGAGTATGATGTTATCGTTGGTAGTATACTATGTCTACCCAACAGTAACAGCAAAACTACAAAGCATTACCAAATCCAAATAACAAATCTAACATAACCCAATGAAATTGCTATTTTATGATCTTTCACTAAAACAAAAAGAAAGAAAACATGAAACCCATCAAGATATCTCATCTAATCTGTATCATGTATAATCATCACCACACTTCATCTTCATCATCTACTCAATATTGGCAAAGTTGAAAGAAGGCTGGCCAGGAACGGCATTCTCAGCCTGCAGTCCCTCCCTCTTCTCACCAGTACCAACAACCTCACCAGTCTTACCACCCTCATCGACAGCAACAATTTCCAGCTCTTTGGCGCCAGTAACGCGCTTAATAGCAGCAACCATCTCGCTGAGGACAGCGAACTCATCGAAAGGCAGCTTGCGGTCGAAGACAGCCTCGGGGACTTCCTTGTCGACAACGAGACGCTTCTTGAGTCTCTGGACGAAGGGCATAGCCTTCTTCATCTCGCCGAGCTTGCCGACCTTGGCGTTCAGCTCCTTGTCGTTGAAGGAGATGCTGACTGCGTCGAAGGCTTCGCGCACAAGGTCGATGTACTTCTCTTGCCAGACGGGGAACTTCTTGGCCGCGTAGATGCTGAGCTTCTTGGGCTTGCGGGGGTCGAAGGCAGTCTGCTTGCCCTTGGAGAGCTTCTTCACGAAGTTGGCCTCCGCGGAGGTGATGCTGGAGGTGGTCGAGCGGGCGTACTCAAGGGCTGCGGACAGCTCGAGGGAGGGCTCGGGGACCTCGGGGAAGCGGGCGTGGTGGATGGTCGAGGGCTAAATAGGGTGTTAGTGGGGGTGTGACGGAGTGGAGTTGTGGGGTAGGTACGAACCTTCTTCAGGATCTCGAGCCAGATGTGCTCGGACCAGTGAGGAGCAATGACGGCCATCATCAGAGCCTGCAGCTCGATGTAGCGGAGGACGACGTCACGGTGCATGCCAATGCCGGCAGTGGTGGTGGCTTCACGGTAGAAGTCACGGGCGCTGACCAGGTCGTACAGACCGGACTTCAGGGCGAGCTTGAAGTTGGTGCTAGAAGTAGTTAGCTTCATGAAAGTCCAGTGGAAGTCAAGTAAAGCAAGACGAAGAGTATTTGTGAAAGGTCCATCAGGCATGTGGTGATGTTTGTCTCATGGCCGTGAAAGGCTCTGAAGTAGCAAATACGCAGAATATGCGAACATCATGTGGACAGGTGATTGCGGGATTGTAAGGGGGGTAAAAGGTGACTTACTCCTGGTAGTGCTTCTTGGTCTCACGGACAAGGCCGTTAAGCTCGTTGTCGAAGAGCTTGTCCCAGAAGGCATCGGCGGGGCCGGTACGCAGGGACTCGTCCTTGACAACTTCCTCCATCCAGTCCTTGAGAGTGTGGAGACGGAGGATGTTGCTGTTAGCGACGGTCTCCTCGAAGTTGGCGTCTTCGATACCGTCACCAGCATCGGCGAAGGCGATACGGGTGGCATCAGCACCGAATTTGTCGACAGCATCCTTCAGGGTAAGGAAGTTACCCGTACTCTTGCTCATCTTCTCACCGTTGAGCAGCAAGTGTCCGTTAGCACGGACACCGCGAGGCCAGTACTCAGGAGGGAAGAGGGCGACGTGGATGTACAGGAAGAAGGTCAAGTGGTTCTGGATAAGATCCTTTCCGGAGACACGGACGTCCAGAGGGTACCAGTACTCGAATTCTCTACGCATCTTCTGCAGAGCCTCCTTGCTGATACCGCTCTTGGAAACAAGCTCATCGCTGAGCTCACGTCTGGTGAAGACGTAGTCCCAGACTTCATCGATCATCTGCTCAGCCTTCACGTTCAGGGAGCCAGGCTCCTTGCCATAACGGTCACCGTGCAGGTAGTGGGCGATGGTGTAGTAGGCCATGTAGACGGTACTGTCACTCAAACTCTCAACAAGGAACTGCTTGTCCCAGGGCAGCTTCGAACCCAGACCGTAGGTTCTGGCGCAAGCCCAGCGGTTGAGCCAGGACAGGTTCTTCTCGAAACCGTTCTTGGTTTCGTTTGAGTAGGCGTTCAGGGTGTTCACAACGTGGTTCAGGGTGGTCTTCTGCCACTCAGCGTCGTTCTCGCCGTAGTTCAGGAACCACTGGCCGAGGTAGGCAACAACACAGTCATCTCCACTGCGGCTGACAACCTTGCCCATAGGATCGGCGAAGGGGAAGGCATCACCGCTCTCGTAGAGAGACTTACGGATCTTCTCCTTAACAGCGCTCACGGGCTGTCCCTTGTACTCACCGACAATCATGGTACCCTTGTAGAAAGCTTCACCATAGGCCAACTCCTTGGCCTGTGCAAGCTGGTTAACGTCCTTGGGAGAGTTGATCTTGAGCTGCTTGACGAGAGCGGGAGCAGTGAGGTTTCCGTACGTCGGAGTCTCGATGAGAGGGAAGATCTCCAGCTCAGCCCACTCCTTCTTGATACCATAGTACTCCGGCTTCTTCGCGAGATCCATCAAAGTGGCGTAATCATCGGGAGAATCCGAGGGCACGGAAGTGACAACACCGGTACCCTTGCTGGCAGAGACACCCTCCATAGGAAGGATGCGCACGCCTTCAGTGTGGAAAGAAAGAGGAGCGTTGACGAGAGTACCGACATAGGCAGTTCCGGGGGCCTCAACGACAAGGGGCAGTTGGTCCTGGGACTTGAGGAACTTCTCGCCGTCGGCGAAGTAGCCCTGGAAAGCCATGTTCCAGGCAGCCCGCTTGGTGACGACGAAGTATTCCTTCTCCTTGACCTTGTAGAGACCATAGGTGATCTTAGGGCCAAGGAAGCAGCAGGTCTGTCCGTACATGGTCTCCGGACGCAGAGTGGCGGGGACGAAGTAGACATTGGCATCATCCTCAATCTTGCCCTTGACGAGTTCAGCGATCTCAGGAGCCCACTCCTTGACCTTGAGCTTCATAGCGGTGTATTCCTGGGGACCGATACCCTCACCCTCAGTGCGGTCGTGGTCCATGCAAGGCTGTCCGTCCTTAGGAGAGTAGATGGTGTAACGGTTACCGTACTGGATCTTGCCCAGCTCGTGGAGGCGGTTCATCTGCCAGCGCACAAAGGCGTCATAGTAGGGGTTGGCGTCGGTGGTGACGAACTGTCTGCGCCAGTCAACACGGGCACCCAGGCTGTCGAGATCACGGATGGCGAGAGGGGGGAAGTGCTGGAGCCAGTGAGCGGCATCGGCGAACTTGTGGATCTCCTCAATGGGGATACCAATAGCCAGCATGATCTGGAACTGGTACTTCATCTTGACGGTCTTGGCAGCGGCCTTGCTCTTCTTTCCGGAGAACTTCTCCTGCTCAGCCTTAACCTCCTGGGTGGGAGCGGCAACGGCAGCCTTGTCCTGCTCCTCAGACTCTTCGCTGTAGCCTTCAAAGTTCTTGCCGAACTTGGCGACTTCATCCCGAAGCTTGTCGGCACAGGCCTTGATGGGCATACCAGTGCAGTGGAATCCGAGAGGGAAAAGGGCCCTCTTGCCCTCCATGCGAGCAACACCGGTCATGAATTCGACCTTGCTAGCAGTGAAACTGTGACCGGCGTGAAGGGTACCGTTCATGTAGGGGTAGGCCATGGTTCCGAAGAACTTGGGGTGCTTCTCACGGAGCTCAGCGGCGGACATGCTGCCGAAAGGCACCTCCGTCTCGGAGGGAGCATCAACCTCAAAGACCTTGTTTGCCTTCCATTGGGCCTGGTACTTCTTCTCGAGGGCGATAAGGGTATCTCTCTTCTCGGTCTATGCAGATAATACATGGTCAGCTCAATCCAGGTCAAATCGGGTCCCTTGGGGGACAAAGAGGGGCATGTGAGGCAGACATTCTCGAGTTTCATAGTGTTTTTCGTGCCCTGCTCGAGCGCAGCTGCAGACGCAGCGGCGGCGGCGGCTGCCATGGCTCCGGATGTAGAAGGATAAATCTGACAAACTGGAGATAATGAGCCCGAGGGCGAGGAGGGTAAAGGGCAGCGTTATATAGATCGAGCGACTGGAGTCACCGCGGGGTCGAAAAGAATTACTCCGAATGTGGGAAAAGGCGGTCCGTGAGTCACCGCCTGCCTCAACCGGTATCGGAGCATGGGGATATCTCTGTATGAAGGGCAATGGCTTCATTGCTCAGCCACTTTCAGGTAATTGATATATGGCAGATGGACCTTGAATGTGGAATGCTTATTTGAAGTTGTGAGTCACAACTTTGGCACAATGCCTGAAGTGAATGATGCATGCTGGAGTCATCACGCTTGTAAGGGAAGGCTGAACCGGGCAGGGATAGACTCGGTGAAAGCGAGTTCCTTTGGAATTGAACAACAGAATGGAGGGAAGGCTTCAGCATTGTCTGAACTAGAAGGTGCTAAGCATCTTGGTTCAGTCAAAGGGGTCATCACCCATGGTTGCTAATCAATAAGAGACTATCATCAACATCGCCGAATCACATTATCTTAGCATCACGTGATCTGATATCGGCTGCTTTTCTTTCCGCCGGGGATCCCAAAAATCAACGGGAGACAGCTCCGAATCAGCAGCCATCTAACCACCCCTTCGTCGGCCCATCCAGATCAATTACAGCCGGGCGCGACCTGAAAATCCCATTCCTTGACATATCTCCCATCAGAAAGTAGTCGCTCAGGCGCTCCAACCGTCACAATGGTCAACCTCTTCAAGCGGATGCGGAAGCTGAAAACCGTACGTTGACCACCATCACCCATTATCAATGACCCAGATACTAACATTGCTTCTTAACAGAGGGTATGTTCTCAATCTAAAATCTCACCCAGCTCCCCTTGAACCCTCAATACAACCCGACAACCCCAATCCCTACCCACCGATGCCATCCCTCCCATATCGGAATCGATCAACCAACCCAACCATCCACCGGAGAAACCCATCAAACCCAACCCTACTAACACCCCATCCCAGCTCCTCAACATCCAAGTCGGCACCGGAGCCGCAACCCTCCCCACTGTCGCAAACGCCTCGAAAGAATTCCCCGCCATCACGCGGCTGCACCTCACATACGCCCGCAAGATCTACGGCGGACACCAAGGCGCGCGACATTTCTGGCGCAACTGCCTCCCCCGACTGAAGTACCACAACCCAGCGATTCCCATGACGGTGCGCCAAACAGAGGAACAAGAAGGTCCCGCCGCATTGACGATCTACTTCGCCGAGCGCGCCAGCAACGCCGCATCCCTACTCTCCGCTAAGGACGTCACGGACAAGCATGCCCCGGCCCCCGGAGAGGCGGAGCAGACCGCTGTTCTGGATGTGAAGAACCTCGACTACAAGGATATCTGGGCTAAGGTGAAGAACATGACGGGCGCGCAGGAGATTCAGCCTACTCCGGAGCAGGAGTCTGAGTTGCAGAAGTTGGAGCAGTTGAGGCAGCAGAGTGATAAGGATCGCGCGCGTATAGCGGCTATTCGTCAGGCTAAGGCGGATCAGGAACGTATGTTGCAGGAGGCTAGGGGTGAGGTCGAGAAGTTGAGGCAGTTGTAGGGTGGATCTTTTGATCGGGTGATGTGGATGGGTGATTTGGCTTGTGTGGGAATATAGTATACGACCTTGGGGCGTCGTGTCTTGTAGCATAGCATATATCTCTCTGTATTATTCCTGTTCGATTATGTAGTTTGGGGAAATTTCTTTTCTTTCTGTTGCAAGTATACATTGTGCTTTGCTGAGATCATGGGTATATGGTATTGTTAAGGATGTTATGTAGTGTGGCGGTCTACTATTTTCCCTTCACAGGCTCTGCACTAGTGTATATGTATGTGATCATATTCATTCATCATTGTGGAAAGGAACAAAGGTAGAAGACATTTTGTACAGTGAAGGCCAACAAGCCCCGCCCCATGTCACACAATTGTACTTGCTGGGAAGACCTCACTTCCTTGCAAAAGAAAATCCAAGGTTGGTATATGACAAGGCTGAACAGCAGAAACACTTTACGTTGCATTGTTCCTTTGCAATCTATCCCAAACAACCGACCAAACTCCATGAAACCATGCTTTGTAGAGTTGCTGCAGCTTCACGCATGGTCGGGGGTATAGCTGGTTTCTCCCAACATACTCTGGCCCGCTGAGACTGTGGGTGTCGGAGTCTGAGTATGGCTGGATCCTTGCTGATTCGCTGCAGACGTCGCTGGCTGCACCCTTCCTGCTGCTGCAGCTTGAAGCCTCTGGTCGAGAGCCTTGAGTGCTAAAGCACGTCTGCGCTCCGCTTCTTCCCGCTTCGCCATGGCCCGTCCGTTGCGATGGTTGGAAAGAAGACTGGGAAGACCTGCCTCGCCCCGTGCCAGAACCTGCTGGTTACCCGAGGCAATGTCTTCCTCGGAGAAGGGTGTACAGATCCTGACGGCGACCAGCAGAGCATAAACTTGATCGGATAGAAAGGCGATTGGTGGCTGAAGCACGTCCGGGAAGAGGCATGCAAACGCAAAAGTCTCGCTGGCATCACCCTTGATGCCTAGCCCATCGGTCGATGTGCCGGTAAGATCGGGCTGGCGTTTGAAGAAGCGAAGGTAGGTCCAACTGGTCAAGAGGCCGAGCCAGGCAAGAATCGCTGCGACATGCGTGCCAAAGACAACCCCGCTGATCGTGTTCAGGAACAAAAACAGAGCGGGAAAGTGTTTCACCCGCATTTTGACCAAGCCTTTGAAGATAGTCACCGTATGCTCAGGGACAAGTTGTTTGAAGGCGACCAGGAAGGATGCTTGAATCGAGATACCGCCGCATATCTGCGTGAGGCTTGAAGTCGGTGAGTCAGTAAGGAAAGCGCAAGATGTTGTGCATTCGTCATGAGAAAACAAGGCGTACCCGCTGCTGGAGCCGCTCCTGAGGGCAGCTCCAAGAATATAGAGCGGAACAATTGCCACGTTCGGGATGACGGCGATGGCTAGGATGAACTTCGCAAACTCCCGGGATCCCCATGCGCGCTCCAGGTATTTTCCGCCATAAAAGAGAGTGGCCGCGTTCAAAAGCACGGTGAAGATGTTCTGCTCGACAAATGTCGCAGTAAGGAGGGTCCACGGATAAAAAAGAAATTCTGAAGGAACGAGTGTCAAATAGGGTATAATCGGGGTGATGGCGGGTGCTCCGGGCGTGGTGTCAAGTTGCCGCCATCGGGCGATATTATACAGCAAGGAGAGGGTAAGAAGGCTGATAAGACAGATGCGGGTCGCTGGAGGAATATTGACTCGAGGCGCCATGGTGTCAGAGGACGCTCTTGCGGCTATTGAACCGCAGGCTGTTGACAGAGCCCAACGGGGGTTGGGGGAAAGGAAGTGTGGGAAGGAGAAGTGAAATGCATCCAGACCAGATGATCCGTACTACGAGCTGGACTCGCTGGTGACTAGTCGCTCGGGGCGGCGTTGGGGGAGTTCCATTTTCGGACAAGCCTGCAAGGACGAGATCGCGTCTCTCTGATTGGATACCTTGCATGGCATCCGCAAGGCCGCCATTCATGCCTCCGCCGTGGCATTTGTTATTATTGAAAGGCAACAATGCATCCAGTCATCGGGAATCATGGATGACCAGCGGTTGTCTACCACCATTGGATTTGTTGCGGAAAATAAGTTAACGTTGAAGTTTTTGTGTGTGGGACAGGATCTGCTGACAGACACCAGTCGCATCGACAATGACTCTACTGATCATTTATCTTTCATGATTAAGCCTACTACGAATCAGCCTGGCATGAACTGATAACGAGTTAAATAACTATCGGCGCCATTTCCGCTCGATAAGCTTCCAGGTCTCAATAATCCCTTCTCAGGTCTCACACTGGCTATTGTGGAAGTCTTCTAGAGAATGCATGACAAAAAGAACCCGTGTCAGGGGAGGAATTGAGATTAAACCGATCGCATGGGTCACGTGTGGCTCAAGCGCTGGGGTGTGGCTCAGCCCAAGGGAGATTTACAGTGATGTCCTAGTTACCCACCCGCCAGACTTTCTAAGTGGACCGACCACTGAAGAAAGAGCGAAGAAAGTGCAGGCTAAGGTAAGCAAGCTTAGACTGCTTAGCACCAAGAGTCGTACGGGGGAGACCTTCACAGCAACCTTTCTGCCGGCGGGAGGAATGGATTCCAGCCCACAATCATCAATGCATGCATGTACAGAACTCCAGAAGGATGTACAACTGATCGGCATTCCTAGCAGACGGGTGAACTGCCCCCAGATTTAGATCCAGGCTATCAACTGGCAGGAGAAAAATTGAATCTGGGAATGAAGCAGACCACTAACTCAGATAGTCTGTGTTAAAACTGCATTTGGGTGATCTGATCCCTCAAATTTAGTCATATTCTCCGAAAGTCAGTGAAATTATCGCCCTTGAACCAAGTATCATGACTCTAGGCAGTCTTTAATTCTGCAGATGAACAAGGTAAGAACTAAAGCGACATCATCTGTAGGTACCATCCCAGTAGGTACATGACCGACATCCTGCCTAAGGTATCTAACTGGCCACGATCAGCACCTTCAGGGAAGGGAAAATCAAAAATTAAAAATAAAAAATAAAAAATTAAATGGTGGAAAAGGAAAAAAGGCCACGAAAAATGCGCAAAATGCACAGAAATCCTGCGAACGACAAAGGGAAAGGGCCAATCGAACCATGAAAGGGCCGGTGCCGGCTAACCGGAAGAGGATAAGCGTCGAGGCCGATCGGGAGGCCGTCAGAAGGACCGAATGGAGCAGTTGGACCAGTTGGGATGGACCAGGGGCCCCAAAGTGGGTTGGAGGGCAGCTGCACGCTAGCCGTGGCCTAGACGCCACAACGAGTCAAGCCCACCCCCCGAAAAAGTCCCAGGCCCAAATGCCCACTCCCGGTGCGTTCAGCGTCTGAAACAGCGTCCCAGAGCCGCGCCTGGAGAAATTCCAGCTCTTGAATTTTTCTTTTCTTTTTTGCTCTTTTTTTACCCTTGGCCTGGTTGGGCGTGGTTGGACCCGTAACTCTTGACTAAACCTTTAGACGGACTTCACAGCAGCGTGGAAACTGTCTTGTCTTGTCGTGACTGTCAGGGTCGAAACTGTCGAGTGTCGAAAAAAGTGCCAGTCGACCAAGTACCTACGTACCTTTACGTACCTGCTAACCTAGCCTAATTAACTAACTAGTTAGTTAAACACTTTTGACTGACACTGACTAACTAGCCTACCTCACCTTGTTCTTCTCGACCCCTACCACCTCCACGATCCTACGACGTACCTTACCTGGTCTGGTCTGTTCGAACTACCTTTGGCACTAACTAACGGGAGTTCCTCATACGCTTCCCTGGGGTCATCGGCCGGTCGTGTCTTGTCTGGCTTGTCTGTCGGTCCCATAACTCTCTTTCTCCATCATTTCGTTTCATTCACCCGCTCCGGATCTGAACTGCTTCTCTTTCTTCCCTTTCTCTTCTTCCTCCCCGTCTATCCGTCCATCCGCCTTCTTCCACTCCCCGAAGGTTCTGGTGTTGCTCCCTCCGGCCTTTGCAGTTCGCTAGCGGGTCTGCTATCCTTAAGCCACACGTTGGTGTCGATTTCCTCCCGTCCCGATATTATTCGCTCTTCACTCCCTCCCTCTCTTCCATTCTCCCTTCAATTTGTCCCTTCTGTCTCAAAGAACAGTCTTTCGTGTTCCTTTCACCATATTTCACCAACCCCGTCCAGCAACAAGGCGCATGTAGAATGTGCTTTTGTGACTGGTCCTCGGTTTAGTTTTTCTCACGCCTAATCCGCCAGCCTGCGTTTTTTCGTGTTCTACTCACATCCGCCCTTCCCCAAGTACCGTCTGAACTGAACGTCTCCCTTGTCACAGCCTTGGCTGCATCTTTCCCACTCGGACCCTCCCCTCTCGTCCAGAGACCTCCTGTCTCTCATTCAGGTTCTGTTTGAGAGGGAAGCTGTCAGAAGAGTTTTCTTCCTCATCTAAACCTTTGGTGCGCTCGACTTGGCAGCATCTCGGACCATTGTATCCTCCAGTCCCTGCCTTGCAGCAATCCCCGCCTTAATCCTTTGCTACCTTTCACGGAGAAAGCCTTTCGTTTTTGGCATGCTAGCGGACCCTCCACCTTACTAGCTGTCATACATGTAACAATGGCACAACCCGATCTCACATCGCATCACGTCAATTACCTAATATGGAGGTATGTATTAGAGTCCCTTTGCAACCTCGTTCTGCCGTAACACGTACCTACCCTGCTGCGTCATTGGGTTTCTCGACCGTTTGTATGCATTGCTAACTTCCATATAGGTATCTTCAAGAGTCAGGTAATATTCTTTCCCTATGATTTGGTGCTTATCCTTTCTTCACGGGAAAAGCAAACTAACTTTCCCACAGGGCATGGCGAGGCTGCACTCACCTTACAGCGCGCGTGGAATCGTGACCCGCAGAGTTTGCCGTTTGCCCCATACATCAAAACTCATGCTCTAGTATCCCTGGTACAAAAGGGCCTGCAGTATCATGAACTAGAGCATTCGCTCGACAGGGTATGATATTCATTGATATTTTTGCTACGCGCCTCAAGATTTTTCGAGTAACATGCATACACAAAAAAAAATTAGAACTAATAAAATGAACAGGATGGAAATCCTACGGCCTTCACATCGTCTGACTACTTTTTCGGGCCTACGCCGCTGGAACCCGAAACTGAAAAGGGTCAAAGTGGCCCCGGAGAGGCAGGCGTTGGCACAGACCAGGCGCCTGTCTCGCCTACAAGCAAAGTTCCGCGAGACGGCGGCGTGATTAACGGTCACTTGACGGCCGAGGCGGCGGCGGCGGCACCCCAAGCACCAACAGCACCAGCACCAGCACCACCTCAAGCTCCCGCCGGCGTGAAGAAGCCGCACAAGAGCGGAGAGACCAACGGTGATGAAACTCCCATGGAAATTGACACTAATGGAGTAACGACTGAGAATAAGTCCGAGGTAGTCGATGAGTTGCCTCCAAAAGCCGACATGGAGGTGGACGGTGACGGAGATGTGAGCATGGGCGGCCGACCGGATTCGCAGGACCAGGAACCAGAACCAGCACCAGTACCAGCACCGGTGGCGCCGACCTTCACGTTAACCACCGGCCACAGCGTTGGCGTCCAGATCACCCCCGCCAAGGCCGCCGACCTTGGGCCCAACACCGCCATCCTCGATTTGGCTAGTGATGATCACGTGACTCGCACCCTCTGGCGCCCTCGGGACCCTACTACCGTCGTGGCCGCCGGTGATACCTTCTGCAGCCTGTGGAGGCTGTCTTCGTCCTCGGATCCGGTACAGGAGAAATTCGTAGCGAACAAGGGGGATAGCACCTGTGTTTCGGCAGTCGCCTGGGACCCATTGGGTCAGAAGCTGGCCGTCGCGACCTACAATGACATGAGAGGCTCCATCACCATGTATGATGTCTCTGGAAATGCGGTCGATCTTCTTCCTGAAGTACCGCGGATGATTGCTGGATTGCACTGGGCGGAAAGCGGGTCCCATTTGATCGTGGTTGCCTCGGACAGCCGAATCTCTGAGCTAGCGCTCTGGGACGACTCATTACGACCGGACGAATTCCCATCGCCTAAGGTTATCGAGGGATCAATCTTTGACCTTTGTTGGTTGGGCTCCAACCAGGCTTTTGCTTGTGGTAACGGGACGGTCTATCAATGCGATGTCGATTCGAGTATCCACATCGCCAAGACGTTCTCATCTGGCGACCCTGACCAGCCCTGGTCATTCATCCGCTGTGCGAATGCCGGCTCTACATCCGTGGCGGTAACTGCATCTTCCGCCAATGCTACACTATGGGTGCCTACCCATGACATGCGCCATGAGGGTGCCCATGAAGGCGACATTACGGCCATCGAGCTGAAGCCCAATATGGAACAGCAGCAACAACCAGAAACAGCACAAATAATCGTCTTGGCCACTTCCTCCATCGACGACACGGTCAAGATATGGCACTTGGATCTGGAGTCCAAACAGTTCAACTGTATCCACCGATTGTTTCTCGGCCAGTCGGCACCCGCTCTCGCTAGCACTTTCTCTCCCGACGGATACGCCCTTGCTGCTGCCAGTAAAGAGAGTTTGTTCATCTGGAATGCACAGCGAGGAGGCACTGCGCTGGCCACATGGAAAGTGCCGGGTCCCGGAGAACAGAAGAAGGAGGAAGAGTCTAGTCCCATGGTAAATGGGCACAATGGCACTGCGGAGTCGGTGCCGGATCGCAGTCTAGCGTGGGATACCGATGGCAAAAAGCTTGCTTTCGGCTATGGAAACCAGGTATGTCGTCCTGACCGTTACGTGTGAAACATTGCCACTGATTATCGTTAAATAGCTGGCCATCGTAAATCTGCAGCGCTGATTCTTACGAGACGTGCGAGCCGGCTGCGTTACGAACTTTTACTTCTCGATAGTACATTAAGAAAATGGTAAATAAAGCCATCCGATACACATGTGACGTTATTATGTTTGCGACGAAGGCAGGCCGGACTCATCCCTAGCCGGGTGCTGCACACTTAGCGTCGGCACCTCTGCTAGCGCTCGTCTCTCCGCTCCCGGTTCTCGGCAGGCCCCGACGTGCCATGATGTGGGAGCGTGTTCAGACATCCTTGTCACTCCAGAGATCCTTCAATCTACTTTCATTACCATAATCTCTAGTTCTACCCCCATGATTTTGGATTAGACCATACTAAACGGCGCAGCTTGGGTCTTCAGGAAAAACGCGGTGGTGGTTGGCAACTCTACATGGTTACGGTGGCTACATTGACTTCTTTCTCTTTGCCTCTTTACTTTCTTGCACTGTACCATTTCTTCTTGGACAGATCGATCAGTGATCGGCCTAAGCTCGGTCTTCAGGCGAATGATTCAGCAGCCTTCTCATCCGCTACGGTGTGGGATGATACGCTTGATACCCAATCACAATATCTCATTCCCGCCTTCGTCCCTATCGACCAGCGTCCCATTCCTGCCGAAGGTTCATTTCATACGTATTTCGCCCGTGTCTTCTGTCTTTCTTCCCTTCTCAAAGTGCGATTCTGCTCTCGGATGCGAAAAACCTCCTCGACGTCCTTCCATCCTCGCATCCATGCCGTTATTCCCTCGAACAGGGCTTCGCTGTCGCCCTCGACCTCTTCGACTTTGCATTTCGTCCATCTTCGTTGACCATTTCGCCGTGAGGCAGCACTTTGTTTTTTAGCGGCAATCAATAGGCGCTGTTTGTGCCATTCATCCACCCAACTCTCGAGCCCTCGTATCGTGCCTTGGATCGCTTCCCGCTCAGCGGTGTCTTCGAGAATGTCTGTATTTCTTTGATTACAGGATATGTCAGCGATCATGGCAACAGCATAAACCGACAAGTCCCTGGGGTCCCTCACAGTTCGTGAATTTCATCATCTAGTTCGCCGATCTTCCGAGCTAGTGTTTCGCGTTCTCGTGTGAGCAACTCGTATATCTCGGACGACTCCTTACGACGACGGTCGAATTCCACTTTGAGTGTCGTAACTTCTCTCAAGATATCCTTGAGAGGAGGGTGTGACATCTCTTCGAGCGAAGCGACGGAATCGCCCAAATCTTGGGAGTCGGTCGTGGAGATGGAAGCGATGGAGTTGGACTGTCGGGAATGGCTCATAGGACGGCATCGGGCGAGCTCTTGCGTCAAGGCTGGGCGTGGGTCCAGCAGGGATTCGAGGGTCTCGAGACAGTGGTGAAGGGTCATGGAGTCGGATTTGGAGGTCGGATTGAAGTGGGATGCCAGATGGGCTAGTCTTGTGAGACGCGCGGAGACGGGAGCGGCGGTGTCGTTGGAGTCGAGGATATGGGAGGCATAGTCGGGGTCCGTGAGCGCCATGTCCCAGATCTGGCCCGCTACCGAGGAAGGAGGGGATAACTCATCGTAATGAGATGGAGGCGGGTGTTCCATGGTTGGCTAGGGTTAGGACCATGTATTCTAATGATTTGATTGTTTCTCAGAAAGAGGTTCAGTAAATACAGGCGTGCGTGATGAAAAGGGTAGTAGTCGGTAGCAAGGAGGGATGTCGGGCTGCAGCCAGGCTGCACGGGCTGCAGGAATATACGTGTCTTGCGATGTCAGTTTTGAACGATGAGATGGGGTAGCTTTCTGTTTATAGGCCCAGGTGCAGAACAACTCACTCTAGTGCGGTCAGTTATGATCTGGCTGTGGAGTTGTTGTTGTGTTTGAGAGACTGAAGAGGGTACAGCCAGCCAGCCGCGGGCGACGGGGATTACTTCCACAGCAACCGGGGGCAAGGATGACAGGGATTGGAAGAGCAGAGAAGAAGGAACAGGCAGATCCCAGCTGAAGAGCACGTGCGCCCTCAGATCTCCCACAAAGATGATCTCGATTCCCGATGGGTCGCAAACACAATTCACAAACACTGCCACCTGCAATAAAGATACGTCGGCAGGCTTCCTTCTGGGAGAGAGAGAAAAAGACGGTCAAACCGGTCTATTCGATCAACCTTCGATAACCATTCCTCCATCCACGCTAGCCCGCTTTGGGTTCCCAGAAGTCGAATTGGCCAACGATTTGCCGCCTGCCATTTGAACCTCGACGACTTGTCATCCTTCCTTTTAAGAGATAGTCAGTCCTGTCGGTTATCTCTGTTGGTTTGCAACTGCTCATATCTCCCAATACATTGTGGAGCTGCGACGGTATCGAGTAGTTGTTTGATTAAATCCTCCCCAATTTACTCCGTCCCCAGTCAGCACCGCAAATACTCCGATCCTCCGGCTTCCCGAACTTAGCCTCTTTTTATTTCTCAATCAAATCCCCCCCCCCTCCTTCTCCTCCCCGCACAAGTCGAATTCTATCGCTTTCGGACTCGCAAAGATGGCGCCACCTGTAAGTGCCTCTTCCTTTTGTTCTACAGGCAATCACTGCTCCAATCTTGCCACTCGACGAATCCCCCCGCGGAGGGTCGTTTGATATGATACTGATTCCATGTCCCTTATGTGACTCACGCAGATTACCGTCGTGCCGTCCCTCGAGACCGCCAGCGAAGTTATCGCCCAGTCGAAAAATGCGCAATTTCCTCCTAACCTCCTTCCGTTGACTACGTCGATTCCGGCCGACCTGTTGACCCCCACATTGGCTTATTTGAAGATCGCAGAGAAGTGAGTGGCGCTCGGCAGAATGGCCACATGGCTTGCGGGCAAGCACAGATGCGCTAACGTGGTCGGCTTGTCCAGATCTAAACTGTCCTTCCTCTACGAGAGTGCTGCGACGACCGAGACTATTGGCAGATACAGTTTCGTCGGTGCTGGTATGCAGCAATGTCCTTCAATGCTATAGTGTGGTGTGGCGGGGTAGTCTGATAGACTGACGATTTCTGTACCTCCGTCTAGGTCCCCGCAAAATCATCAAGACCGGTCCCGGTCATGGCCCCGAGTGCGACCCCATGCCCATCTTGGAGCAGGAACTTTCCGGCTTTCGGGTTGCGACGGTGCCTGGCTTGACACTGCCCCCCCTCACTGGTGGTGCCATTGGATACGTGGGATATGACTGCGTGCGGTACTTCGAGCCCAAGACTGCTCGGCCGATGAAGGATATTCTTCAGATCCCGGAGTCGCTGTTCATGCTGTTCGACACGATTGTCGCCTTCGATCACTTTTTCCAGGTCGTCAAGGTTATCACATACATTTCCATTCCCGGCAACGACTCAGAACTGGAGTCCGTCTACCGCCAAGGACAAGAGGTGCTCCAGCGGACCATCGACGTCCTCCTTCGACCAGACTACGCTCTTCCGCCCCAAGGCCCGATCATTCAGAACCAGGAGTACACATCGAACATCGGACGGGAAGGATACGAGCGCCATGTCACACGGCTCAAGGAGCACATCTCCAAGGGCGATATTTTCCAGACGGTGCCGTCGCAGCGGTTGTCCCGGCCGACGTCGCTACATCCCTTCAACCTCTTCCGTCACCTGCGCACGGTCAACCCGTCGCCGTATCTCTTCTACATTGACTGCGAAGACTTCCAGCTGGTGGGAGCCAGTCCCGAGCTGCTGGTCAAGGAGGAGAAGGGACGGATCATCACACACCCGATTGCGGGCACGGTGAAGCGGGGGAAGACGCCCGAGGAGGATGCGGCACTGGCCAACGAGCTGACCAGCAGCATCAAGGACCGGGCGGAACACGTGATGCTGGTGGACCTGGCGCGCAACGATGTGAACCGGGTGTGCGACCCGATCACGACGCAGGTGGACCGGTTGATGGTGGTGGAGAAGTTCTCGCACGTGCAGCATCTGGTGTCGCAGGTGTCGGGCATCCTGCGGCCGGAGAAGACGCGGTTCGATGCGTTCCGGTCGATCTTCCCGGCGGGCACGGTGTCAGGAGCGCCCAAGGTGCGGGCGATGCAGCTGATTGCGGAGTTGGAGGGCGAGAAGCGCGGAGTGTATGCGGGAGCGGTTGGCTACTTCGGGTATAACATCGCCAGCGCGGATGGCCAGACGGAGATGCCGGGGGCGATGGATACGTGCATTGCGCTGCGGACGATGATGGTGAAGAACGGGGTGGCCTACCTGCAGGCGGGCGGCGGTATTGTGTTCGACTCGGACCCGTACGACGAGTACGTGGAGACGTTGAACAAGCTGGGGGCGAACATTGCATGCATCAAGGGGGCGGAGGCGAAGTATTTGAGTCTGGAAGAGGAGAGTCGTCGTGCGTAGATGATGCATTTGGTTGCCTTGTATTTCCTTGTTGCCCATTTTTCTTTCCATTTTCTGAGGTTTACATTTTTTTCTTTCCCCATCTTATGTTCTACGATCCCAGGGTTTTGCATGTGGTCAGGAATACCTGATAGATTATGAATTTGAAAGCATCCGACCGTACTACTACTTATTGAGTGATGAAGTATCTAGTCGTGTGGTGTAATAGTAGTATGAAGGTAGTAGTAGATATGAGTTCGAGATTAACTCTACCATTTTGAGGAACGGGGAGAGAAGGTCAAGCCCGACGGAACACGACGGACTGCCAATCCTGCTGCCTGGACGCATCCCCGGGAATTACATGGAGATACGAGATCGATACTTCAGTAGATACTAGATAGTAGATACATGTTGAGCCCGGGGGTGGGGGATTCCAGTTCAAATTCATTCCTTGCTTTGGGGAAGATTCTGGATGAATCATCAGTTAGTAGTAAGTTAGTTACTTTGCAGGGCAGCAAGGGTTCTGCTGGTCAGGAACGTGTTTTGGGGGGTAAAGAGAGGGGACTGCTGCAGTGACCCGGCCGATGACGTCGGTGGATACTTCCTACTATTTATATAATACCCAGATGAATTATTATTCTATGTTTTTTACAGTATGTGCTGGTTAACCCACGGCCTATACTGTAAGAATAATTCGTACTGTAGCGGCAAGAGTAATAATATAAACACCGCCCCAGAACCAAGGTGGCAAGAATCACCAATCATCGTCGGACGGTGTAGGTAGGTAGGATTTGTCCGGAAGGCGAGGAACTAAACAGATGGTGTCATTTTGAAGAAATTCTGCCATGGTCTGATTGATACTTGACTACTTTTGTCACTGTCTCCATCTTTCTCTTGTCGTGGACCCTTTTTTTCTTTTCCCTCCCTTCTTCTACTTCACTATAGTCAGTACATTATAGTACCTGATCAGTACCCAAGCCCTCAATTATCTCCCTCCAACTCTCCATCCCTTATTCCTCTCCCCCGGATTTTCGATTTCCATTTTTCCATTGTCAAATATCCAATTTGGGTTCTTCAACCCTTCGAACCCCTCTGGAAACGAATTGGGCAAAAGAGAAGAAAACAAAAGTAAAACGGTAGTGGTTTGGATAAACTTTGGCTGGTTTGAGGCTTGCGTCGTCATCTCCCGGTGTGAGTGCCCACCACAACTGACTCTCTCTCTTTCTTTCCATCTGGTACAATCAACATCAATCCCTCTCTCTCTCTTTCTCCATCCATTTGAACAGTCTTCCTGGAACCCTCTCCATTCCCATCCCATTCCCATTCTCTATCTCTCTGTCTCTCTCCATTCCCTCCTTGTCCCGTTGTGCAAGCGATCATCATCCATCTCTCTTCCCCCTGTTTTTCTGTTTAATTAAAATAACTAGTTAACTACTGGTGTGTATCCGGCTTACATACTCCGCCGGAGTTCCTCTTCAGTTCAGCCACTCGCCAGACTCCCCCGACCTTAACGCCTTAAACAGCCACCAACTGACTGACTGTTCCTACTACTCTCTCTCACCTTGACCTCCTCGTCCTCCTCTTTCACCTCTACCACCTCTACTACTACTTCTCACTCCCCATCATCCTCCCCACTTTCACCGCGCGATAAGGAGAGACGGGCTGGCTCTGCTCCCATCGCACTTACCTCCCCAAATCTCTCTCTTTTCCCCCCTCCCCAGTCATCGCCCGTGTGTCGCGCGTTCCCGTCCACTTCCCCCCCGCGAAGGGATTGAAGTCCGAGTCCGTCATTGCGAGGGTCCAGTTCCCGCAATTACAACCTCCATCCCCCACGCCACATACACCACCTACAATCAACCTCACCCCCTATCCACCAACCCGCCACAATGTCCAAAGTCGTGCGCAGTGTCAAGAACGTGACCAAAGGTTATTCTTCTGTTCAGGTCAAAGTTCGAAATGGTACGTCTCCGTCTGTTCCTTCGGTCCGGGGTTTCTTGGGGTTCTTCGCAGTCGGGCATCATGCTACGGTGTCGGTCGGCACGGTATCCCTGACAATGGACGGATCTGACATTCGGACTCTGCTAACATGTGACTTCCCTCCGTACAGCCACAAGTAATGACCCCTGGGGCCCTACGGGGACCGAAATGGCAGAGATTGCTGCCTTGACGTTCAGCAGGTAGGCCCACTTACTCCCCGCCACTGGCTCCCGTGGTCCTCGACCGAAGCTGATGCCGGTGTAATCATCTAGCCCGACCGATTTCTACGAGATCATGGATATGCTGGATAAGCGCTTGAACGACAAGGGCAAGAACTGGCGCCACGTACTCAAGTCATTGAAGGTCCTCGATTACTGTCTACACGAAGGTTCCGAGTTGGTCGTCACCTGGGCCCGAAAGAACGTCTACATCATCAAGACCTTGCGCGAGTTCCAATACGTTGATGAGGATGGTCGAGATGTTGGTCAAAATGGTAGGCTCCCCCTATGCCGTGGTTTTGCTTCCCCCCCGAATCCATGTGGTGGCTAACTCGTCCCTGGGCAGTCCGTGTTGCCGCCAAGGAACTTACATCCCTCATTATGGACGAAGATAGACTGCGCAGTGAGCGCTCCGACCGCAAGTTGTGGAAGTCCCGTGTGAGCGGACTCGATGACCAAGGCTATGGGCAGGAACCGCCGCGCCGTGAGCGGCGCGAGCGTCGCCGTGCGACCAACGATGACGAGGATGCCGAGTATCGGTTGGCCATTGAGGCAAGCAAGTACGAAGCCGAGGAAGAACGCAAGCGCCGCGCCAAGGAGGCTGGCGCCGAGGATGACGAGGACCTGGCTCGGGCGATCAAGCTCAGCAAGGAAGAGGAAGAGCTGCGCAAGCGCGAGTTGGAGGAGAGCAATGCGCAGTCGCTCTTTGACGACACTCCTGTGCCGACTGCCCAGGCACAGCCCACTGGCTACAACCAGGGCTATCAGCAGCAGAACGCCGTCGACTGGTTCGGCAACCCCATCAATCCTCAACAACCCCTGACCACGGGCTACCTGAACAACCAATATGCGCAGCCCACTGGATTCCAGGGACAGATGACGGGTATGCCCAACGGATACGCCAATGGATTCCAGGGCCAACCCTCCGCATTTGATCAGAACCCCTATGGACAGCAGCAACAGCAGAACTTCCTGCAGCCGCAAGCAACGCTCCAACCGCAACACACTGCCTTCAATGCCAACAACCCTTGGGGCGCTCCCGGCAGCACCGACTTCTTTTCCCAGCAGCAACAGCAACAGCAACAGCCGCAACAGCACCAACAGTTCCAGAATCAGCAACCGCAGGACAACTTCCTGTCGACCGGCACCAACAACCCATGGGCCACTAACCAGCAATCGGCGGACGCGCTGAAGCCCATGCCCACTGGATCCAATAACCCATTTGCGCAGCGTACGCAGCAGCAGTTCCAGCCTAAGCCCGCACAGACTGGGCCCCCGTCCTTGAACACGCTGGCCGAAGAGCGAGCCACCACTTCGTTCAACCCAATTGCCAACTTTCAGTCCCCACAGAACCTTGCACCGCCACAGCAGAGCTTCGGACCTCCGAAGAGCACACCCCCGCAAATGCAAGATCCGCACCGCGCCCAGCTCAATGCGCTGCTGGCGTCCGGCGAAGGCCAGGACACTTTTGGCAACACTGGCGATCTGCGTATTCCTGCGCAGCACACCGCTCCTGGTACATTTGTCAACTCCGCTGGTCAGGGTTTGGATCGGTTACGGGCAACACGCACCGGCAACAACCCTTTCTTCGGCCAGCAGCCGCAGCAGCAGCAGCAGCAATTTGTGCCGCAGCAGACGGGCTTTGCACAGCCAGCCAACAACCCTTGGGGCGGACAACAGGCGTACCATCAACCTCAGCAGGGTGGCAGTTTGATAGACCTGTAGAAAGAGGTGATGCTACGCGGTTGGGAGAGAGGTTCGTGATGGTTTTTTTTTTTTTTTTTTTTTTTTTTTTTGACATATCTAGCCTGATCAGGCTTGGGTTTTTATGTTTTTTATCATTCCATTTCTTGCTAGCTGCAGTTGTAGGAGTCGAATCCGGATACCAATTTTTCTTGTTTTGTGATGCACGTCTCGACATCTTTTACAGATGGTTGCCACGCTGGTCTACCAGAGGCACTTCTTTCACCTACGAAACACCCCCGTCTCGGCTCTCGAGATCACCACCACCACGATATTTCCTTACACCATGCAAATCAATCAATCAATCTCTGCCTCGCACTTATCATTCCCTTTGTCCATCCGTGACCGCTTATCTCCACGCACGCTGATTCATCTATATGTCTGTCCTCTGACCTCACCTCTATGCACGGAATTCTATATACCCTGTTCTTTTCTTTTTCTTCCCACGAATGACTTTGATCTTGAATATTTCTTCTCTCTCATTCTCGCACTCATTTTATTCTACTCCTGTTCCTTTATTACTCTCTTCACATTTTATACGATATCGTCTTTTAGTTCTCTCTATTCTGGTAGATACTTTTTTCTTTCTTCTATCTAATCTAGGTTAGGTTAGGTTAGCATAGCTTAGGTTAGAATTCAAATGGATTATATATGACGATGAAAATCTCGGTTAGTAGTAGTAGTAGTAGTAGTAGGATTGTTCTTGAACTGGTTCTTGTTTGCTTGCCTGCCTGCTTGCTTGCTTTTCTTAGCTTGGAATAAACTACTACAGTAACATTACGCTACATAGTATCGATCATTTCTACTGCTACTAGCTAAGTTCAGTTAGTAGTACTGTTAGTAATAGTTGGAATTCAAATACATAGTTATAATAAGTATTAGTTACTAGTTAGTTAGTTAGATAGTACTTACTTAAGTTTCCTTAACACAATCCCCAACTCATAGTTAATGGACCCTTAAAATACTAGTTCTAACTACTAAATAGTTTACTACTTAGTAGTAGTAGTAGTAGTAGTTAAGTTTTACTTTGTACCTGGTCCTTATTGCAACAACTTATTCATCTTTTTTATAAAAAATCATAGAATACTTATAGCAAGCAAAGGTAGTAGTATTGTTTGTACTTATATTTTTTTTGTTGGTAATGTTAATAATGAATTACTTGAATATTAGGTATATAGATCATTTACTACTACTACTACTTACCACTAAGAAGTTGAGTGATGATGTTATAATGGAATTGATGTTACATCCCTGTGTTACAACTATCTACATCATTTACCCCCTTCCTCTCTCTCTCTCTCCTCTTTGATACTTGGTTCTGGATGAAAAAGAGGGGAAGAGATGATGAACCATTACTTCAGCTACTACAATTCGTAGTCTACCAATTGGTTGCATTGCATTGCATCGAGCTTTGAATTTTGATTCTTGGATTTGAATTCTGATCGATGGAACCCGGATGAAACGCTGACATCCCACACACACACGCAAACATACACACACGCGCCCCTTACCAAATGACCTAACCTAACCTACCCCATACCTATAAGCAATGCATTCATTCCCAAGAGAAGAAAAAAAAAAGAACACCCCGCCCGAACCAGAACATTTCATATCATACCCATACCATACCGTATCGTTATCCAACATGAGACATAAAACCTACCCCTGTCCTGGCACACCATGTATCCCATAGCAGCCGGTTACGCCAGACAAATGACGAGCAAAATAAAGCCGTGACATTAAGGCTAGAACAGCCAAAAAGATTATCCTCCCCGCTCTCCAAACTGTCTAGCCCATTCTTCGTATTCTTGTAACCCTTCCCTGCTCACACTAGGACGGATAGAAAGTAAGCTCGCCTGGAAGTCCTGAAACCGTATTGGCCGGATCTGGTCCATAGGGGTGTGCAGGAGCGCTTCGCCTAGGTTACGGAGAGGACCCATGGCTGCGTCTTTGGCGAGGGCGGTCATGTCGGAGCCTGAGAAACCTGTTCATATAGCCGTTAGTATCTGTAGTCCAATGTATACATGTAGTGTGAGCTGCAAAAGTTGCCTACCTTCGGTAACTTGAACCAGAACTTCAATATCCTCGTCGGAAAGTTCATGGATTTGGTGACTGAGTAATTTCCGTAGTTGTTGTTCGCGAACGTCATGCTCCGGGAGAGGGATGTATTGTCGACGCACGAATCGACGACGCGCAGCTTCGTCAATATCCCAGGGCATGTTTGTGGCCGCGAGGACGAGCACGCGGCTGGCGTCACCGATTTTCTTGTCCTTTTGCTCGCGACCGGCTGCTGCACGCTGCAGGTCAGACCATTGGATGAGAAATTCCGTCTTCGAACGCCGGGAGGCTTCGTTCTCGGTTCCTGATGACCGGGCGGAGAGCAACGAATCGATCTCGTCGACGAAGATGATGGATGGTGCAAGGGCCTTGGCGAGTCCGAAGAGAGCACGTACGAGCTTCTCGCTCTCACCATGCCATTTGGAAGTCAGTGTCGATGCGGAGACGGAGAAGAAAGTCGACTTGGATTCCGTAGCGACTGCGCGCGCCAGCATCGTCTTGCCCGTTCCTGGAGGCCCGAAGAGAAGCATACCACGGGCAGGCTCCCGTAGTCCGGAGAAGAGATCCGGTCGGAGGAATGGGTAGACAACGGCTTCTTTCAGCGCCTTTTTGGCGCCATCTAGACCTGCTATATCGTCCCAATGAACTTCGTCGCCGCGGACTACTATATCGTTCAGGATCTGTCGAGCAGCAGTGACGTCTACCCCCTTGGGAAGCCTGTTCAATATATCCAAATACATATCGTCCTCGTCTTCTCCAGCATCTTCCTCCTCTGGCTCGGTAGACTTAGGGCCCAGCGATTCCGGATCACTCGACGGTGGCGTTATGGTCCGCTTGAGCTGTGGTGTTGGTCGGACCGGACTGTTGCCTGATAACGCCATACGATCTAAACCTGGAACCAATGCATCCTCTGTAGATGATGTGGGGGCGAGGCGGGGACGCGATGTTGACTTAGTCGGTGGCCGACTTAAGCGCTCCGTGGGTTCAACAGACCGTCGGGGGGAAGATGAAGTTGGATTGGCCGACCTCAATGCTACCGGCTTGGGCTTAACAGATGGCTTCGGCGGAGGCTGCGAACGAACGGCGTCTTTCGCATCAGGTCCTGCGGAGGCGGACTGCGAACGAGCAGACGACCGCAACTGACTCTCCGCAGTTGGGGTGCGAGACGCGGAGACTGTCGGTGTCGTCGAAGGAGTGCTCGATGCCGACTTCTTCGCAGGCGACCGCCGGACAGGCTGATCCGACACGCGGGGCTTTCGTCCGGTGCGACGGCTATCGGGATCGTCTGTTGGTGGATTCGATGCTTTCCGCGGGACATGCCCATCTCCAGAATGGGCGCGAAGGGGTGCCGGCTCCCTTCGAAAGCTGGGGTCATTGGAGGTGCTCTGGCGGGAGGACGCGAGAGCAGCATCGCTGGCGGTCTTGTCGGGCGAAGAGGGAGTGTTGTAGATACTCCCCCAGGCCAGCCCAGCGGCCTGAGAAGCTGCGGCCGGCCGCAGCTCTCTCCGTCGGGAGGTGTCTTTCTTCTTGCCCAATTTTTTGAAATCACTAGTACGCAGGGTGAACGGCATGATCTTCCGGCGCTCGGGACTAGGGGTGCGGGAGTCCGTTTTGCCCGAGGAATGCGACTGGGTGCGCTGAGCGGGGATGGGGATGGGGATGGGCCGGGACGAAGCCGCGGCGCTGGGTAGAAGATCGCTCCTAATGGAGTCGGAGCTGACGGTGGTGGACGGGGGCGGGCGACCGGGGATAGTGGGGGGTTTAGAGAGATCGGTATATCCGACCGCGGGGACGGTGCCGTCACCAATCCAGCCCGGTGTGGTTCGAGGAGGCGATCGACCGGCGGAATCCTTTCTGCTTTCGCGGAGGGCCTGCAGGAGATCGACCCGCTCGCGGCATTGAAGCTCGAGCTGGCGGATGGACTCTTGAAGGGCACGTTCGGTCTCGTTTTTGGGAGTGTACTTGGAGGGGACACGATAAGCGTTGTGATAGTAGATCGTTTCCAGGGCGGAGCGCCAAGATCTCAAGGCTTCCTCTTCATTTTGCTGTTTTTGCCGATCGGGGCAGGTAAGTATTAGTGTGGAAGGGAGAGAGGGGGTCTGTGAGAAGGCAAAGGAGAAATGGGGGGGAGGAAGCAGTGGAAGGTAGCATTGAGTAGTCACGAACCTGGCCTTCAAAGTAGACGGCAGTGGAGCACATCAGGTAGCAGTCATCGTAGGTCTTCTGGAGGGAAGACGCCGGCTTGGGGCGCATCATGCATCCAGCGCTGGGGAAAAGGCGGAATGTGCAGGACCCGCCCGCAAGATGAGAGGATAAGGATGAGAGTGAAGATGAGGGGAGAAGAAGAGGAGAGAAGAGGAAGAGGAGGGAGAGGGGGTGGGAGGAACGAGAGTATGCGATCAATTGAATGACAAGAAGATAGAAACACTCTCAAGCATGGGAGGGAACGTTAAGAAGTAAGAAGTCATAAGTAACGAGGAAAAGAAAAGTGCCAGAAAGAAGCAAGGAAAGAGAAGCAGCAGCAGAACGACAGAATCCGGCGGCGGTTTTGCCCTCCCCAGTTTTCTGCGTGACGTCGTTGGTTACCGGCTTTGGCGGCCATGCGGTTTTGCTTGGGAATCGCCCCTCGAGAACCCCCCCCAGAGTCACTACAACTTCATTTATTCCATTCATATCATGTCTCACCGTGTCTCGGAAGCTGATTCATGCACCCAAAAAGATTTCTGAACAGGTGTAGATGGATAAATAGATAGATAGATAGTATGGTCATCCCGGTCCTCTATAGCGTACATACAGAAACATCCGCATCCAACCCGACAGATGCGCAAAGTTGTATCCGAACATTAAAAATTGGGGGCACAAAATAAGAAAGACGTCCAACCAGAACTACTTATGAAAATGCAACTCGAGGATCAACCAGAAGAAGTGAAAAAAAACATATAGGAAACTCGTCCAGATGTTCCCCTGCATGCCAACGCCAGTAGTAACGCGATTGAAGCACGAATTGAAACATACGCCGGGCCCTTCTTTTTGCTCAGGGCCCAGATCCAAGCACTCAAATCAATAATAAAGAACAAGCAGCACTCACCAACATCCCGGGAGGCTTGAATTCATCGTCCATCAAGCCCAGCCATCAGCACCCTGTTCATAACAGATAAATACACGTCAGAAGGTTAAGGTTCCCCATTCGGAGTCGGTCAAGGATCCCTCCTCCTTTCCTGGTCCGTTCTCTATTTCGTGATCGCCCGGGCTTGCGTTAATTAAGTCCGAGAGCCTCGGCGGTTGGCGCAATCCCCCCGACGAACGAGAACAAGAGCAGACGGAAAAAGAAGAGGAAGGGAGAAAGGAAGAGGAGGTCAAGGAGAAGGGGATGATAGCTGCAGAAAGCTTCAACCCGCCCGTAGCTCAGTTGAGCTCATTTCAGCCTGCAGCGCTCGATCGGGTCCGTCCTGCGCACGTGATGCTCGCAAAGGACGAAGATTTTGTTTTGTTCTGTTTTTGACTGCTTGTTCAACAAGACTATCTTTTCTCTTTCGTTTCGTTTCTTTTCTTTTTTCTGTTTTGTTTTTGGTCGGGCTTTCTTCCTATTCATGTGACTAATGGTTTCTTGGGGAATGGGTCTTTTTTTTTCTTGGGTCCGCGGACGAGTCAGGTCGGAACCAGAGGTCAAAAAGGGTCGCTGAGCTGGATTGTGTCGGATTCATGCGATCGGGTCGTTAGCTAAAGCCGTGCTTGCATCTAGCTGTCCACCTGGCCCTTGAAGTAGGCCTTGGCCATCTCATACGAGGTCCTGTAGAATTGCGTCAGCAACCGTTTTCAATGCGCAAGCGTCGAGGGTAATTTTGGAATGGGACCGTCGGAAGTTGCAAGGAAACTCACCAGCAAATGGCAGTGCTGGGCATGGTAGAGATAATGCGGGGGCCAGCGCCACGCAGGAATCCCTTCCAGCCAAACTGCCGCTTGATAATGGCCGCAGCGTTGAACAGACCCTTGGCCGACCGAATCTCCTCGTTCTGGGCCAGCCCTCGGGTCTGCAGCAGCGTCTTCACAACGTCAAGCGGGGTGGTGATACCGGCGGCGAATGCACCCGCCAGACCTCCCGCCATGCAGTGCGTGAACGGGTCGTAATCCTGCGACGGGTTCATGACCTTGGAGATGGACTCGTAGGCGACAAACTGAGTGGCGGTGAAAGGCACCGTCATGCAAAGCGTAGTGGGATAGGATACGTAGAACGCCTGGAGACCCTCCGCCTTGTAGACGGAGCGGGCGCATTGAAGGATACTCTTGTGTACCGAGCCATGGACCTGCATGCGTTGCTTGATGACTGCTTCAGTTAGCCAACACCCCAAAAACAGACTAAGAAGGATGGAGCGCAAATGGCGCAGTACTCACCATCGAAGGGGTTCATCAAGGCGTCGCTAGCAATGGTTGCGGACGCACCGCTCAGCGCTTGGCATCGTCAGCAATTGCACCAAAATCATCGCACCTCCAAGCGAAACACCAAAACCTACCAGCTGCTACCGGGTGGTGTCCATCGTCCACGTTTCCACCGGCCATCTCCTTAACCACCTCGTATGTACCAAAGTAAACGGCATGAGCCGGACCTAGAAATTCACCCAGTCAACCTCCGCCGCGATAGCACCCACAACGGCGCGCCCGAAATTGTCGCACTCACCAGCACCAACGATAACACTCGAGACGCCCTTCCATAGCGTCCTCCAGCCTTCAATCCGGTAGATGGTCGAAACCGCATTAGTCAAGCCTGTGTAGAGCCCGCCGTTCGAGGGATGCAGGATTTGCATGCGTGTCTGTACGAACCCCACCATTAGCCCACCGCACCCGCAAAGTCCAACAGAAGAGATGAAGCGATCAATCTCCAGCACCTCCAACCCATCTCAAACTTCCCCTACAATCATCAACGTACCTTCAGCAAGTCGACCGGATACATAACAGAGTGTTCCTAGAACAACCAAGCACCCATTAGCACAACCACCGAAACCCAGTCACCAGTTCACCACGGGTCTTTCCACATACTGCTATTCCTGCAAAAGCGCCAGCCAGCATATTCCGGCCTAAGCCGTAGTTCGAGGGGAGGGCTTCATAGCTATTATCAGATTGGAGCGTTAGCTGCGGATTCCAATACCGAAAGCAGATCGTTGCCAGATAACGCTCCGGAAAATGCAATAAAATCGGACAGCGCAGTCAATCGCAGGGTATATCTGCTGACGAGATAGTCCCTGCAGATAGCCTTGCGCGAACAAGCGAAATCGCCACTAATACGAAGGAGAAAATAACACGGTCGACATACTCGTATTCCTGCCCGGGAATCTGCTCGGGAGACGCCATGGAGCTTGATTGGTTTGGTATCACAGCTGCTGTCGCTAGAGAAAGAGGCGATTTTATATTCTTCAGAAGAAGAATCGAATATCAGACAGCTCGGGGGGGAATGGTCGAGCTTGGGAGTGTGGAGGTACTTGGTCGAGGATGGAAATGCCGACGCAGAAAAACGGACTTGCGGAGCGGAGAGGAAGCCGGACTCCGAGAGGAAGAATATCGGGCGGAAGGGGAGGGAGCGAGACGGAGGGGAGGCGAGGAGAGAAGGTAGAATCAGCCCGATTACAAGACGGGGAGGAAGAAGTTATTCAATGCCTCAGAGGGAGGGGAGTAGAGGAGAAAGGTGAGAGGAGGAGAGCAGAGGACGGACTGGCGAAAGATAGGAAATAATAATCTTTCTGGACAGTCGGGAATTTCTTGCTGCTGAAGGTGAACTAAAGGAGCAAAGCAAGTCCCGGGTCATTAATACCGTTTGGAGGTGGTTTCAGCCTGTTTCACCGGGCCGAATCCCCGCGTGGATGCAGCTGTTGAAGAGGTATTGAGTATGTATCAGTCAGTATGCACGACAGTCCCGCCCGGAGCAGCAGTAATTTATTTGTTAGTTAGTTAACTTAATTCAGCTTTCTCATAACTAAACTACTCCCAAGTAAGTAGTAGATAGATAGTAGGTAAGACAGTCATAGGTAAACAGATTGATTGAGGGAGAAATTTCACAGGTTCGTCCCTTCGGTAAAAAATATTAATTAGATGGAGAGATTGATAAAATCCAGCCTTGCCTCCCTTCCCTTCCTTCCATCCTGATTCCTTGTGTTTTCTAGCCCGCTTCTCCCCAATTTATCCTTATTCCAATTTCCACCCACTATGCCTATCCTCCGCATGATAAACTAAACCTCATTATTATCTAACTTACCTACTAAAGGTGTTCCTCGGAAATACTAAAGAATTTCCATCTTTACTTTTTTTTTTCCCACCTGCCTTGCACACAGACAGACACACACACGCACACACACACACAGACTGACTATCTACCTGCTGAATCAGCATCCCCGACCTAGACTGCCTTTAGACAACCTACCTTACTAACGAACCTCCAAAGTACCTAGGCAAAACTAACTACGACAGATCCGATGACGGAGCCCCATCTCCTTATGGAACCCAACCGACTACTCCGTACTCTTGAATAATGAATAATGAATATTTTTTTCGCCCCGATCCGAGGCATCCATCCTCCCAGCATAAAAAGATAATAAAAATCCAATTAAATATTTATTTCACTTCATTCCAATTACTTAATCTAATTACCTGGAAAACAAAAAAACCTTTCCCCGGCACGAAGCGAACAGACTATGTATTACTCCGACATTAAGTAGATGGGGGGATCATGGAAACACTAAACTAAGAAAGTAAGTACGTAGTAACTAAAGCAAACCGCCGAAGCACGGAGGAATCAATCAATCAGTCAGTCAAAAACTTCGGCACGGCACACCGCGGCGCCGCATGCCAGCCTGTGCAGATGATCTCTTTTTCTTTTTTTTTTTTTTTCTTTTTTTTTCTTCCTTCCTTTCCTCTTGGGGTGGGCCAGCCAGCGAGCGGATTTGGCTTATCTGATTGATTAACACTTTCCACTACTTTTGGATATGTTCTAGAATAAGTTTTTCCTCTATTAATTTTCTTTGCCACGGGTGTTTTTTGGGGTTGCTGGCTCGGGGTTAAGTTCCTATTATGGATATTCCTCTCTTTTTCATCTAATTTACTCTTTTCAATAGGAAAGTATACGGAGTATGCCAGGCTCGGGGATACTGTAATGCAAAGCAAGGCTAAAATAGTAGAGGACATCTAGTTGGCACCGTTGGCTGTTGGGGATTTGGCTCTTGGCGTTTGACACTACTACTACTACTTACTAGATAAGTTAAGGTAACTGGCTAGTAAACTAGTATCTAGCGGATCATCGCTGACTGATTGACTTGCTACGTGGGATCAATCAGTGTAGGAGGTTGATTCGGTGTACAATTTTCGCAGTTCTTCATTTTCTCCACCAGTACCGAGATTTCCATTCTATGGCTAGTCAGACTAGCTGGTGCATAAGCATAGATACCTTGCAGTTGTAATAGTTGTTAACTGTAATCCTCCGTATAAGGCATCTACCTACTCGGACATTATTTCTTCATACAGTCTCCCACAACTTGTCAATTTTAGACACCTACCCACCCGACTCAGTCTGTTCACGTCATGTGCATGCCTCTCAAATACATCCCACCCCACTTCATGGCGTTGAATGTGGAAATGTCAACCTCAGGTAGTACTAGTCCCATGACTAATATGTTTCGAAGAATAATGTGGAAGAAGAAATATATGACAAGTACAGCACAGAAATCGCCCAGAAGTAGTTGATACATACGAATAACGAACCATCCAGGAAAACATCAGGGACGCCGGAGTGAGTGAGAGAGAGAGTTGTTTAGATAGATAGAAACCATATGCGCTGTCGTCATGCACGTCGTGAAGCTCGTCCACCGGCTGAGGAAGTAGTGGGGGAGGGTGGCGCCTCAACAGGATGTAAGTTCGATCATTCTATATACTGTAGTCTACCATTCCACGTTGAAGGACCATTCCCCTGGGAATTACATGTCAGTATACAGAAACGTCTCGTGAATTCACAAGGGACATACCGTTTTTCAAGTTCTCTGCAGTATCGCTGAGGAGGATCACCCGGCGCTTGTTACAGTACGCCGTCTTGTCCAAGATGTCGACCTTCAAGTTCGCCAGCTCCGGTACGGGCTTTTCGAACATCTCACTCAGGCTTTCCACCGCCATTTCCAGATCCTTCTGGTTATCCTCGAAGATCTCCGTCAAATTGTTGCGGGCGAGGTAGTAGGCAAAGGCATATGTCCACTTCAGCGTCTGGCGACATTGCTGTAGTGCCTGCGATGCGGTATCGAGGAACTGCACCTCGATCCATGAGAGTCCAGACTGCGACTGCAGGCTCGTCATCTTCTTCTCCGTCTTAAGATACAAATCTTTGTCCAGCTTGGCGGACTGTTCATGGTTGGCATAGCGGTTGTAGTAGTGGAGATATCGCTCCAGCGACGCCCGGGATCGCGCCTGCGCACTTCGGGCATCTGATCCAGATTTCTCCTCGTAGCGGTTGCAGTTATACCAGCTAGTGCCGTGTTCAGACCACAGTCCCATGCACATCCAACAGAATTCGTGCTTGCACTTGCGACACGTCATGTGGTTGCATCCACCGTTCTTTTCGATCGTTGAGTGGCATCTGGGACACTCCTTGGTGTTGGCAGAGATCCAGTTCGCCGTCTCGGAATCATCCTCGCATTTCTTGAGCCACATTTTCACCAGCGTGCAGGGTGCTGGCTGGTGGTCATTTAGTGTGCACCCAAAGCAGAAATAGTGCCTACAGTCGCACTGTACAGTGGGTACGACACGACGGAGATCACGCTGCTTTATAGGGCAGTCAACCGCGTATTCACAGTTAGGCGCCGGGCACCATTTGAGGTTGTCTTTATCATCGACGTATGTTCGTGTAAGAAGCGCGTGGTATCTGAAAAGCGTCAGTAACAGGGCGAGTAAAGGACATGCTGCGATTCTCACCTCTCCTTAAGATCGTTTGTCACCAGAAGACCTAATGACTTCGAGTCCACGATCATATTGCAGCTATCACTCGGGCATTCTATCCTCGCTGCTTCACCCTCCTCCCGAATCTTCTGTCTCAGATAATGACGATAGCAATCCACACAGAAGCGGTGCCCGCAACGCATGGCATATGTCTCAAGGTCGTCCCCGTCCTCGCAGCAGATGTCGCACACGAACCCTGGTATCACTTCAGTCTTTGGCGTTCCATCAAAGTTGGTGCCGAGGCCTGCCTCCTCCAACGTCTTCTCGGGATGGTCCATGTATGACTCGATCAACTTCTCCCGATTCCATCGTCCATAGCGCAGCAGAATAGCCGACGACTCTGGGGGCAGCCCAAGGATCGAGGAGACCTCGTTAATCTGCAGGTTCTGTTCACGATCGATGTCCTCCGGGCTCAAAACAGTAAACTCAACCTCATAAGGCTTTCGTTTCGTCGCGATGATATCCTTATCTTTAGAGAACCCGCCGTCGAAATCGTCACCGAAGTCTGTACAGTAAGCAAGAAGGATATCGTCAGCATGACCATATAACCAAGAATATGTAGTCAACCTGATCACTAACCTTCCCCAAGACTCTCGACATCACTTCCTTGGGTATCCAGGAAATCATCCGGGCTCGACCCGACACTCATAAAGTCCTCATCCGACTCCATGCTGGTAGACGCCGGAGTATCAATATCCTCCTCCTCCTTCGATCGCACGGGAACCGAAAAGCTACCAGGAGTCGCTAGGGTATAATCAGAGTCAGGGTCCTGGACCGCGGGCTTCTGCTTTTTGCGGGAGGATTGGCCCGAAGAGGAGGTTGCGGTGGCGGCAGGCGAAAGGGCGACGGAAGCCTTGGTGGCGGCTGTTTTGGGTTCGTTATCTACAAGCGTCGCCGCGGCCGCCTTCCTCTTTCTCGTGAGGGGAGGCGTGGTGAAAGCGTTTCTGCCCGTGGCAAGCCGGTATTATGTGCTGACGCGAAAAAAAGGTAGGCCTCGAGATGGGATGTCGAGACCTCTTTTTTCTCGAGACAACACACAGCCCGCAGCCTACCGGAAATAGCAGGAACTTTGATGGGAAAAAAGGGGGAATACGGAAATACCCTGATGACAATAAGGAAAAAGAAAACAGGGTAGTGGTAGTAGGAACGAGGGGAACAGGGCAGCACTAGCCCTCAGCCGATCGTTGCGTGGAGAGCTTAATGATGTTCAATCAACTGCTTGGGCAAAAGGGAGGGGCGGGTTGTGTCACTAACAACCGGGCGGACGTCACGGGAGGGATTCTGGTGTGGGGTCCGTTCTTTTCTGGATTCGATAGAACTGCAACAGTGAATTCGATTAAAAGGGGAATATCAGAAAGAAAGAAAAACAATAAAAAAGGTGGATTCCGATCCGAAAATATCTTCTCAGTAGTGGGATCCCCCTATTTCGAGGATTTATCCTGGACGAAGAAAAAAAAGGAAAAAAAAGGGAATGATGTATCCCTTTATTATGCTCGATCGCGGCTCCAATGTTAGGGACTTGGCAGGGTCAAACTGCAGCAGGAGGCCCAAGTTCTAAGTAGAGGGGGATGAACTCCACCAAAAGAGCCAAACTGTGGGGAGACAGTTCGAGGAACAGGTAAAGGCAGATAGAGCCGTGCACATCGAAGAGAAGTTCCCAGAAGTGCGGAGTAAGAATAGATAGATAGACTAGTACGGTAGTACCTTGGGAAGACAACAGCTGGTCTTCTTCCCCCCCTCCCCTCACGACTCTTAGTCAATGTGACAAGTAACTAACCGACTACCGAGTCAAGTAGTGAGCAATAATCACAGGGGTGCTATGATGACAATAGTGAAGATGATGTGTGCACTGTCGTTTATCCACCTGGGAGGATCCAAGTCGTATGTAGAAGCAACAAACAGAACAAATTCGAAGTTATTATTGGAATGGTGCTGGCTGAAGCAAGGCAAGAACCAGGCGATCGCCAACAAATAATTCCATCGTCACTGATTCAGGCAATCTAATTATCTAACTTGCTTCTTTGGGCGATACCCGTGACTGCCTGGTTGATACCTGTGATATTAGGCAGCCAATACAGGCACTGAAAGCACAAGCAACAATTCAACGCTTCATCAGCTGCAGCTCCATTCATGCTGGGTATGGGTATGCTGCATTAGTGTGAATGGAGTAATGTTTTTGTCATTGAATTTTTGGACAATCCTGCTAGTGTTCTAGGCTATGGTCTATATCATCTACTCATCATCTTCATCACTCTCTTCCTCCTCGCTGCTCTCCTCTTCTTCCGCATTGGCCAACCAGTCCACAAACTGCTGCGACTGGCTGCGCACTTGCCGCATTTCCTCCGTGCTGCTCGACCGCTCATCGGACCACCACTGCTCATAAGCTTCTTCCTCCACGATCTCCAGGTCGTACAGCTCCTTGGCCGTGAACAGCATGACCGTGTCACCACGGCTGCGGTGCGCCAGGTCCTGCTGCAGGAGGACCAGCAAGTCCACTTGATCGGGCTTCTCGTCGCTGTCGCGATCGAACAATGACCGCTCCACAATCTCCTTGTACTTGCCAAAGATCTCCCGGATGGCCTCGCTCGCTCCCTTGCCGCCGTCCATCAATTGCTGGATGCGCTTCATGAACGCCGAGACCACGGCTCGTCGGACCTGGTGGTCGGAAGCATTCGCCGTCATACGCAGACTGACCAGCTCCAGTTGTACCACGTCGGATGTGACGCCATCCCGCAAGCTGTCGTATACACTCGCCGCGGCATCGTGGACAAAGTGGTCCTGGTCCTCGTCGTCGGACATTGTAGTACTGAAACTACCCGAGCGAGACCGGCCGAATTCTGAGATCTCGGAGGAAAGCGTCGAGATAGACTCTGTAGAGAGAGACAGGTTCGCCATATTGTAAACTGCGAAAGTAATGTTAGCCAATCAGATTCAAAAACAAGAAAAATGGAGCAGCAGAATGCCCTTACTCAAACCAGACGAAGCATTGCTGGCCGTCTCATCTTCGTCCTCATCGTCATCATAAGGAACGTACTCATATCCCTTGCCGCCTTCTCCAACAACCTCGGGCTCACTGGCCGGCACCTCATCGTCCTCCTCCCGGTAGGCTGTCGTTATGCGTCTTCCATCGCTAACCTTGACACCATCGGCGATCTCGACACCAAATGAAATCAGAGAGCCAGGCTCAATGGTGCAGTTCTTGCCCACCACTGCCCGGTCAGCAACAATGGCTTGGTTGACAGTCGTTCCATCGCCGATGACAGCGCCATCCCAGATATAAGCACCATCCAGCGTGACGTTCTTGCCGATCTTGCAGTCGCGTCCGAGAACAGTGTTCTTGACCGTCGTCTTGTCTCCAATGCTGGTGCCCTGGCCGATGACCGTGCGCCGACCGATCACGCACGAGCGGGCCAGAGTTACACCCTGCTCTTGGTACAGGCTTCCCTTCCGAAGCTCGTAGTTGTGGCCGCGAAGCAGGTTGGTGTCGGGGCACAGAGGGTACGCCCACCGCGAAATGACATCCTTGCTGACAGCGTCGTACGCCTTCAGATTCCGGACCCGGGCAGCGTAGTGGTCCTTCACAATGTGTGTGTGGATTGTCTTTCCGTTCAACTCGTAGTCCTTCAGCACACCGTACAAGAACTGCTTGCGGGGCGTCTGGTAATCGAAACTGTCGGACCAAAGACTCAGCACATCGGGTGTGCAGATATCGATGTTACAATCAATCAGATCCTGGCGCAGGTCAATCTCCTGGTGTGTCGTAATGAGTTCCGCGTCGATGTTCAGGCGAGAAGACTCGGGGGAATGATGGTCGATCTCCTCGTAGTGTAGGCAACGGTCCTTGGTTGGGTCGATAACGAAAACAGGGGACACAGACGAGGACTTAGTTCTGTGGTTCCGGCCAGCCTCTCTCAAGATCATGGTCATGATGGCGTTCTTGTCCGCTTCACGGCGAGCACGGTGCTTGGTTAGCGCGCCTTCGATAGGCAGGTTGCTGATAACATCACCGCTGACAACGATGAAGTCGCCCGTGATGAGATGCTTGCCATCAAGATCACGCATGACATCTCCAACCGACGTCGACGTCGACTTGAGGAAAGTCAGCTGCTTGAAAGGCGACGACGGCGCTCTCCATTTGGATGCACTGTGCAAATCCTCCTTGTCAGCCCGGCAACCACAATAACATATCTCCAGCATATCCTGTATAAGCCCGCACGTACTTGATGTATTTCTCCAGCTGATCGGAGTGCGCTCCGCCGTACAGGAAGACATCCTCCACACCGGCATTGGCAAGGAACTCGAGCGTATATTCAATCAAGGGAGTGTTCGCAAGCGGCAAGAGACACTAGATCAATCACTCTGCGTCAGCCTTCAGAGTCCCCCACCATCGATGCATACAGTCAATGCAGCAGCACAACCACACATACCCTAGGCTTCTCAAGTGTGAACGGCTCGAACCTCGTCTCAAAAGTATCTGCAAGCACCTAAAGCCACACGGCGCCATTAGTCCAGGACCGCAAACCATCAACCTCCCCTCTGCGATATGAAAATAACATACAACAGCCTGCAATGTCTCCTCTACCTCCTCCGTGGCATTTCCCCTCTTCGCCGCACCACCTTTTTGTTTCGGGCCCATCTATACACCAAAAGCGTCAGCAAGTCAGAACAATCCAGGTCCATCTCCTCCATCAAAGAGCGCTGAGGGCACACGATTGCGCACTTACATCAGGAACGGTATGTAGATCGACCGATGAGTAATTTCTCGAAATTCCCCCACCTCAAATCACAAAGGGACTCAGATACGGCGTAGGTCCAAGAAATAAGGAAATAGCAGTAACAGGGTATTGTGGGAAAATTATGGCAGGCGCAAAAAAGTCACCTAGAACAATCGGCACAATCCGACAGCAACAATGAGATAAGTTCGCCCAGGGCGCGTTCAACTCGCAAAATCTCCGCCAAGCCCGGCGCCGTCGGGCGGAGGTAGTCAGAGTCACGCTTTCTTCTTCATCCCACCTGGCGGCCCGTTTGTCTTGTTTGTCTCCTACTCCTACTCACAAACACCCCCACCTCACCTCGGCTGCTCTCCCCCTGGTCACACTGCACGTGATGCATATTTCACGTGATAATTCACGTGATTAATACCCGTTGCAGAAGGGGTACAGCCACAGTGGCTCAGCGAGTGCCGGGGGTTTCAGAGTCCAGAACACCATCGAAGGCCTGGGCCCTCATGGACTCGAAGGAATATCCCTTGTTCAGGGACCGACGGTCTAGAACCTTATCTATCGTGGATAAAGCTGATGAACACCAGATCGGAAGTGCAGCCTGCTTGGAGGGTTCGGGTGGGCAGATCGGTTCGCTGGGTCGTATGATGACGAGGGTGGTGATGATGCTCCCCTCCGCTCAACTGCTGGGTGGAAAAAGTGGTGGGCGCCTGCAACGTCATATTCCCTTTTTGCACTCCGTTACTAGACCTGGATATGCTGAACGTTAAATAGTATCTATGTGGTTGGAAATGATGGGAGTTAATAATAGATTTTGAATTTGGCTCTATAGATTCCTACCTCCTGACCCAACAACCCTGCTGTTGAGCATCATATGCTTAGCTAACTAGTTGACCCACAGCAAATTGACCTTCCACGTAACAACGGAGACTGGTTACAAAGCGCCCCCAACAAGAAGAATAACAAGTCCATATGACGCGTACAATAGACACAACATGCTGCCAGCCCAAGGTCCTGCTGCCAAAACCAAGGTATCTGGATGCCATACCCCGAGTACCAGTTTTTTTCGACTGCATCGGCCATCCAGCCAGTAGAAACGAAAACAACGCAACAGTTTGCCGCAAAATGATTCGCAACCTATGCAAGTGAATAACACGCGCCTCCAACACCGGGATATATCGAGCAACGTCGGGAAAATAACACAGAAGCAGTACAACTCCCTGAGACAACAGTATCGTACGGCTAAGACTTCATCACGAGAAGAACAACGGAAATCGTAAGGTGGAGAGGCGTAGCGGAAGTGAGGTGAGAGATGCGGAAGGCGGGTGTCAAAGGAAATTGGGAAAAGGTCATTGTTCATCTAGTGTAGGGCGAGAAAAGAGGGGAGAGATGGAAGACACTCAATCTAGCCCGTTCGCGCAGCTTGCATGGGGTTAACCATTGGCTGCGCTTGATGAGCGTACATGCGCGGCCGTTTGGCCATATTGGGGTTTTCGGTGGCACTCGACATTTCCGAAAGCTGTCGTCGAGGTGGTTGCGGCCTGACGGCCGCAGGCGCCGTAGTAGCAAGGGCCACCGCGGGTGCGGGATACTGAACTCCGTTTTGATCTACGGCATATGCAGCCGCAGCAGGGGCGGCGGGTATATATTGGCCTTGGACTTGCGGAACGTTAGGAGGCACGGCAGTCATGCCTGGAAATTGGCCCGGTGATTGCCAAGCAGTCATCGATGTTGCTGGCGATTGCCCAGGAGAGCTGTCCTCCTTGACTGACTGGGCGGCCGAGCTTTGCGCGGCCATCGTAACGGCTGCTGCCGATTGGGGAGCCTCTATGCCCGGCGGCATCGTTTTCAGGTGAACCAAGTGTTTCTCAAGCATATCAAGAAGGCTCTTTCTTGTGAAGGGCTTTGGAAGGACGTCATCCATTCCTATTGATGCTGTTAGTCACTAACATAGCGACCCAAGAGTGGCTGTACTAAGGAGCCCAGGGGGTGGCGAACATACCATGCTGAAAGTAGAGCTGGATATCGTCACTGCGAATGTTAGATGTCATGGCGATGATGGGGGTCCTGTCGAATTGGCGAATAAGGTGGCAAGCAGAAACACCATCCAAATTGGGCATGATAATGTCCATGAGAATGAGATCATATTTGGAACCATCCTGGATCTTGTTCACCGCTTCCAGGCCGTCAAACTGAATCTATGTCAGTCGAGAGATTTCCGAGTCTTTGAAAACAGTAACATACCGCGGTATCAATCAGGCACGAGAAGGAGTATAGGAATTTGCCACCAATTTGACGGCATGTCGCATCATCCTCCACGAGTAGGATATGGGGGCTGCGCACCCAACCGGGATCGACATTTGCGCTCTTTTTCCGGTTGTCGGGGAATTGCCGTCGAGATTCGTCAATCTCTTGTTTGGGAGGCATGGGATACGGGACGTTGTTGACATGTTCACTGTACATAGGATCGATTCCGTTGGTGGCGCCCACCGGGTAGACGACGGGCTCGATCTCTCCGCTCATCTTGGGATAGACCATAGCAGTATTCGCACTGGCGTCAGCAGCAGAGGGCCGCGCGACACCATTCCGGGGAGCAGTTTCCAGAGCAGGTGTAGGGACCACGGCGGTACTTTTCGGTGGCTCGCCCATGGACTCTAGGCCCCCTAGATTGAATTGAATCTCTGCGTTCATATCATTCAGGAGCTTCGAGGCATGCTGCAAGGGTGACGAGGGCTCGTCGTCCATGGATGCGCCCTGTGAAGGGCTCAGGGTCGAACCGGCTTGACCCTGGGCTTGGAAAGGCACAGCAGCCGCTTTGCTGTCGCGCCGCTGGCGGGCATCAACGGAGAGCAGGTAAGTCATCACCTGGTGGATAACATTTTCATGGTTAAGGATGGTCTTCTGCACCCTCATAACTTCCTGCATCATCAACTGGTGATCGACGCTGAGTCGTGTGTGTCGCTCGTGTAATTGATGAATCTGTTGTTGTTGAGCCACAATTTGCTGGTTCAGCAAATCTATTTGTTGTGTCGGGACCGAGTCTTCGGTGCTCTGGGTCTGTTTGCGCGGAGCCGGGGCCTTCCGTCGAATGTTATCGAGGGATTCTTTGCTGTTCGCTCTGAACTCAGGGTGTTTGAACTCCCAGGCCTGAAGAGCAAGTACAGTTAGAACCTATCGCATCGACTGCCACGAAGCGCAGGTTGCTTACATTCTGTCCGTACGGTGACTGTCCGTTTTCCTCGTTGTTCTGTCTCACTTTGTGGAAGTCGTACTTGTTCAGCTGTCGCACGAAACTGGCAAAGTTGCTATGTTTGAAGTGCTTCGGAAGGATGGTCTTGGTGAATTTTTCGCACTGAATATATTTCCAGGTCAGCCTCGATGATTGCGACCGCAGGGAAGGCAGACAGGGTGGGAGATGCGAAGAGCGCCATACCTCCAAGACCACAAAACTGTCTCCTTCGTCACCCCACCGCACGATTTCCGCGTACGATGGGTCTTCGAGCATCCTTTGCGATGAGGATTAGCACGCATGATCAATGTCGAGATTCTGCAGAACATCGCTGGATTCTAATAGGGCGCAGCGACAACCGGACAGCGAAGGCCGGGGGGGGTTGAGGTTGGAAAACCCGGCGGACGAGAAACCGGAGTGATGAAGCGCAGGCAAGGTACAGAGGAAAAGTAGTAAAAGGGGAACAACTCACTTGTAGAGTTTTCGTACCTAACCATCATGTTAGCAAACTGAAGTATAATCGCATTCAAAATAATAGCGATCATGAGGTTCACGACGGTCGCTAACGAGGGCGACACTTACAAAATCGCTGGAGTTGCCCGCGGGGGCGGTGCTGGTCGAGGTCTGGCCACCGTCCATCGTGGGCTAGATGGGTCGCGACCGATCGAACAAGCAACAGGCTCAACAAGTCGCAAGGCGAGAAACGGGCGGAGGGACGGGAAAGAAGAAACCCAGCCAGTCGTCAAATTAAATGTCGGGTGGCAAAGGAAAAGGGAAAAGAAGGAGACTGGAGAGAGAGAGAAATAGAATAGTGATCAGACAAGAAAAAGAAGAGGACGAAAGAAAAGAAGAGGAATGGAGGGAAAGAAAGAAAAAGACGAGCGTAAGGTAGTAGTCGTGGTCGAGAGATGGTGGTGGTGGTGGTAGGCAAGTTTAGTTTAGTGAGCCTTAGTGTTAGTGAGGAAGTAGGAGGAATGGGGATTAATTAGTCAATGCCGTTCGGGTTTAGTTCCAGTCCCTCCTTTTGGTGGAGCCTGATATTTTTTTGGGATTTATTATTTTCAGTCTTGGTCTTGTTGCCCTTTTTTCCTTGAAGAGGGGAAGATAAAAAAGAAATAAGAAGGGGAAAAAAAAAGAGAAAAAGAAAATACTAATCAAACCAAATAACATTCAATCATAATAAAATACTAAATCATCAGTCAACAGTCGGTAGTTAGGTTAGGTAGCAAAGAGAGAGAAACACCGAGGGGCTTTTCTTCTTCCCCCCTCTCTTGTCTTGTCAGTCAGTCTGCTTGTCTGCCTGTCTTCTGCTGCTGCTGCTGCTGCTGCGCTGCTGGCTGAGTTGGGGGTGGATAAGAAAAAGGCAGGCGTGTGGGTAAAGGTGGTTCTGTGATTTGCTTTCCATGGCTCACTCTCATTTGGCAATCAGGTTCACGTCCACCCAGCCCAGCAAAGTTTCTTCTTGTAGTATCTACAGTAGTCAAATGTATGAAGTAGCAGTGGTAGTAGTAGTATTGATTATTATCGACGCATCTCCAATTGCCCCAAGTGGGTTTTCCGGTTTTCCCCCCGAGTACGTGGTCACTAGCCACAACTTCCAACCCACCCGTTGGGTTGTCACTTCTCCGTCCCTTTACCCCTTCCGGTTAATTTTACTTGACTTTCGAGAGATGTGCAAATTTCTCTAGTATCTACTTTTCCTCCAAGCATTCTGGCAATTTGAAATTCTCCGTTTGACGGGTATCTTGAGGCTGTTTCTCATGCAGCACTTGTCTCTAATTCTGGGGGGGGGGGGATGACCTCACGCAAGGAGATCCATAAGAGGGGTAGAGGAAGAATTCTTAATGCTAAGCCAACGAAAACCTAACACTGGGAACTAAATCTTAGAGCCCCCGGGTCTAACTAACTAATAGGGACTGACAACTCAATATCGTTCACCAAGAATTATGCTCCCCTCCTTTCTAACTTTCCCAGCATACATACAAAGTATAAGGCGAAGAGAAAACGGTATAGAGAGAGAAGAAAGTGTAGATAAAATGAATGGGTAAATGAAGAGTTCTGGCCTAGGAAAAAAAAAATTAAAGTAATAATAAAAAGACAGAAAGAGAATATCCATTACCCAAAAACAAACGCACAAGGCACCAAGTAAGGAAGGCAACAAAGCAAGTGTGACTGAGTGATCAGTATCCACCACTTCTTCTGGCGGAACTACCGGTCCAAAGACTGCTGTCAGTGCGCCTGATGGATGCAGAATGATGCACGAAAAGGATGGGGGGAAAGCTATGGAGATAGGCTGCCTCAGGTGGAGGGGCCTTGGATTCTGTGCAGCGATCAACAACCCGAACGGCCGTGTCGTGGTATACCGAGGGAGGGGTGGACGGAAGCAATGACCGTTTTGAATGTTTATCTCTCAGCCCATCATCCTTGTTATTTTTGCCTTCGTTCATTCCTCTCGGACCCCGCGGTAGCCAGCGGGTTTGTACGAGGTGGGGTTCCAGAGAATCAAATCAAGTGCATCATTACTTACATACAGTATGTATGTATGTATGCCTTCAGTGCACGACTTTGCTCTGCTGGGCCATCTTTTCCTCTACTACAGATGGCTTCCCTTCTCAGGGGGTCCCTCAATTCGGCAACAGTTGCAGATCCCCTCTCGCGGGTGAGTCGACGATACGAGGATCCAGAGATGATTACAACTAACTAACAGGTCATCAGGTGTAAAAGTAAGAACGACATGACAAAGAAAGAACAGAGACAGGCCATGAAATAGCCATATTCTAATTCCAGTCTTCCTCATTGAGCCATAAGATGTGATAGAGAGATCGGATGGGCTCTTAATTTAGCACAAGGAGCTATGGAGTAGTATGGATCATGGAGACGCCACCTCCCGAACATCATGTACTAGTTCTAAGGAAGCTGGTACTATTAATATTATGCGAGACAAACTATGTAAGTAAGTGCCCAACTGATTTACTGGTTAATCCGACTCCTGTCTTCTCCTCTTATGCTCGTCTTATCACGCTCATCCAGCCAGCCCATGAATAAGATCAATTATCAGCCAAGGTTCTAGATGGGGGAGGTGCTGCTGAGAGTCCAGACTCAAACCCCCCCCGGTCCAAAGCCACTTGAATGCTGCAAACGAACCCTTGCAGTTCAGAGACAGACAATGCAGGGTTGGTGTCCGTCAGTCGGCGGGAACAAAGGCTGTCAGAGATTCTGAGGCAGCGATCGAGACTGGTCCATGAGATCTTGCCGGAGTCGATGTCCGCACGGTATGATTGATTCGATGTCCAACCCCCTCTTCATCGCGGCCTTGTGTCTGGGTACTTACTACTTCCCACATGCCGGGAGAAAGCGAATCTAAAGTGATGATATGTAGACATACATAAGTGGGCCTTAAAATATGGCGTTATCGCCCTTTTTCACGTGGATGATTGTTTTGAAACCAGCAAGAGGTCCCGGAATTCTGTTCACAACCGCACTATTGTGTGGCTTTTATCTGCAGAGGGCAGTTGGCTGTTTCAATCAACCCATTCGACCATCAAGGATAGTTGAAAGTCCTAGTATATCTTCCTCTTCCTCCTTAGCAAGTCCCCACGTTCTCCAGTCGACGTCCGGGCGCTGCAGCCGAAAAGCGACCATGACGAAATCATCGCAATGTTTAATGTTCCGACCTCCCGAACGGGAGCAATTTAAATTAATGTTTGTTATTTCTGGAGAAAGCTGAGGAAGCTCCACCAGCTCAGGAACAACAATAATCAACTTCCCATCCAGCTCCCACCTTCTTCCTCCCTTCCACCTCTCAATCTAACTTCCTGTGGCAACCCCCCAACGGGAATATTCAATCTCTCACACCAAACACATTCCTTGTCAAATTATCATCCATTCCTCCCTGTAGCCATCATGTTTGCTGCTCGTCGTCTTACCGCCGGTGTCCCTCGCACCTTGTCCCAGAGGGCCCTTTTCCACAGCACGGCACCCGCTTTTGTTCAGAAGGGAGACGCCATCCCCGACCTTGATGTCCTGGTTGAGAACTCGCCCGGCAACAAGGTGAACCTCGCCAAGGAGCTCAAGGGCAAGGGCGTCATCGTCGGTGTTCCTGCTGCCTTCAGTATGTAATCTTCGTGCCGATATCGTCGGCCCGGCCTAGGATAGGACTGGTCGCTGTTATTAAAGATATGTCCCCTGGTGATAAATTGCTAACCGTTCCACCTCGGCGGAAATTAGGCCCCGCCTGCTCTGCCACCCACGTTCCTGGATTCATCAACCACCCCAAGCTGAAGGAGGCCGGTCAGGTCTTCGTTGTTGCAGTCAACGACCCTTTCGTGTAAGTTACAGGTCACGTACGGTGTCATCCGTTAATCGAGGGTATCATGGTTAACCCGACAACAGCACCAAGGCATGGGCTACCTCCCTTGACCCCGAGGGCAAGAGCGGCGTAAGTGATCTTATCACCTGGTTGTACGAGAAACACCCGGTGCCGTGTACTAACGCTACATGATAGATCCGCTTCTTGGGTGACCCCAGTGGCAAGTTCTCCGAGGCCCTGGATGTGACCTTCGACAGCGCTTCCATCTTTGGAAACAACCGCAGCAAGCGTTACGCCCTGCTTGTCGAGAACGGCAAGGTCAAGGAGGCTTTCGTGGAGCCCGACAACATCGGTCTTGACGGTATGGTCCCAAAAACCGGCATATAAATTGTTTGTTTGTTACTAACGGATTATGTAGTCTCTGCGGCCGAGAAGGTCTTGGCCTAATACCAGCCCAGAGAATTAGCATATAAAAAGATTATATACTTAGGCTCTTCACATGACAATATATCATAATATTTATTGCGATAGAACTCTATTTTCAGAACCACAGCCAGCGAAGCATAAGTCATAACTGGCAGCGCAAAGCCATGATGTCGAATAACCCAACGCCCGACGGCATGCCCTCAAGGGCATGTCAATCCCCAGGATATATCCAGTCCCTACCCCTCTAACCTCCGTCTTCACAACAGAGTTAGCCCTGGTGCAGCGCCTGCCACTGCTCGGGAGTGTAGCACTTGGGCGTCCAGGCGTGGATGGCAGCGATCTCGGCCTTGAGGGCCGAGTTCACCAGGCGATGGCGAGCAAGCATGGTCTTCTTCTCAAACTGGGGGGAGACAATGACGGCCTGGAAAGCCTGTCCGCAACCACCTGTAGACAACATTATCGTCAACATCTGGTCTTGGAATCATATAGTTGTAGCATTCATTCCCTCAAGGAGATGAAATTAATCAGCAGGCGCTCTCATACCCGACAAGTCTTCGATCTCAACATGCTGCGCCTGCAACTGATCGATCAATTTGGTCTTCAGCGACTCGGCCGTAACGCCCGAAGTATCGGCCATGGCTGCGTTGACTGCCGCAAAGGAGCGCGCGGAAATCGAGAACGGCGATTTGTGATGGACGGGGGTGCGGAGAAGATACCGGCAGCTTCTGCTCAACAGGGTAGTGGTGCGGGAGAACATCAAGCGAGCCGGGCGGCGAATTCAAAGGAGTATAAGGTACTTGAATAGTTAAAGGTATTATATTAAGATGAAGCGACCGAGAGTCGTTAAAAGCGATTTGAGTCAGAAGGGCGGGCAGCGCGGTGATGCTTCTTCCGATGTAGGATGACGGAATTCCTTCATGCTGGAATTGATCCTCTTTCTCCTTCCTCCCGTACCGTACCGTAAGAAACGGATTGGTCAGCTGCCGTTGTGGCTGGTGGGTACTAGCCCCAGTCTGGACTAGGGCAGCTGTGGCGCCAGCTTCTCCTCGGCTTCCATCGCTTCTTCTAAAGCTTCATCTGCTTTTACAGTCGCGGGGTATTTTCTAGCTCAACTTTGCGCTGGCCAGCTGACATCCCGGAACTGCTCCTGATCACCGCATACCCCAGACTACAACAGCATTGTCTATGAACTCTCTTCGTCGCCAATCCGCCCGCCTATATTCCACAATGTCTGCTTCATACCCCACCTCATCGCCATTTACGCAGGCAGTGGTGAGCTCCATGAGGAAGCTGTATGCTTTCCGTCACCTACATTGATCAATTAGAGTTCCAAAATTGCTAATTCGTTCTGATGCAACAGCTACCCCGAGTCATTGGCAGATAAGAGCTGGGACAACACCGGCCGTAAGCTCCCCCATCCTTTACTACCAGTCTTATACCCCCATTAACTCTACATCCCAGTCCTTCTCGAAGCCCCCTTCGACCACACCCGCCGACAGAAAAACTCCGTCCTCCTAGCAATTGACCTCACCAAAGCAGTTGCAGACGAAGCAATTGCCCGTCGCGACTCCGTAGTCGTAGCCTACCGTACGCAATGCCCCCAATCACCTACACACCATCACCGACTAACACAACTAACACATCCAGACCCTATCATCTTCCGCGGCCTCAAATCCATCACCTTCAACGACCCCCAACAATCATCCCTCCTCCGTCTCGCCCAAGAAGGCATCAGCGTCTACTCTCCGCACACAGCCATCGACGCCACCCCCGGCGGCATGGCCGACTGGCTCTGCGACATCGTCACCGGCGCCATCGCCCCAACCACCAGCACAAAGCCCACCCTCCAAAAATCCTCCTCAACACACTACACCCACGCCACCTTCCCTGACCCTCAGCCCGCATCCCCCGCGACTCCCGTCCCTCACGTCCGCAACACAATCATCCCCTCTCCGCCCCCAGTCCCCGAAGGCATGGATTCAGCCGGCATGGGCCGCATCGTCACCTTCGACGAGCCCCAGTCTCTCACTACCGTCGTGGACCGCATCGCCCAGGGCGTCGGATACCCCGGTGGTATTCCCATCGCTATTCCGCAGACCTCCTCGGTCGAGGACATTAAGATCCGCACTGTGGGTGTATGCCCCGGCTCCGGATCGAGTATTTTGCTGAAGGGCACGGGCGGGAAGATCCCTGATTTGCTTTTCACGGGCGAGTTGAGTCACCATGAGGCGTTGGCGGCGGTGGAGCGTGGGTCGGTTGTGGTTGCGCTGGCGCATTCGAATACCGAGCGTGGGTATCTGCGTGCGGTGATGAGAGAGAAGTTGGCGGGTGCGGTGAAGGAAGAGTGGGAGGCGAAGAGGAAGGAGGGTTTGGAGGGTGGTGCTGCGGAGCTGAAGGGGGTGTTTGAGGATGCAGAGTGTGTGGTAGATGTTAGTGAGAAGGACCGTGATCCGTATGGTATTATGATTCGTCAGGCGTAGATCTAGCCATCTACTTACTACATACATCAACTGAAGATGAAATAGCATATACAATATAAACGATTCAAACTTTACATATATAACTAAAGAAGCAAATGCTATCAAACACAATCCGCACTATATACATTCAATCCACAGACCTAAACACACAACCCACCCCCTATTAACCACTACAATAAGAAGAAGCTAAATCAACTCAACAACACCCTAATCTCCCCAGTCGTCCTAGGGAACAACCTCCTCAAACCCCCCTTCTCCTCCTCTCCCTCCTCCTCCCCCTCCTCACCCTCATCCCCATCCACCACACCTCTACGCGCCTCATTATCCGCCGCAATAACCATGCCCTCAACAAACTCAAAGTCCCTACAAAACGCCTCGACCGCATCCTCCGTAACGCTCTTCACGAACGTCGCGCTCGCCACGCGCTTCAAGTTCTCCGTAGCATCCATCAACGCAGACGGAAGGAAGTCATCCAATTGCTGACTGATGTTCACAAGCGCCTGCGGCTGGAAGGCTGGGAGGGCGAGGATGTCTGAGATGTTTGGTTTCGATAACGACTTCTGCCGTTGGTCTGAGGGTGGCTTTTGAGGGGAGAATGGCTCCAGGGCTGCGAGGAGGGTCTGGAGACCTGAGGAGGTGAGGAGGTAGCGGTGTTGGATTTCGAGGAGGTCTGTGCGGAGGGTTGAGAGGGCTGTTTGGATTGGGAGAGGTGGGTGGTGCTGGCGAAGGGGTAGGGGGATATGGTTGTGCGGACGGTGAGGTGGATGTTGGTTAGGTAGATGGTTTGGGTGGTGTGGGAGGGGAGATCGGCAGCGGAGGATTTGGCGAGGTCGAGGAAGGGTTCCAGGGCGGAGTGGAGGACCGGGGTGAATTTGTTTTCGGCGCTGGTGGTGGTGTCCTGGGGTGGTGGTGGTGGTGAGGAGGTGGGTTTGGGGCCGGGGTGGGGATGGGGTCGGCGCCGTAGGAGGCCTCGTGGGTTTTCATTAGAGAGGTGAGGACTTCTAGGGCGTCTTGGAGGAATTGGGGTGCGGAGAGGTCCGCCGGGGGTGTGAGGGCCGAGGGGTCTGTTGAGATGTTGTTGACTTCGTCGTGCATAAGGGTTTCGAAGTGGTTGAAGGTGAACTTTTCGAGGGTTTCAAGGAGCTCGGCCAGGTTGGATTGCGGGCCGAGGAGTTTGCTGAAGGTCGTTTGGTAGAAGGATAGTAGGTTGACTACCTTGTAGCAGGTGACGGGGTCGTCGTGGCCTTGGATGACTAGCTCGACGCGCTGGCGCAGGGCCCGGGAGACGCCAATGAGGTCTCGGTTGACTAGGTCGCTGAGAGCCTTTTGGCCGTCGAATGATACTTCTTTGTCTTCGTCGATACGGGACCAGGGTTCGCTGCTTAGCCCAGCTTGGATGCCTTTGGCGAGCTCTTCGCCGTCGGCGACGAAGAGGGCCTCGAGTGCCTCTCGTTCGGAGACGGTGGTGGAATGCACCCAGGCCAGCATGTCTCCAATGTACCGCAAGGGGTCGTGGGCAGAGAACTCGATTGGCTTCACGTTGGTGTCACCCGTCGTGCCAGAGACGGCATCGGTAAGGGCATAGTGGAAGGCATCAGAGAGCACGTAGTCTCGCGCCTCTGCGAAGAAATCCAGGCAGCTGTGGAACAAGCTTGGCCGCTCCGCCAGCACTCGCAGAACACGTCTGATAGAGCTGCTGATGCGAGGATCTTCAAGGTTGAGGGATCTGAACTCCTTCTGTATCCACCTGTAGAGTTTCTGGTAGGCGGAGTTGAGGCTTCTAGAGCTCTTCTCCATGAGTTCCAGACCCAGTCGCTCGTTCTCACCCCCGAGGAGTGCTTCGCAGTCCCGGTAGACTTGCTTGACTCTGGCGAGGACTTCGAAGAAATGGTCATCAATAGGCTCTTCGGCATGTGTCAGGATCAGCAGATCCTCATCGGGGACGATGAAATGTTGGGTGAAAGCTTCCAGCAACTCCTGTTTGGTCTCTGCCTCTTTCTTCTGTTTCATCAAGGCCGACGCTTCCTCGAGCACTGGTGCTGTTTCCTGTCTGGCAGAGACAATATGTTTGCGCATCTCATCGCAAGTCTGGTTCAGGTTGGTAATCACATTTCCTATCCGTTTCAATTGCTGCGCAGCAGGCTAAGTTAGCATCCATTGGATCTCTCAGCATCGGCGCATCTCACCTCCGCAACCAGACCGAAATCCCGCACAATCTCGGCATTGCTGTCGACGACCTCCTTCTGAACGTCCAAGCGTAGTTGTCTCCGAACTTCTGCCGTATTGTGTATCCCCCTGAGGCTGAGTGTCTCCAGCGCATCGCGAATGTCCGAGTCCGCATAGGAGGCCGAAAGTACACTTGTCAGTCGGTTGGACAAGGCATTGGATCGCTGGTGTACGGGGGGTGAAAGCGGGGAGGAAGCTGGCGATGATGCTCGAGTAGAGCCATGGCTGGAGATGGCTCCATTGGGAGGGAAATAGCTCGCCATCGTGGGACTGTTGGCCTAGTCGAGCTGTCTAGCTGGGATGGTCACTGCGAGTGTCCCGCGGGATGGAAGCGGAGGCGGGATTCGGCGCAGCGCTTTCCCCGGCCGGGTTGTTGATCCGTCCCCTGTACCTGAATCAACCTTTGAACCTAATTCTTTCCTCAACCCGCATCATTGAGAGAATACCGGGACATTTGATTGTTAGGCCTTTACATGGCTATTCAACCCTTGCATATCCCAGATAATTTCTAGCAACACGATCGATTGCCATGGATAGCCCCCTCCTCTCCCCCGCAAAAGCGCGCCAAGCGGCCATTCAGGCCAAAGATTGGGCTTATGTCAATGCATGGCTCAGTCGTCAGTACGCACCGAATCCGGTTCCCAGCTTCGAGCGAAATGAAGATACACTGCGCACCCTCCTAGCACTGGCCGCTGCCAATGATACTGCGGATGAGGAAGCCACCGTTCTCCACCAGGCTCGCGAGCAGGCGGTTGAAAGCTTCAAAGCCCGAGAGGAGAATGAGGAAAAGCAGAAGGTAGAAATACTGGATGAGGTGGAACATAATCTTGACGACAATGGCAGACGAAACCTGGACGACCTGGCAGAGACAACGGCAGTACTTGGGGCTTTGGGCACAAGTACGAGAGACCTGGGCCAATCGATCATTGAACTTACGATGGAGGAATTCGATGCGCAGCAGCAGATGAGTAGAGTACAGGCACTACACGAATACTTGGGCAGAGAGCTGGCTACGCTGCGAGAACAACTTTTAGACCTCAAGACCAGCGAGGTGTATGAAACACCAGCCAACCTCCCAGCGCTAACGGCGGAATGGACACGAGAAACCAAATTGCTCAGCGCCAAAGCTGGCGAATACCGCGATCGATTTGCCTCGCTACAGAGAAATAAGAGCAAGGGACCCACGCTTGAAGAAGTAATTGCGGAAGAGCAGAGCGTGATCAGGATGCTGGAGAGCACTGAAACACTAGTGGAGAGGGTAAAGAAGCTCCATGATCTGCCAAGCGACATCCCTGGTGCTCGGGCGCAATATAAGGAGCTAGAACAGGAGCTTGACCGACTCACCCAGCAACAGAACACTATGTCTGAGAAGCTTGCCGAAAAGTAGATTCTACACTACAAATGATGTAGGACTTTGTTTATCAAATGTGCAACTAGTATTGAGCTAGGGAGGTGAGCTAGGGAGGTGATACTATCAAGGTGTGGTATCGTCAACTCATAAAATCATGAAAAGGACAATCTGCCGTGAGCCGCCAACCCATCGTTCTCCGATTCCATGCATCACAGAACAGTGAAAGCGCTATTGGTCATGACTCGTCGATCGATTGTATTCGGAAGTGTTGTGCACTTAGTTGTTACCCAGACCAAGGGTGTCCTTGATCTTGTCGCCACTGCAGAGTCTGTTAGTTAAGATGTTCTCATTGACCACCGCATGATCAGGGATATACTGACATGGAGCCGGAAGCACCGCCGTGGGAAGTGTTATCGTGGGTGCGCTGGGTCTTGTCGAAAGCCTCCTGCGTGCCAGACTTGCTGTTGTCGGACTGGAAGCCGCGAGCGACGCGATCACCGGTGTCGGTAACGGTCTCCTTGATCTTGTCCTGGGTGGACTTGGCGGAGTCAGGAGTCATCTCCTCCTTAGCCTCTGCATAAGCGGGTAAGTATCACGCAAGCCAAAGATGTGAGCGCGCCTGAACGCAGGAACAGGAGACATACTGGTGGAGAAATCCTTGCGACCGGCGTCAGACATGTTGATTGAGTGGTTGATAAAGGGACTTGAAAAGTGTTGGATGTAGTTGAGTTTTGGATTGGATGTTGCGATTTGTAGATGATTGAATTGTTGATGGAAGAGACACTCATCGACGGTGCAGAGGAGTCTTTATATAAGTTTCTGGGTCCTCAAGTTGCTCCATGACGTCGACTATCCTGGCAGTGAATGGCTACGCCATCGATAAACGTGAATGCAGCCAGTGAAACCGGGGGGTAGCAGTCCTGGAAGAGATACCAGCGAATCAACGTCATCATGAGGGGAGTACCCCGGTTTCGATCAGGACGCCGGATCTTGCATGTGCGTCATCGGGGCATGACGATATTTGAGTTTATTCCCTGTGTACTGTGTATTGTGTACAAACTACAAGGTCGAAAAAGCGGATGGCGCCAGACCTCGCCGATCTGGTCCAGACTTTCCTCTTTGGGGGCGGGCCCTAGTCATGACGTCTGCATGATCGCATGTAGCTCGATGCGGTTAGCGCCAGATTGTTTTCGGAACTATGTTAAAGCGAACACCGACATTGAGCTAGACTGCAAATAGTATAGCTTTATTGTGCAATGTAAACAGCAAGCGGTAGCCACCAGCAGAAAGCGGCCAGCTGTTCACCGCCACGCGGCGAGTCCCTTCAGGCCGACTGCCTGTTGTCCTGCCTGACGCTCTCCCTCTCTTCGTCTTTCCAATGCGTTTGGCGCCAACACGCTCTCTCGTTAGGTCTGCTGGACCACCATGTTGATCGGCTCTATATCTATTTGCTCTGTTTTTCTTTGCGATTTTGACCTACCGTTTTGCGTTCGTGCTTGACGTTCTCTGCGAGCCCGCCGGTTTGTGATTATCTCTGGAGGCAACCCCGCTCGCCTTATCAATCACTGCTCCAGCTGCTGCCGGGCAATCAACACCCTCATTGCACACCAATTTCGCCCTCATACCTGTAATGCCATCATCGTTTGAATCAGCTTCAAATTGGGATTTCACTCCGGTGATCAATCTCCTCCGCACCCCGACCTACGGCACTGGTAGCTCATCGGTTCCTTATCGCCACCCGGAGTCCGCCTCAATTGTTCGGCCTAGGTGGGAGACAAACAACAACGATGGCTCCGCTTCCTCTGCTGATGTGCGTGAGGTGAGGCCTGGTGAAGGGGTTCCTCCGAAGCTAGGAGACTTTGGTTCTCTTTGGGAGCTTTTAGGCAGTACTAGCATCTCGGCCACCCGCCCACCAGTTGAACCTTGTGAACTTCAGCGAAACACACCTACCCCTACGCCACAATCGCCTAAGCGAATCGAAATCCTCAAACGACCTTTAAATGACCCTGTCGACTCTGCAGGGTTGGATGAGGAGCCTTCCCGTACTCCGTCAAAGCCTATACCTGTCTCCAGGTCCCGCAACTTGCAGGCCAAGGCCACCGCCGGGAAGCGAGCTCCCAACAAATCAGATGTTGCACTAAGCAAGCATGTAGATGAGGCTAGCACCTCTGAGAGCGCTGTGGAAGCCGAGTCTGATGGCAACCTTAGCGTCTTTGATCCTCCTTTGCTCAAAAGCGGAAGCACTCCGTCGCTGGTCCCTCCGCAGGTCGGCACGGCGGGTGCCATGTCTGATCCATATGAGACACCACCTTCCTCCTATGATGAGTCGATGGAGGCATCTCCCCCGAAGATTGTGAAAAATCCTCCCAACACTGGCACGCTACGCGTACAGCCTATTGCATATAGGTCTACGGCTGATCGGAGGATCGGTCTCTTGACTAAGCTTTTGAAGAACTTCCCCGACTATGCAGATGCCGTAACCCAAGTCGGACGGCCTTTGAACTCTAAGAAGACGGATGTCACCCGCCGTCCCATCCATGTCTTTGTTGACATGTCCAATGTATGTATATTCAAGACTAATGGTGTTCTTGCGCTAACTGGGCCAGATCATGGTTGGATTCCACGATACGGTCAAGCTATCGCGCAAAATCCCGGTGAAGACGCGGATTCGCCGATTGCCTTTGTCATTTCAAAACTTCTCTCTAATCCTCGAGCGTGGCCGGCCCACCGCCAAACGAGTCCTGGTGGGCTCGGATCGATTTGCAGCCATCACCGAAGGTGAACAACTTGGTTACGAAGCCAACATTCTCGACCGGGTCCACAAAGTCAAGCATATGACTCCTCGTCAGATGCGGTTCCGCAAGAATCCTCGAGCTGGCGCTCACGACCCTGGTAGCGGTTCAGAAACGAACGAAGCATCAGAGGAGCGCTGGGTTGAGCAGGGTGTGGACGAAATTCTGCATCTGAAGATTCTCGAAAGTTTGCTAGACACGGACGAACCGGCAACCATCGTTTTAGCCACGGGAGACGCGGCGGAAGCCGAATTCTCGGGCGGATTTATGAAGATGGTAGAGCGGGCGCTGAGCCGGGGCTGGGCCGTGGAGCTGGTCAGCTTCAGCCAAGTGACGAGCTATGCTTATCGCCGGAAGGAATTCCGAGCGAAATGGGGGAACCGGTTCCGGATGATTGCGTTGGACGAGTATATTGAGGAGCTGCTGGATATGTAGGGCTTGGTTATGGTTGATACCATTGCCATCGGTTTTTGCTGCTGGCAGGTCAGATTGTTAATCCTTTCAGAATAGGATGTTGGTGGCTTTATGAAGATATTTATCGATGTTAGGAGCTCGAGATTAGGATGCAACAAATTGAACCATTCTCGAGACTACTGCTGAGCCTAGATTCAACTATGGAAGTATACAGTGTCCGTCCATACCAGCTTATGGCACCTAGTACTCTTATTTACCTAGTAGCATTAATCGAATATCGTATTAGTGTCCCCAATCAGTGTGCTTATTTTCACATCGTAAAATTACTGAGGCTGTTGATATCCAGAACTACAGGTACTATCTAGAAAGATATATATCCATCTGTCAGGGATGCATACCAGAATAGTGGGGATGGAAAACATATACACACTCTCCAGCCATATGACAGAGGTATTTAAAATACCATCATCGGCTCCTCATCAATGTGTCAAATCCGATGTCTTCATTTCTGCCAAAATATGAGTAGTACTAAGTAGAGTTAATCCTCGGCCGGCCATCCGAACACCCCGCCCCCACCATCAATCAAAGTTCCGCTCCGCGCAGCAGCTGAGCTTTTCCTCTCCTCCATCATACCAACAATCTACAACATACCTCTTTTCTCCTTCCTATCCTCTCATACATATATACATTTAACCATAACCAGAAAAAGCAATCGCATACCTCCACACCACACATCCACACTACACAACACAACACAACACGTATCTATCCCACCATGACCTCACCACCACCACCACCAACATACACCCCGCAACCCCTCTACGGCGGCGCCATCAAAGGCCTCATCCCCAAGGGCTGGCTAGATGCTAGGTACATACATACATACATACATTCTCCCCTTTTCTCAACCATCAATCCCAATACTAACAACAACAATAATGATGAAAAAAAACAGTAACCTCCGCCAAATCCCCGACCACCAAGAACTCTACCTCTCCCCGACAACCCTCTCAACCCTAATCTACGAAATCAACGAATACGTCCCGGACAGCACAAGCCAAGAAACATTATCCAAGCACAGCGAATTATTCGCTTCCGCAACCAGCGCCAGCACCAGCACCACATCTCACAACCAAGATAGAAGAGAAACCCTCGACAAAGCCGCCATCCTCTACCACATCCTGGACATCCAAGAAAATGACACCGTCAGTAAAGACACTATTCGGTTCCGCACACCGATTACGAGTGTGGGCCGTCGGGAGGGCACTGGGGCGGGGAGGGTGTATACGGGGAGGGTGGAGTTGGGGGAGGAAGGGGGTAAGGATGCAGTGAGATGCTCGTTTCTGGTGGTTAGGTTGGAGGAGCAGGGGAGTGATTTGGTGGTTTGGGGGAATGTGCCGGTTAAGGAGTTTGAGGGGAGGGGGGATGAGGAGGGGTTGAGGGAGGAGGAAGGGGTCGTTGGGGAGGTGGTGGAGGGGTTGCTTGGTGGTGATGGATTGGTGGTTGCGGAGTGGGATTTGTTTGGATAGATATAGGAGGGGTCTTTTTGGTTTTCTGGTGTTTTCTTGCTTGGGTATGTGGGTGGTGGGAGGAATGATACCATTATGTGTGCGTGCTAGGTAGTCACTTAGATAGATAGTTCTACATCATATTCAAGGATCACTACAGAAACATTTAAAAAGTGGCACAGTAATCGGTGTATGTATCTTGATTGGTCTGTTTGTACACCTAGAGAAAAGATAACAACGAAATGAAAACAACAAGCTGTATATGTATGTACATGATCGCTAATAACAAGACATTCAACCGTCAGTCATGACATACATCAAATATTATACCTACTAGATCAACATCCCCATGTCTCCTCCCACTTGACAGGAACCTCCAATTATGTCTGCCTCTGCGTCTCATTCAACACGCGGCCCACCTCATTCAACAGTCCCCTGACGCTTGGGGCTGGCGCGTTCACCGACTTCTTCAATGGCGACACATTCCTCACCTTGGGTTGAATCTGTTGCAAGATGCCCTGGCACCGGCACCGATGTCTCTTGGGGTCAATGCTCTTCGAGTGACGTCCGTAGTCCAAGTTGCAGTGCACGCAGCGCCAGACGTACTTATAGTCGATGGCGTAGTCATGCTTGATCGATATCTCGACTTTCCCACCGTAGACAGGATGGTTCTTCATAGCTTCCTTGCACTTGCTGGCCCATGCCTTGAAACTAGTGCCGTGGGGGTTGTCATGCACGCCTGAGATCATGTAGTTCGCCAAATGACAGAACTCGTGTGCGACCGTCTTGATAATCCGCTCTTCGCAGTCAACGACTTTCGCTGCCAGTTCGATGGTGGCATAATGCTGAGGTGGCATGGCCGGGTCTCCTCCCTTCTTTGGTGACGGGGTAACACATTTCCAGGATGCTCGACCGGCGGTCGTTTGGAGTCGCTTTTTCCATTCGATGATCACGCCTCCTGTCGACGCGGTCATTCTTGAGAGTCGGCCGTCAGTCACGGTGTCGTCGAGGACTTTGAAGAATTTCTCGGCCATGACTTGTCTGTTCTCTATAAATGCCTTTGCGCGCTCCCGCTCGAGCTTTCTCTGCTCCGCTTCGGCCTTCTTCATAGCTGTCTTGCTGGGTGTTTTTGCTGAGGACTTGGTTGTGGTCTTCGGTGTTACGGTCTTGGGCAAAGTATCCCTGTCACTGAATTCATCATCCGAGTCCGAGTCGTCGAATTCGCGCAGTAGATCGTCGATCTTGCACGGAGAGTGCTGGTCGATCCAGTTGTTGGTGTTTTCCTGGCTCCAGAATGCGTCGACGCTCTCTCGGTGTGGTGTTGGTGGGATGTGGGCCTTCAGCTTGGTTGGAGATTGTAGACTGCGTCCCTTTGTTGGACTAGATGGGGGCGTCTCTAATTTAACACTGCTCCTTGATGGGAGCTTCTTGGTGGGGGCGTCTACTTCTTCGATGCTGCTGCTTGGTGTTATTACATATATGGGTGGCTGGGGGTCTCCATCTCTACTCACTCATAAGTGTTTTTCTCTTCCTGCTTAGGCTCTATGTCTTTGTTGTCCAGCATCAGCTTGTTCAACTTTTCGGATATTTCGAGCTCGCTTTGAAACAACCTCTCAGGCTTTGCCTCGAGCTTGGGGACCTCCATTGTTATCGTAGCAGGCACTGAAGGTTCCAAGTGAAGGCTTTCACTGGGAGAATCCGGAGGTGTTGTCTCTGGCTCTATTTCTGGACGGGGTCGTCTCCCCCTAAGCAGTCTCTTTCTAGTCCTAGGCGGCGAAGGGGTTGGCTGTTTCTCTTCTTGTTCTTCTTCGAGGCTTTCATCGTCGGACGTCTCATGATAGCTGATATCTTCATTGTCGCTGACAATGAAATCATCCAGTGAGTCAAAGCCATTATCATCTTCGCTTTCTTCGACCTCCGACTCCGTCTCATCTCGACGATAGCCCGTATACCTCGTCCTGGACCTGCCTCGTGGCTGTACTTCTCTGTTCGTACTACGCGTAGGCGCCCGGTTAGAGGCAGTGGACGAGTTCCTCGAGAGCCCGGAACTCTCATCAGCCTCTTCTGCCTCATCATCAATCGGATCATTTTCCTTGTCATAGTTATACCCGACCGACTTACGCGGCGGTCTATTATTCCGCGACTGCTGCGACAATGGAAGCAACAAAGAATTGACCTGCGAGAGCTGCAAAGGATCCGCAGTGCGTCCCTCACTCGACATCAAAGACCGAGTAGACGACAAACTGCTCTCCTCCGTTTCACTCTGCTCATCCCCATTGTCCGAGAAGATATTGAATACCCCACTGGAAACAGTGCCAGATCTTTGTAGCCTGTTACTATTCTTCCTTTGCAATGACTCTTCGATCGCTGGCGTTGTCGCGGAGTATCGGCTCTTTGTCCATGTCTCGGCGGCGGCCCATTGTTCTACTGTCTTGGCTTTTCCGTTCGTGGGGTATTTGTTGTCTCTAGTATCGCGCTTGATGGTCGCTGTGCGATTGAGAGTCCTCTGCCGTGGAGGTGTTCGGCGCTCTTGGAGCTTTGCTGGCTTCGTGGGACTGGATGGGTTGAGTCGAGCCATTCTAGTCTTGTCTTCTCGTGCGGTGCGGCTGCTGGTGATGGCAAGACACGATCAAGTGCTTCTCTTCCTCCTCCCGCTCCTGCAGGACAGGAAGTGAGATGTTAGAATGCGTCTGCTGTAATGCCGGTGCTCCGTATATGTGGTGTCTGCGGGCTTGCAGATGTAGGTGTGGTGTACCTGCGTGTGAGCTGGTGCTGGGTATATCTATGCAGGTGGTCTAGATACTAATGTTGATGGATGGGCGAAGAGACGTGGTTGGCACGGCAACCTCGGTACTGGTTCGCCTACCACGGGATGGTCTGGTGGCAGCCATTGGGTTTAAGGTTCCATGGTGTACGTGGTATGCATTTATCATCGAGAGTCGGGAAGTTTATTCATCTCACAACGCAAATTCAAGTCCCTATCGACACAAAAAGATGCCTACATGTGGGTGAGAAAGAAAAATAAATGCAAAAAAAGATGAAGACAAGGCCCGAGCCGCGGATCGAACGCGGGACCTCTCGCAGATATGCTTGGGTTTGTATCCCTAAGCGAGAATCATACCACTAGACCACCCGGGCTTGTTATATGTTTAAGCCTCAACTTCTTGATTTATGAGCCTGTAAGTGTCTTTTAGGTCATGAACAGCAATGCCGTAGGGCTGTCTGTGGCCTTGTAGGCAGGCTGTCCATGTTTATATGGATGATTGATTGGCGTGGCTATCTCCCTGCTAATTAATAGTCCTATTCGTGCCATGAGCGAATCTTGACACGTTGCTACGTATTATTCACTGATATGGGAATAGAAAGTGTAGCCCCTAGAATGTATACATCAAACGTTTTATATAAGCCATCGTACATACAACTGACCGGAAGACGCCCGCTACTAAAGCAGATAGCTATATCATAGTGATAGTAGCCGGTGGTGTCAAGGAAGAGATATCAATGGCACCAAGCCCTGGGGTGACTGGCATACGGATACAATATTGATCAGTCACGGTATTACGGCCGTGGATAACAACCTCGTCGCACGGCAAGGGCAACAGGCATAACCCTACTAGACATGTGAAACACTGGTCACCAGGACAGATGATGATATCACCATGGACATCTTAGATGCGGTAAATTAGGGGTGCAGAAGCGGGGAGCAGGGGAAGAGATTGGACGTCCTAAATCTATTGGGGTGAACAAACAACCATGGCAGGACCGAAAGGCATGGCAGGAACAACGGCTTATGGGCATATACCACGGGTAGCTCACACTTCAGCCGACTGAACATGGCTGCTTGTAGTGTCAGTCACGGAAGCACTACACAGCAAAATCTGGGGTGGGTGGCTTGCATATACCACATACCCATGGGCATAGTACCACTATATATTATCAAGCATCAGACTATATAGTACTCTCACCAGCCACGGCATTGATGGTCGGAGGACACTGTCAACCAAAGGGCCTACCAAGCTCTCTAGCATATACTCGATACGACTACCGTGTGGCGACTCAAAGCCATTGCAACTACAGGTATATCCCAGCCAGCCCAAGCACACCCACATCATATGGCATATAAGAGATATCGAACAAACCAAAACAGACGGACTGAGACAATCCACCCACATGCACAAGAACTATGTCACACTACATCCATCAGGTCTAAGACATCAAGCAGGAAGTCGCCCACAGCAGCATCGCACAGTCCAACGCAGAACCCATTCACTGCCTACAGTGTACATGAAATCAAGCTTTGGGGATACCGTTGCCTCCACCGTGCAACGCAACCGAACCAACCAAACGCAGATGCGTATCATACCACCCACAAGAGCCACAAATACTCCATAACTGCGGAGGTAGTTGCGTAGCTACACAGCAGTGCATCTTAATAACTCGAACAACCGAATGCGGAGAGAAGCATCTCATCCGTGCAGATCAGACAGACAGACAGAACAACTGTGCGCAAGCAAGGTTGCCAATCACCCCACTCCCAGCCAAACAAACTTTTTGACTTGCCGTGCTTCTGGATCCCGATGTTGCTTCGACACATGCCGATCTTGAGTTTCAAGAAATCGAGTTGCAGATGTACATGGTTAGCGTAGTATATCGGTGTGGCGATGCTAGGCTGTTAACATCTGTACCTACTGAGACCGTCGGTGGCAGGACAGCACGGGACGGATAGGATGACGATGGCCAACCTCCTCTCTCTGCCTCTCCCTCTACGTTAGCACCGTGGTCAGTTATGCAGATGACCGACCGTGCAGTGCATGGTGATGATCGCTTCTTTTTCCGTCGGCAGAGCCAATTCATGATTATTCAGGAGTTACCGAGTATCTACTCAGTTCCGCGACAGTCGAGACTCCCCCTGTTCAGCCAAAATTATTGATTGATTGATATAGATAGTATCTAGTAAGTATCTATCTTAGTACGGAGTAGCGAGGCGGATAAGGAGTCCAATAGCGATCATTAATAATTAACGAGGCAGAAGATAATTATAACCCAACCCTATAACTACGTACTTGATAGTTAGTTACCCCATCGGCTAACAAGAAACCAAGCGGTGTAAAGTAAATCGAAACAAAAGATACCAATTTACAAAACCAGATGTGTTTAGTTTGTAAGAACGAAAGGGGAATCCAAATCAACATGCTGATTGGCACGATTAATGGAGGATGATAATAATGGTGCCCTGGTGGTGCTCGGGAAGTGTTCTAGGTCGGGCCAAATGGAACCTGAAACCACACACCCCCTTTTTTTCTCTTCCCAGACAAGAGTTCCACGTCGTCGTTTCTTTTGGACCAGTCCGGGCCCTTTCAGCCAGTTGAGAGTTGTCCGGCGTTAAGAAATCGCCACCCGTTGGCCCTTTTGTCGGGCGGACGGGTCCGATTGGACAGTTCCCCGGTCGCGCATGTCCCAGCCCCACTGAGTTTCTGCTTAAAGATTGGTCCTGGTTTTTTATCTCCATTTTATGAAACCTGTATTGGAAAGGTGTCCTGATCCTACACAGTAAGTAAATACTCCACAGTAAGCACAGTAGTAGATTATTACAAGGGAGTAAGATGGATGGATGGATCAATCGTTGCATTTGTTGGCTGCAATGAGTTTGAACGGCTGGGATCCTGGCGGTTCACCAACCTCCATCATTGCATGGCTCAAAGGTCAATTAGAATATGCAGCATAAGCAAGTAATATCCGTTAAATGCCTATCGCATGGCTGTGCCTGAGAGACGCTATGGTCTTATGGAGAATGTCAGGCTCACTCGTTTGCATGGTGGTGGCTTGATACTCGTCAATTGGGATGCCCACAAGTTCGTCGACCAACAATCGATTATTCTTCCATTGTACTTTGTGTTGCGTTTACTTAGAATAGAAGTAGACTCGAGGGGTTCGGAGAAAGACCGTGTTCCTGAATCCTACCTGCAAGGGCAGAGATTTATTTATATATAGGGAAGCTGGTCTATGGTTCACCGGCATAGTATGTCCGGAAACTATTTTCAATCTGTGTCGAAAGTACTGCCCATAGCAGAGGTTCAAATTGTTATAGAAATACCAAAAAAGGTCAATCTATAATCTATAAACGTAGACAGTATATCCACATGAGAAGGGAACCAGGGAACACCTTAGCAGAATAAATGAGACACGCATATTGTGAGAACCTCAACCGGTGGTGCAGCAGTAGCCGGAACCATGGCTCCGAGGGTTGCTTGGTTGCCCTTCGATCTCGGTGTAGGTGTTTATTCATGTCACCGACAGATCTCGGAGACAATTTTCAGAAGTGCATGCTTTTGACCTGCATTATGGCGGAAAAAGTCTTAAGAAGAAAAAAGGTTGCCTTTTTGGGGTGAAGTTCGCCCGAATTTAATTTGGGAGCCGACTCTATCGTTTAAGTATCGACATGTTGCGTACACCTGTAGATACTAGATAACTCGGTGGATGCACAAGCTTCACGTTCAGCAATCATTCCCGCACAAGAGGACCACTCTATCCTTCTAGAACCCTTCCCCTCTTAACAGTTAACACTGCCCGGAGCACAGCTTTCCCGGCGACAAGCGAAAGAAAAATGTCTAAGATGAAGCAGATACAGTAGTCGGCTGCTAAGCACTTAGTGTGTACCCACCGCTATGCTCTCCCAGCCTTCCCGCAGTGTAGTGAGAAAAAAAGGCTGGGAAGAAGGCAGACCACATTGTCTTGTCGATCACCTAGCCTGATTATCTCTTACGATATCCGGGAAGGCCCAAAAGATAACCTTAGCTTGCCAATCAGAAACAGGATATTATCGGAAGTCCTTCAAGGAAGCAAAGAAGGCACCGAAAGAAAAGCAAGAAACCACCCAAGTCTACCAAGGCTCAAAGTTGGGTCTAATGTGTAGGTGGGGGGTTCGCTTGCCTCGAACACTTCAATCTTAGTGGTTTGAAGCTTACATTATTATCTGGGAAAAAACGGGTCACTTGCTTATGTGGTGTCAACGCATGGTTTGCTGAGTTGCGTTACGCAGTTTATCATGCAGGTAAAGTGGCTGACAGGTATTCCGTGTAAGGTAACTTTCAATTCTCCCCATGTGTTTGTTCATACGGGTCTTGTGAATTGACAGTACCACACATTTGCTGCTGACGGGATCTCATCGATCAGAGAAGCAGAAGCAAGCAAAAGAAGACATCAGGATCTATCATCGTCAGGTGGATAAATCAAATCCACATTAATATTGGGATCCATGACTCAAGGCACCCAGTTTCCCAAGGGCCAGGTCAACTAGGAATTTACCTTGTCCTCTCAGGACCTGTCCTGTCCTCATGAACCAAATCAATGAGCGGAACCACCCGGCATAGTTAACTACTACTCCGTAATGGATGAAATGGTTTCTTGTGGCTGGGACAACAAGTATGGCATGGCTTCTCTTCCTATTGTTGTTTATTGCCCTCAGGAATGGGAAACAATCCACTGCATAACCCCATACTCTGCATTCCTGCAAGCCCTCTGCTATTGGAGTTGCATCCCATTAACCTTGAATGAACATCCACCCAGTTTCAGTAACCCAAGAGATCGTATTGCCACCTCCGATAAAGCCACCATGTCATGCGTCTTATTTCTTCCGCTCTATATAAAGTTTGATCTACCCTCTCTGTGTAAGTAGTACCCGTTTGCATCCACCCTCGCGAGGCGGGTTCATCGGGGTCAACCACAAGAATAGCACACTTGATTTGATAGTTGGACGGAGGACCCCGTCCTCTAGTACTACTTTGTAGGGCCGACTACCCGTCAATGTGAGATAGCCGGCGAGTATGAACTATTGGTGGCAAGGGGGGGGGGAGAGATATAATTGGAAAAAAGTAAAAATGGAAATGTTGCCTACCTACCTACCTTAATCAGCAGCCTCTCAAGTGGCTAGCAGTGAATATAGCTTCCCACCGTGGCAAATCGACTGACGCTACTTGTTTGTTTTCGAACTACCAGGTTACGTACTGTCAATTGGTAGCAAATTCACGCGGCGAATGATAGATGCAAATGGAATACAAGTCGTGCAAACTCTTCACGCTCGATTGAGAATGAAACCGCAGCGTGGATGTATGTACGGAGTTCCTGAGCATCCGATAATACCTCCGCTGAGTGAACGTCGCCTGACGGATGTAACAGCTCTGTATGGTCGTTCTATAGTCTATTTCCTCCCGCAAGTAATGCTTACATTGGCATTGAATATGGGGTAGTTTTACTGAGATACCTCGTTACGCCGACGGGGTGATTATGCTGACACACCAGATACAACAGGGCAACCGTGGGTGCCAGGTCTTGGATCAGGAACGAAGCAGTGCCCGAAAAAAGCAGTTGAACCAAACATCCCCTCCTCCTTGAGGGGCTCACAGTATTCCATGAACATAAATAAACAAGATCAAGATGGTAACAACCGCCATAGACTGCATAGCGACGCATTTTTACCCTGGCCACGACCATATCTGCGGCGGTTGTTGAGAGACAGTCTTCAGGCTTTCAAGAATGAGGAGAGTTATCCCTGCATGCCGTTCCGAAGCAACATATGGTAAATTGCTGTCACGATGATACGCCAAAAGACACCATACCGTATGGATACAGTTTCATTGCGCCATCTGCATTACCTGGCGGTGGGTCGGGGCTTCAGGGGCCGTCTTGATTCCCATGGATTCCGGCACCAACGCCGTCTGGCCATCCTGTTGTGCCGGAACTCATGCCGCTTAACCTTCTCCTACCTAGAGCCTCGAGCTGTCACTGTTTCCAGAATTGAGAAAGAGGAAGGGATGTTCGCCCCCCTAAGGGTGGGTAATAGTTACACCATTAACTATCTTGATTGATATCATATATTGGAAGATGGAGTCATTGCCAAAAAAAAAGAAAGAAAAAAAGGGTAAGGGGATAACCGAAAACAGAGGGGGGGAAGATACGTAGATTTTCCACGTTACTAAAAAGTAAATAACGACTCCAGCTTATGTGGCCCATTATCCATGGTATCTGAGGCACCTCGAATCCTTGACAAGACATCTGGTAGGTCAGTTTGGTAGGCAGCATGAGCCACCTCAGGCGGCAGTAAGCCAATCACCGAGGACCCTGCCAAGTAATCCGCACTTCATTCGACCGACAGTCAAAGAATCTCCAGGCCAGAAATGGTGAGGGCTGAGGCGTCGGGGGGGGGGTTGCTTGTGGTGGTTGTTGTGGACAAGAGTTAGTTGGACGGCGAAAAAAGTGGGTAACAATACGCGCGTTTTGGTACTGCGTGCGGTAATACCGATGGTAACCCCCGCCCGGTGCAGGTGGGATGAATGGGGAGGGTGAATCGGGATGTGATAGGCTGCAGGGGCACCCGTCTGCTTACCATATTTACACCATCCGGACCTTTTTAGGAATAATCCAGTATCGCATACAGGTACAGGACTGGGCGCGCAAGTAAATTAGCAGATCCAGATCCCAAAATAACCACCAGCGCCGCCCCCCCTCTCCCCT